ACTAAAACTCGGTAGCCTTAGCAAATTTTTTCTACATAATCGAGTATAAGATACTTACTTATTTATTATAAATGTTTTCTGTGGCACTATAAACATTTGAAACACGTGTGTTGACAGTTGATAGGTACGTTCTGCTGGTTAACAACACTTTCGAAAATCGGATCAAGTCGTAGAAGTTCGAGTAGGACACGAAGCCGCAAACAGATAGAACTTCGGTTAAAATCGTAGTCTCTCGGAAAAATCCGTGACTTTTAATATAAAGTTTTACAAAATGTGAAATAAGTATACGGATGTTATTTTTCTTACTATTTTGTGAAATTATTTATTATAATATTTCGTATTCTGTGAATTCATAAAGAAAATACTAATTTTTAAAATAAATATCCCACACAGCACCGAAAGTTTCCTAAACCTGTATTAAAGCTGTGCGTGCCAAGTTGGAAAAATTTACCGTAAAGCTTAGCACAGGTTGTGTAAATATGTAAATGTCCGCAATTGAGTAAATGTTTAGCGTAAAACTGTACTGAATCTTTAAATTACGTATTTAGTACAGGTTTAGCGTAAAACTGTACTGAATCTTTAAATTACATATTTGGTACAGGTTTAGCGTAAAACTGTACTGAATCTTTAAATTACATATTTGGTACAGGTTTAGCGTAAAAGTTGCCTGAACATTTAAAATAAATCTTTTGTAAAGTTTTATCATAAAATTTGCTTAAAAATTAAAATTAAATCTTTATTACAGTTTTAGTGTCTGATGCATAATGGTAAAATTACTTAGCAAAAAGCTGCCAATCCTAAGTGGATTGCAGAAAAAAGGTAAAAATAATTTAATTTAAATTAAATAATTTTAATTTATTGAAATTAATGAAATTTTTATTTAAAAAAGAACATAAAAAGTATACAGTTTTGAAACAAAAAATTCTAATTTATAAAAACTTCTTTTTATGAGTGCATTTTTTTCAGATGTTCAGGAGATTTTAAGGATTCACCATATCACTACCATTAATTAATTTATTAATAAATATATTTGTGTTCATTGTATTTAAACCTTTTTTTTATTATACCATTTCCCACTATACTAGTTATTTTTTTATTTATATGAATTGATGGCATCATTTGCAGTTAATATTTTTCGCTCAGTATAATTTTTTTATTGAAAAAAACATTATTTCTACAAAAAACTTTAATGAAAATGTAATTAACACTTTTTGTAGTTTAATTTCGCACTAAATATTTAATAAAGCTTTAATTTAAATTTATAGACAATTTCTACACTAAAACTGTAATAAAGATTTAATTTTAATTTTTAAGCAAATTTTATGATAAAACTTTACAAAAGATTTATTTTAAATGTTCAGGCAACTTTTACGCTAAACCTGTACCAAATATGTAATTTAAAGATTCAGTACAGTTTTACGCTAAACCTGTACCAAATATGTAATTTAAAGATTCAGTACAGTTTTACGCTAAACCTGTACCAAATATGTAATTTAAAGATTCAGTACAGTTTTACGCTAAACCTGTACTAAATACGTAATTTAAAGATTCAGTACAGTTTTACGCTAAACATTTACTCCATTGCGGACATTTACATATTTACACAACCTGTGCTAAGCTTTACGGTAAATTTTTCCAACTTGGCACGCACAGCTTTAATACAGGTTTAGGAAACTTTCGGTGCTGTGTGGGTATACTAATTCTTATTTCTTAAAATAATAGTTACTCTTAAATTCATTATATATTTTCATAAAAACTGTAATAGTAATCAATATAGGTGCACTTTTTCCCTAAATTGCAACATTTATATTAAACTCTAATATGAGTTTAATACTTAGTAGTATGAATTTTCTTTCAGTGTAGAAACTGAGATCGACCAGTGCGCATCATTTAAGTTGGAAATTTTCTATAATATTTTAATGAAATATTTCAGCAAAATTACAAGGCAATATTTCTTATAGGCGGACATTTTCCTGATTTCAGTAATATTTCAAGGACTTCGCATTGGAATATTTCAAAATTTTAATGAAATATTTCAGAAATATTTAGGAAATATCATGTGCTGTGTGGGAATATTATTTAATACTATAAAAAAAGCCGTCACAGAGAAGTGCAAAAAAAATTTTCTACTTTAAAAGGAAAGAACATTACGAATATAATGAATTATCTTAAATCAACATAAGAACTCGTTATGTTCATTTTCATTCACTATGATGTTATTTAAAGAACTTGTTCGTAAATTTGTACCATTATGACACCGCAAAGAAAAGTGTAGTCAATGTATGATTGTTCGTATTCGCGCCTAAAGTGCAAGTATAATTTTAAAAATGATTTTATAATTACCCTATAAAAGGGTTGTTATGTATGGTAAGAAGAAATAAATATTTAACGTGTCTCGTTATTTTCGATATTAAGAAAGATATAAATATTGTTATATGTCTATTACATACGCTATTCTCAAAATATATGAATTTTGAATTAAAAAGTTGTTATAAAGTGTATTTAAAAGAATTATTTTACTTAAAATTGAAATAAAAATAAGATTATTTACTTATAAGAAATTTGTAATATAAGTCGTTCACCTCAAAATTTGAAAATAAAATGGAATTTTCTTTAACCTTATATAAGCATATAAATAGTTTATTTATTATACTTTATTTCAATTTACATGATAATTAGTAAACAAATATCCAATTAAATAAAACTGTGATTGTAGTAGTTTTGAACTATATTTTATTTTGACAAAAATATTTAATTATAATTTGAGCTTATGTACGTGTATTTTTATCACTCTTTTTGTTTTCCAATAATTAATCAGAATTAAATTTATATAAACTTTCAAATTAAACATAACATACAATATTTTATTAAAATTGCAGTTTAATCCATTATTTTCTAAAAATAATATAAAAAAATATCTGAATATAAATATCAATTTGTGGACTTGTATACTTGCATTTAAAATTCGCGGCGAGTTGCTGCGCAAACGTGCCAAACACGTGTTGCGACGTTGCCACGTTTTCATGTCTGCTACACTTACTATTATTAGTATGACAAAAAATCAAACTTTATTATTTATTTACTCAAAAACAATGTGGTAAACTTTCTATATATTGTGCAGTTAATAAATTTATCATATTTTCTTCCTGTATACCAATTTTCAGATTTTTGTGTCATTTCCATCACACTTTTCTCCTATGATTTATACACGTTCCCATAAGAGCCCATGTTAAATTGGTCATATATTTTATTTGTTTTCTAAAAAACTACGTGGTAAAAAATTCTGAAAAAAATCATAACTTCCTAAATCAATCTAATGGACAAACTGTCAAAATTTGGTAAGTCTGTGTCATTTCACCGTCCGACACGATTTTTCACACACGAAAAAATCAATGATTTTCAGAAACTAGGACCAAAAAAAAGATACCCGTGTCTGGCCGTTTTGCTAGATCAGGTCATTTTTTGCTTTTAGGGGTCAAAACAACCGTTAAATGAAAGGTGATAGGAAATCTTGTACAAAAAAATAATTTTTTATGAAACCTGGTACCTCGCGGTTTTCCGGGTCGCTGATTACGAATCTGATGTCAGATTTTCAAAATTCAAAATGGCGGATCCAATATGGCGGTCGAAATTTATAAAAATTCACCAATTCATTTGAAAGTTGTTACTTAGGGGTTTTTGGGGTCGCTGATTACGAATATGTTGTCAGATTTTCAAAATTCAAAATGGCGGATTCAATATAGCGGTCGACATTTATAAAAGTTCATCGAATTCACTTGAAACTTGTTACTTGAAGGGTTTAGGGGTCGCTGATAAAGAATATGATGTCAGATTTTAATAATTCAAAATGGCGGATCCAATATGGCGGTCGAAATTTATAAATGTTAATTATTTTTTATAAAACTTGGTGTCTAGGGGTTTTTGGGGTTGCTGAGTACGAATCTGAAGTCAGATTTTTAAAATTCAAAATTGCAGATTCAATATGGCGTTTGAAATTTATAAAAGTTCGTCGAATTCACTTGAAACTTGTTACATGAAGGTTTTTGGGGTTGCTGGTTTTGAATTTGATGTTGGCTTTTCAAAATTCAAAATGGCGGATCCAATATGGTGGTCGAAATTTATAAATGTTATTATGTTATTATTATTATTATTATTATGTTATTATCAGCGACCCGAAAAACCCCTAGACACCAAGTTTTATAAAAAATAATTAACATTTATAAATTTCGACCGCCATATTGGATCCGCCATTTTGAATTATTAAAATCTGACATCATATTCGTTATCAGCGACCCCAAAAACCTTCAAGTAACAAGTTTGAAGTGAATTCGATGAACTTTTATAAATGTCGACCGCTATATTGAATCCGCCATTTTGAATTTTGAAAATCTGACATCATATTCGTAATCAGCGACCCCAAAAACCTCTAAGTAACAACTTTCAAATGAATTGGTGAATTTTTATAAATTTTGACCGCCATATTGGATCCGCCATTTTGAATTTTGAAAATCTGACATCAGATTCGTAATCAGCGACCCGGAAAACCGCGAGATACCAGGTTTCATAAAAAATTATTTTTTTGTACAAGATTTCCTAGCACCTTTCATTTAACGGTTGTTTTGACCCCTAAAAGCAAAAAATGACCTGATCTATAGCAAAACGGCCAGACACGGGTACCTTTTTTTTGGTCCTAGTTTCTGAAAATCATTGATTTTTTCGTGTGTGAAAAGAAAAGTTGAATTTTGTCGGACGGTGTTTCCTTATATTGCCAGGGAGAATCCTTAAGAACATAGATGTTCAAATAATGTTCTAGAACATTATTTGGCAGACATGAAACGTTCTAAAAACATTTTTAAAACGAACATGGTTTTTTGCCCTCTGGGTTATAAGTATCTATAAATCAGAACGTTTATTCTGTATCATTTAAAATTTTCTAACTTAAAGAATCACTCTCTTAAATTTCTGTGACATAATATACCATTTGATGAAAATATCTACAGACAATATGTTACAACTGAGGCATCGTTTAAAGAAGAAAGTTCGGAAGAACCATCATCTTTTGCAAATGCACATATTAGAACAAGAGGAGGCTTTCAAATTTGTCAATTATCTCCTGTAAGAAGCTTTATAATATTATAAAATATTATTGATATGTAGAATAGAAGAATAATAAAAAAATTAATTTTACAGGATTCTACGGGAAATGTCTCGCAAATTATAGAAAATGTATCAGCTCCTTCTGGTAATAGTTACGGAGTTTTTAGTTCTTCCAGTATCTATCAATTTATTGGGATAGATGGACAACAGAAAGTTTTTAAATCTGCAACGACTGGTGTAAATGATAATGGTAAAATTACTTTCCGCAGTGTACAACAACCTTAACCCTCAGGGAACTGACTATAAAAAAAGTTACAAACACCACGGACTAGGTTAGCCTAACCCAGTACCTTTAATCGACTGTATTTTGAACTCAAATTAGTCAATGAAAACAATTTTTTTAAATTGATCGATGTTTTTCTGAGAAATGTGATGATTTTGTCAGATTTGTGATATTTTTCTAATTACTAAAGTTACAGTGGAAAATATACGCGGTATTTTTAGAAATGGTGCAACTTTCCGCCTGGGTTACGCTAACCCAGTCAGTACCCTGCACGGAAAAAATGAATTCAGTAGATTTTACAGAACTATCACGGAGTAGCGGATACAGCTCTTTACGAAACTGAGTGTTGTAAAATGTCACGAAATATTCAGGATAAACTCCAGAAATATTCAGCATAAACAACGAAAGTTCTGTAGTTTATCCGAAAATATCCATCACATTTTACAAAACTCAGTTTCGTAAAGAGCTGTATCCGCTACTCCGTCACAGTTTTGTAAAATATACTGAATTAATTTTTTCCGTGTGACAGTTAATCATTCTAATATATCCAAACAAATTTATATTATTTTTGTTACTGAGCCATTTCATATGAAATGGTGAGGTGGAATCATCGATTTTCTCAACATTTGAAAAAATGTTGTCTTTAGTCTACTTAATAAGTGGATCTACTAAATTCCAATTACATTTTTTAAATATGTTTGAAAATATTTGCGCTAAAAAATTTTAACTTTTTTTTCATTTACTTATTTTTCTTAATAAAAGTATGAAAATGTATAATGTTTCTTACGCAGAAAATCTTTAAGTTTTAGTTTAAAATGATTAAAAAGAAAAATAAATAAAATTTTAAATTAATTTATTGAAAAAATAAAACTCAGTTTTTAATTTTTAAACGTGTTCTTTTTTTAAACGCAATTATGTCATAAATATTCCTTATATCCTAGCCTTATATTAATATCAAATAAATTATAATAATTATATAGGTTTTATGTAATATAGTAAAATGTAAAATTTGTTATTTTACTTACCAAAATAGTGCGTTATATTAAAACGCCCCTTCAACAATCTTTCCAATATTTGATTACCCGGTAATATTACTGGAATATTACAGTGATATTAAATGTTAAATATTAAAATTAAAATATCATCCGCCTGATGGTAATATTACTGTAATATTACGGTAATGTTACAGTAATATTACAGATTGATTTGAGTCACTCATAAAGCATCACAATCATAAATATATATTGTAAGTCAGTGTGGCTTGTTGGTAAAACTCTGGACTTGTGTGCCTTGAGTTCGGGGTTCGATTCCCCGGTTGGGTACATTTTTTTTCGTGAAATAATATTCTTGTAATATTACTGCAATATTCTCGTGTATTATTTCCTTAATATTACGCTATAATATTACTGTAATATTACATTAATAATGCCTTAATATTACCGTGTAATGTTACAGTAACATTAACCGGTAATATTACCATGAGGCGGACATTTTAATATCACTGTAATATTACGTGCTACTTGGGTGTGTTGTGCGAGTTAAAACAAATTGGATAAATTATTAATAATATCTTTGTACACAAAACAACTAGGAACGTTGTTCAGCAGTCCTTTTATCCTGGTGTGACAAGCAATAGTCAGCACACAGTTCATCCAAGTGTGGTGAGAAGTAATAGGCAGACATTTATTCTAAATCAAATGGCACATAGTGGGAGCCATAACCAAAAGGCTCCATCTGCTGGTAGTGAAACTCGATGTGTTTGTGATGTAGAATGCGATGTAGATAGCAATAATTTGACAGTAACTTGCAGCACCACAATAGTTATTTAGCACTGCCAACGCAAATGTTTGGATTAAACAATTGGAAACAACTGCAAACCTTAATCAGTGGACCCAAGCCACCGCTTTTGAAACGGTATAAAGCCATTTAACTACCCAGATATCACGTATACTTGCAGTAACCTTGCGGCAAGCTTGCCGCGCAATATTGCCAACAAAAGATTGTTCTGTAATCTTACCGAAAGATTGCAGTGTAAGATTAATACAAGATTGCACAATAAGATTATCGCAAGATTGATCAGTAAACTTGCACGGTATTATCAAAAAAAAATATTTTATTTAAAAAAATTAATATTTTCATAAAAAAATATTATTGGTGAAAAAATTATTTTTTTTTATCAACAAAAATTTAAAGAAAATTAATTTTAAACGTAAATAATAGTAAAAATATGTATCATTTCATCAAAAAAATTGATGTATTAATCAAAAATATTGGTAAAAAATACATTTTTTATCAAAAATATTGATGAAAAACCAATTTTTTTATTAATAATATTGGGGAAAAAAATCTTTTTTAAAGGAAATATTGGTGAAATATTTAATTTTTTTTATCAAAAATATTGTTTAAAAAATGAATTATTTTTTCCAAAATTTGTCTGAAAAAAAATTATTTTTTAAAGAAAATATGAGAGGGTATCAAAAATACAATACATTTTTTCAACAATATTTTTCATAAACAAAATTAATTTTTGTCATCAATATTTTACATGAAAAGTATAAATTTTCATCAATTTTTTTATAAAAAAATGTATTTTTTTGATTAATAAATCAATTTTTTTGATGAAATAATACATTTTTTCACCATTATTTACGTTTAAAATTAATTTTTTTAAAATTTTTTTTACCAATAATATTTTTTTAAATAAAATAATACATTTTTTTCACCATTATTTACATTTAAAATTAATTTTTTTAAAATTTGTTTTACCAATAATATTTTTTTATTAAAATATTAATTTTTTTAAATAAAATAATACATTTTTTTACTACTATTTCCGTTGAACAAATAATTTTGCTTTTGATAAAAAAAATATAGAAAAAATTTAAGGAAAATAAGAGTGCTGCCACCTACCTGCTAAAAAGCGTGGCTCTATTGATTTTATCGACAAATGTTGACAATCAACTGCAATATATTGAAATTAATAAAAACATAAAATTTTTATAATTATTCAACAATAATAATCTTAAAATGCATAAAACTTATTGATTTTAATAATTATATTAGCAATTTCATCATTTTTATACATTTTAGATAAAATTTCAATTTCGATCACCGTGCTTTGGAGGCTAAAAAATTTATTGCGCAGCCGTATGAGCTTCCGTTTACAACTGCGCATCGTATTAAGTTTTGCAAACTTGCAGCAAGCTTGCGCCAACATTGCCCTGCAAGCTTGCCGTAAGAGGACATTTTGTTACTTGCACTGTAATCTTGCACATCTTGCACGACAAACTTTCTGCAAGTTTGCTGCAAGTTTTCGTGCTGATTAGGATATGCCTGTCATTTTCTTTCTTTCTTTCAACACCGCCTAATGAAATTTCTCTTTAAGTTATTGAACTACAGTTCTTACAAAAAATTACATACTTATAATGAAATTTCTAAGAAGTTAAGAGAATTTATTTTAGTGACAGATTTTCTGTGAAGAATAGCTTTACGCCTTCGACAATAGAAATTATGTTCTAATTAATTACTATTTTAACCTGAAAGGAAATTGATTAACACTGGCTTTTGTTCTTGTTCCAGCGCATCCTTTATTTCATGATATTAATTTTCTAAATAAACCTTACCAGAAGAGTTGACTAAAAAGGTACTAAGACAGACATACCATGTCAGTTTACAGCTTCAAAATATTAATATTTTAAACCCTTTCTTTTTAGCTCTTTAAAATTGTTAAATCAGGTATTTAATGGAAATATAAATTTTTTTTAAAAAAAACTTACTTTGCTAACGAAAAAAGTTTATTAGTGACATACGATTCATTTATTTGCAAAGTGACAATAAATTTTATAAACAAACTTATTGTACCTCTGTAGGTTATCCAATATCTCCCATACTTTTTTATACAGTTACGGATGATTTGGAAAGCAAGGTTATACGTATATTAAAATTTTAAATTCCAATGAGGCATTCTCTTAAAAAAAGCCACTCCCCAGAAAAAGTTCTGGGATTGGCTTGATTGTTTGGTGAATTGTTGTCTTATATGAAAGTAACAAAATCTCAAAATATAAACTTATTTTTAAAAAAATTATAAAAAGTAGATGGGATTGAAGTTTTGAGTTTTTGGGTTACACTGTTATTTTCAAATCCGTATAACTTCTATAAAACTTTATGGATTTTGATTTGTTATTTTTTTTAAATTAACTTATTTTTCATTTTTAACCCCTTATCCCGCTTAAAAATTTGTTTTGTATTTTTTTTAAAGCTGAGACTTTTTCCAACCAAACTGTATAAATATAAGCATAGAACAACATTAGATTTAAAATATAATGTAAAAAAAAACTTATTCACAATAAGATAAAAATGTCAGCGAATTTTAAAAACAATTAGATGGATTTAAATGAATAAAACAATGAAAATTAAAAAACTTAATTTATTTCTATTCGGTTTTATGAACAAATTTCAAACAATATAAAAAAAACTTTTAGCTAAAAATAATATAAAAACCATTTTTAAAATATCTAGATTTAAAAGTATATAAATTTGTAAATTTAGCTAAATTTCCTTTGAAAATTTTTGAAAAATGTAACGTCTATGAAATTACAATGTTTTTTATGAAGAATATTATACAGGGCAAACTAGTATATTAGAATTAAAAATATAAAAATAACATAAATCATAAAGAAAAATATGATGTTATTAGCAAATATTTTATATAAAAAAAGACAAATCCCAACAATATTCCTTGTGAGAGGATTTCATTCAATAAAATAATAGATTTAGAACATTTAATTTTTGTCCATAATGATATCTTTTAGTTTTTGAAATAATTAGTTTCAATATTGTGTAGTAATTTTTCAAGGTTTTTTTAAATGTATTCGTATTATTCAATATTTTATCGTAATCAATATTAATCCACCCCTTTGCAACTAATTGATTTAATTGATTTCCTAAAATTTTAGACGTTTAATAAAGAATTACAACTAAAAGAAACTTGTCCGAAAGTAGGTATCATCTTCTTCATAAAATTCAAAGGTATATATAGTAAACGTAATAATCATAACATATAATTAATCTGAATTTATGAAAAACAAATATAATATTTAAAAAATTAAATCTTTTACGACACATTTGACTGAACAATTTCTCAGTTCCGTTTCAGTACCAAAAAGCAAATAAGCACTGTAACGTTAGAGTCATGAGTACCGATTCTTCAGTTCCTTTTCAGTCCACTCTTCTTTCAGGGAAGTACATTACATCAAATACATATTTCAATTACAAGTTTTCAAAAAGTTTTTAAGTAATTCTTATTCCGCACAAAATTTTTTGTCAATTTAAAATCTTTTTCAACATTAACCATCACGTGACCGAGTTCGTTTTTTATAATACGCGACCAGGTGTGGTTCCATATTTTAATTAAATAGAAAACAAAATTTGATGCTTAATATTTTCAATCCAAATTATAATTAAGGAGGTTCTCCGGCTCCAGTGGTGCTCAGTTCCTTGCGACTAGTTTATACTAATCAACAGCTCACTTCACTGTCGTGCTTTCTCTCTCTTTCTCAAGCTAGTAATATACTTGACTCTCTTGAAAAATCAATAAATAACATAACTTTTCTACTTCAAAAATTAGTATTGATACCCCTACTAAAACTTTTTTTATATTATTCTATTAATTCCATTCTACAATATACTCGTTTTTAAAAAAAATTTATCGAAAACTTTTTAAATAATTCAATAAAATGTATGAGTTTTGCATGTTCAGATTAGGAATCCTATGTTAACTGGTGCAACTTTGAACCCAGATTTCTTAGTTTTTAGCATGGCAAGGGGTACTGGGTTTTTTACCACTTACATACAAAGTACATAAAAAGGAACATTTTCCTAGAGTTTAAAGAAATTTTATATAAAAGTGATTTGCCGGAGAACCACCTTAAATTTTATAAATACAATTATTTAATCATTATTTATAACGATTTTATATTTTCTTAAGAGTAGGTCGCTAGTAAGGCAGCACCATCTATATCGAAACTATAAAATTTTGGAAAATTTTTTACAGTACTTACTTGAAAACAAGCAAATAAAATGCTTTGTCCTTTAGGATAATTGATTATTGTCAAGAAATACACCAGTTAAAACTTTATTTTAATTAAAATAGTGAAAAAAAATTAATGACAAATTAAATATCACCATATTTTTTCACGCAAACTTAAAAGATATTTTCTCGGAAATCACAAACAAGAATACAATTTTCATTTGGAGAATTAATAAACACTAAAAAATACACCAGTTAAGATTCACCACTCACGAAAATAACAACAAAAACTTTTTTTAACATAACATATCGACACTGTTTTATTGATTTTGACAGCCATTTGGCAAGTAACGTATACGTTACAAATATATATATTTGTTTTTGTTAGCATCAGCGCCAATCTTCTTTTGTAGGCAGAACCGCAAAACATCTGATGACATTATAATATGTTATACCTATACGTACCAAATGGTTGTCAAAATCAGTAAAACAGTGTCGATATGTTATGTTAAAAATTTTTTGTTGTTATTTTCGTGAGTGGTGAATCTTAAATGGTGTATTTTTTAGTGTTTATTAATTCTCTAAATGAAAATTGTATTCTTGTTTGTGATTTCCGAGAAGATATCTCAAAAGTTTACGAGAAAAAATACGCTGATATTTAATTTATTGTCATTAATTTTTTTTCACTATTTTAATTAAAAAAAAGTTTTAACTGGTGTATTTCTTGACAATAATCAATTATCCTAAAGGACAAAGCATTTTATTTGCTTGTTTTCAAGTAAGTACTGTAAAAAATTTTCCAAAATTTTATAGTTTCGATATAGATGGTGCTGCCTTACTAGCGACCTACCCTTAAATGGAAGTAGATAGGTAAAATTTTTTGGGGTTCGACGCACACCGCTCGGTCACGCGAGAGTTAAATAGACATTAAATAGACGTTTAAATATCTTTTCAAATGACATGTTTTTTAAATTCTGCTTAGATGATTTTGATTATGTATGTATATACTATGAAAAGCGCATTATCAATCATAAGAAAGCATGCGTTTCGAATAAGTTTGTCTCTCGTACTCATGGGAAGTGACTGACGTAACTGTTTCCATATATATATATTTATGTATCTCTCTCTCTCTCTCTCTCTCTCTTCTTCACACTAATTCACATACATTCACACACACAAGCGCATACTCATATATATCTATAGACAAATTGTTGCTAAAATACACTGTGTACAAAAATATGAAAATATAAATATTGGCACAATTGAAGTCAACATAGCAAGCAGAACATACAGTAGATGCACAAAGAAAAAATCAAATTAAAGTAGTATTGATTATGGTATACTGCAATAACTTAATTTTTCTCTCCGTGTGGTTATATCACATTTATATTCAACACAGAAGTTTCGGAAGCAAAATTTTCTTCAAATGCATTTTTAATTAAAAATGCATGAAGACTAGGAGAACTCACATATATAAATGTATACGTTCGCACAAAAAACACCACTTTATTGATTTTATTTACAAATTATAAAATTTATAAATAAAATCAAATTAAAAATGTACTTATACATTCACAATTTTTTTTGTTATTAAAACAGACTCATGGTATCCAAAGATCTACAAAAAGTATAGACAGTTTAATGAAATTAAAAAAAAAAAATTCTTATTAAAACATAATTTCGTACTATCTTGGCTTTTAAAAATAAAATTAGGTTAGAATAAGAATCTAAAAATTTGAATATAATGGACACCATGAGATTGTGGGTTTTTGCTTATACATATCTTTCTTTTACAGAAAATTGTTAATATACAATCTATTAATACTTATACTAAAAAGATTTAGTTTTAAATTTAGCTCATCCAAGTTTTAGTTGAAATCTTAATAGAGACAAAGAGTCTTTTAGTTAAGGGTAGTTTACCATTATCAGTCAGTTATATATTCTATATTTACAAAATATCGTGATAACTAGCCTGTACAAAATATTTATTTAACAAAAAATTCTTAGAAGGTCAAATTCAGACATATCTTGTTAGCTGCATATGAAAGTCTTGAAGACATACAATTAGCTGATTGAAAGTTGGTCTTTCGTCTGATGACATGGCCCAACAGTAAGCCATAACTGCAAATAATTCGTCAGGGCAGTTAATTGGTTGAGCTAATCTATAACCATCACGAAGATATGATGCCATTTCAAACGGATCAACTTCTACGTAAGGCTGTTGGGCTAAAGTTGTTAGCTCCCATAAAAGTACACCAAAAGCCCACTGTAAAACAAAATTCAATTTAAAGTAGAACTCAATAATAAAAATCGCTGTTCAGTTTATAGTATAATTAACTATTAATAGAAAATAATTTATTTATAAAATGATTATAAAGTAATTTGGAAATGTACAATATATACCTGAAATATTTTCAAATAATAGAATAGAAAAATTTATTAATTACTCTATTTATTTTCACTACATTTTTAAATAAAAAATTAGTATTTATGATCAGATAAAACTTACAACATCAGAAGCTGTAGTAAACGAATCACTTAGAAGACTTTCAATAGCTAGCCATTTAATTGGACGATTTTCATTGTCACCAAGACAATGATAATCTTGTGGAAAGAGATCTCTAGCCAAAGCATTGTCTGTGATTTGCACTCTTAAATCGTCGTCCACCCTAAAAAAAGAATATTTAAAAAATTGTTTAAAAAACATTTTTTTCATGCACGAATTGAAAAAAGGAAATAAAACACATTTGTAATTAATAAATTCACACCTAAAATTTTTGAAATTGCTTTTTCTTATAAACAGACTGTATGGTAGAAATTAAAAATTTTTTACATTATCCAACAGTAAAAATTCGAATTAAAAACTTACACGCAATTTCTAGCTGCAATATCTTTATGAATAAACTTCTTCTTATGAAGATATTGAACTCCCTTCGATGCTTGAAGGGCCATTTCGACTACTTCCTGCGTCGTGAGGGCTCTTGGAGGCCCTTCACTACTTAGTTTACACCTCAATAAAAACCGTTTCATATTCTTATAACCCGTGTAGGGATAAAGAAGAAAAGGTGCTCCACTCTCTTCAATTGACACTCCTAAAATTGTTAAGAGTGCAGAGTGGTTGATTCTATAAAAGGTTAAACCTTCTCGTAACAAAACAGTCACCTGAAAATTAAGAGTCAATTAAGAAGGTTCTTTAAAATTTTCATTATATTAAATGTCAATCAAAATTATCAGTATGCAATTTATTAAACCTTTTTTATAACTTTTTAGTTTATACAAAAAAGTATCTATTTATTTTTATAATTTTTTTGAATAGAAAATTTATTGAATAACATAAATTATACTGTTTAATAAAAATCAACTCTTATATTCATTCAAACTTATCTTTCACTCTGATAATTTTGAGCCCTTAAGGGTATGTGGGAACCTCCCACGTGACATAGTACGGGAAAATGTATTTTACATCTTACTCTAAAATGAGAAAAGATTTTTGTCTAAAATTTTGAGGGATAATAGATTTGGGTACAAGGAATCTCGCTGTTCTCAGAAAAATACATAATTTTGCATTAAATTATTAAAAAGTGAAGTTTGAAAAGTGACATTTTTAAACGAAAATGAAAACAAACATGGCGGCGCATTCACAGACGTTGCTTGAGTGTGTCAGTACTCCAGGAGACAGCGCCAATTCGAGTAAGTGGGCACTGAATGAACTATGATAAAATAGATTATCTTACTATTTATTGCTTTCTTTTTTTTATTTTTGCGTTATGTTATAGTAAATGAATAGAACAGCGAGATTCCTTGTACGAAACAAAACCATTTCTCCAAAATTTTAACTCGAATTCATTTTTTATTTTAGAGAAAGTTTGAAACCACAAAAAAACGTTCTTTGCCCACTTACCCTTAAAGACAAAATAAAGAATAAAAACCGCTGCTAAATTGAAGTATGAACTTTTTGTGTTCATCAAATGAACACTTTGTTTCGATCACCAGGGAGATTTTTTGTAATCAATTTATGGTAACTTATTTAGTATTATAATAATTTTAAAAATGTGTTAAGTTGTTTTTTTGGGCGTTTGCAGAGATAGATTTTTAACATCAATAACTTCGTAATATTTTACAATAAAAGGTTCAATAATAGATCAATTGAGTAATTTTTAAATATTCTTCAAGTTGTTTATAATATTTTTAAAGATACATAAAGATTTTTTAATAAATTATGCAAAAAAGGTAAGTTTTTTAAAATTTTCAATTTTAAAATGTTAATAACTCTGGATAAAATAACAGTAGAATGTTCACTAATAGCTCAAAAGATGCGTCTTAAAAAAAACTCTACAAAATTAAAGAGAAATGTTCATAGGTGTCCAAACATTTTTTTAAAGTTATTGGCAAAAAACGATTTTTCAAAAATTTTTAAATGAAAAAAATAATAGTTAATCTTTATTAATATTGCTCAAAGTACTCTCATTATTTGTCCACCAATGAGACCTACAATTTGAAAAAAAATTATCCCTTTAGCTCTTATAGTACCTATTTGAGATATTTAAGAAAATGTAGTGTATACACACACACACGGAACGACATTTTTTAAAAATGTGTTTTTTGGATTCCTGAGGTCGAAAAACATATAGATACATCAAAAAAATCAAGTTCAAAAAATTTCGGTATTACAATATGTAAAATATTACAATTCAGTTAATGAAAGAAATGTATCTAGGAGATGTTCCACGTTAAACGGAAACGAATTGTTATTAAACTCATAAATCATGAAAAATATCATCTATAAAACTTTAAAAATCTAATAAATCAAATTAAATGACGCATATTTTACCATTTTTTGGGTATATTTTAGTCAGATTTTACAAATTTAAAATGGCGGATCCAATATGACTACCGCTTTTTAAAAAATTTATCTGATTTACCTAAAATTTGTTACACGGGAGTTTTTCGGGATTGCTGATAAAAAAATCTCATAGGCCAAAACGAATATGTATTCGGACAATAATTGAAAGATTCATTATCCATCTGGTCATCGCAGTGACCTAAAGACCAAACACCGTCATTAACAAACTTCCACTTATTAAAATTACTTAAAATATTAATAGATTGAATTATACCTGTGACGGTGAAGCATGTTCAGCAGCAGTTTTCACCAAAACGTCTCTTGGTGTTGTCGCTCCTTCTTCATGATAACTACCTTTGTAAATTCGACCAAATGTACCTTCCATTTCGACACTCAGTAGACGTACTCTGCATCTATAAAAATCATTTAATTTATATAAAATCAGAAAAATTTTAGATACGTTTTTATTTAATACAAATCACATACTCATAGAGCAATGTAAAAAACATGACAAATTATGGAATAAAAAAAATTGCAGTAGGTATATATATCTGGTCACTGTACCTTTGAACTGTGATTTCCTGAATTCGCTCATAAAGTTCCCGTGTTGGACGTTCATCAAGTCTTCTATAAGTCGATATAGAGGCAGTAGAATGTGGAGGTGGTGTTTCCGGTGATAAAAACGTTCTTGCAGGACCTATTCCTCTACCTCTATCCCCACTACATGCCGAATTTAATCCCCTCGATTCGCTGTAAAGAAATGTTGATTTTAAAATAAAAATAAAAAAACTTTTTGTACATTGTAAAAAATAATTTTTACTTACTGAAGGGAATCCCTGTGACGTCTAGATTTTTTATCTCGAATATAGTAAGCAACTACAAGAACACAAATGGCAGCAACGAAGGCACAAGCACATCCAATAGCTGCATAAAATATTTGACCACCTGCAGTTGTACCGGGAGCTGATACCAAGACTTCTTGAGATTGATTTTCCGAAATTGTTTTGTTTCTTAAGCAGATTTTCTTTCTCTTCAATTCAAATGAAGTTGAATTCTTTTTTGATAATGAGACATTTAAGCGAATAGTAACATCAGTTTCTGCATCATATGGAGCACAATGAAATGTCATTGTCCACATTTGCTGTTGTCCCACTGGAATTTCACCTGAATTTGTTATATTCAAGGAGTCACTTAAAACTGAAGGGTCGCCAATCAACACTTCTACTTCATATGTAAGCTGAAAATAGAAATATTAAAATAAATAACGATTCTATATTTTAGATTGGAAAAGGAACAAATTGTTTAGAAATAGAAGGGGTTCATTAAGATGCTAAAATGAGTAGAAGGAACTGGAAATAGAAACCTGGGAACAAGCGGATGTTTTTAAGTTAAGTAAATAAGGATATTTTTTTAGATTAAAGGTTTATGACAATTTCAATACAATTTTCATCTTACCGGCTTTCCAACAAGATTTTGCCATGTAAAATGCAACTTGGGAATATGTGCCGGTACAGGAACAACGAAACCTATTGCGTACTCATTTATTTCACCCTCTCTTACATAAAACAATTCTGCTTCCAGACCTATAAAAATAAAAAATGTTATTAAAATAACTAAAATAAAGAATATTAGAATAATCTCTCTATTATTGCAACTAAAACATATTTGTGTTTTTGAGGGTTTACAGTATTTTTTTCTCCTTGACCTGATGTGCTAGATACTTCTATATAGGTCTAAATTAAATCTTAAATCGTACACTGTAAGCCCCATATGTGCAAGATAAACAAATTTTTGGAAAAAGGTTTGTTTGAAGGGTTTTCATTTTTTTATTTTAATTAATTAAAAAATATTTTATTATTAGAAATTAAATGAATTATATTTATTTGTTAATAAAAATGTTTCATAGAAATATTTTCAAGAATTTTTATTTAGAATACATTTTAAAATTAAATAGAGACAAATTTTTAAAATTTCAATTCAATAGGATAAATTTTTGAAAAAATTATTTAGTTCTTTTTAAAGAAAATTTAAGTCTAACTTATAACAATTATTCAAATTCAGAATTTCGGCAAATATTTTAAATAGTAATAGAATTTTAGAAAAATTGAAATTAAGAAATATTTTAAATAATTGAATTTTTGAAAAACTAGATTAGTTTTTAGAAATAATTAAGTTTAACAAAGAATTTAAGTTGAAAATAATTGAAATGTCCAAAATTCTTGTGCATTGTTCAAATATTATTATATATTAAGCTAAATTTAAGTTGAAAATAATTGAAATTATTGTAAATTTGAATTAATGAAAATTATTAACAAAATTTTAAAAAAAGTTATTGAATTTCATAAGATTTTTAATAAAAATTTTCGTAAATTTTAATTGCAGAAGGTTATTTTTATAAGCTTCAGACAATAATTGAATTTTATAGACAATTTTTAAATTGAAAAAATGATTTAAATAATTCAGTTTTCGGAGAAATTGATTAAAGTTATTAGAAATAACAAATTTAATAAAGAATTTTTTATTGAAATTATTGTCAATTAGAGTTGATAAAAATTATTAACAAAATTTTATACAATAATTGAATTTTAGAGAATTCAAAATTGAAAAATTGTTTTAAATAATGAAATTTTTAAAGAACATGATTAAAATTATTGAAAATAATTAATTTTGTGAAGTATTCTACTTAATATTTTTTTGAATAATTCAAATTCAAAGTCGAAATTAGTCGCATTCGTGGAAAAAAGTCGAAAAAGTCAAGCAATCTGAGGCTTGCAAAATGTAATTTGATAGAAATTGTATCAAAATTTTTTGATAAATATTAATTTTTCCTTTGAATAGGTTTTGATGGATTTTGAATCCAAATTCTTTGATTAGATATTTATTTCATAAATAAAGATTCTATCCAAATATTTGTTATAAATTCATAGAAAATTTGGGTTGAAAATGAATATTTTTAAAAAGTATTCTCATAAAAATCAAAGCTTTATAATAATTTTTTTGTGAATAATATGGGAAATTTAGGAAAAAAATTTCATATAGGGTACTTTTAGGGACAAATAGAGGACGACTATGAAGCCTTAGTAATATTCACACTACATTTTACAGAACTCAGTTTTCAGTGTATATTATATGTTTATTTAAAATAGAAAATAATGCAAAACAAATTTTTTCTCTGAGGCTCAAAAAAAATTAGTCTTACATTTAAATAATGAATTGGCTTCTCTGGTATATATATATATACCAAAGATTGTCCAGAATCAGTTTAATTTACCACGATGAAATTGATGCCTGTAATTGTATTTTTATCTCGAAAAAATTCAACTTATTGAATTACCTATATGAGTTTTATTTTTTTCTTATAATTGAATTGATACTTTTGAATGGAATTATAGGTAGTGTAGGTCTCGTTTTTCAAGCAATAAAATATTATATTAATGTGAGAATTTGAGAATATTGCCATAAAATTTTTTTTAAACATTTTATAAACAGTATAACAGAAGGTAGAGAGAGAGAGAGAGAATAAAGGGAAAAATAAAAATGAATCAGAGCCATTATAAATGGGCGTTGGTACGTGTAAATCCAATACACCCATTTCTTTTGATATTCCCTGCCTATTATGTACTTATTTTCCTATGCTTCTTGTCGTCTTTCTTCTTATTTATTCAAAGCGCAACGCTGTGCTACAGGATTTTGTTCTACGTGCGTACCATAGATTTGAATTTTAAAAGGACTTGAATTTTTTTTTATTCTTCAGATGAATTTAGGCTGCACATGTATTCAAACTCTATTTCGGTGGACCCATCGTCCCTAATTCTCTTTCTTGGACCCTCCCTTCTATAGTTGCATTTCACAACTTTTTGAAAGGCATATTTTGACAGGAAGAAACACGGGTAGTTTTTGAAGTTTTGTTAAATTTTTCACACTAGCTTTAGTTTGCAAAAAAAAATGTGCATACACGTAACTTGAAAATAATATATATTTTGTGGGTAAAATACGTCAAGTGATTAAAACGCAATTAAGTAATATTTAAATAATATATATAGTTTCGTGCAAGATTGGTAACTTTACCTTGCTGGAATATTGCAAATATAAACAGTAACAGTAAAACTATTGAAAAAACAAAAATTTTTGGGTCACACAAAATTTTTCGTAACTAATTGTCGTATTGTACAACTGGTGATAATGTTGCTGTTTTGTGAAAAGATTTAAATTCAAAATATTATTTTGTACAACTGAAAATTAACAGTTAATTTATTCTTAAAAATAAAAGTATAAAAATAGTACAAAATAACATTTTGAATTTTAATAGTTGTACAAACTAATATTATCACCGGACACAATATAACAATTTTTACGAAAAATTTTGTGTCAAAATAATGGCGATCCAGATTTTGTTCAATAAAATTTATTGCGTAGCCGTATACTGTGAATGTATGTATCATTTAGTGTTCACACCCCAGTTTCTGGTAGAAAAATTCATGGCGTTAGCTAGCACTGCTAGACTCCATGGTGGTGCTTATGTAATCTAGCAGTGCTAGCTAATGCCATGAACTTTTCTATAATTTCGGATTCGGAGCTTTCGGATTATATAAGTCAAATGAATTAAATGTAATGATCACGCTCGTGTATTGTAATCTCTCTTCTTTTCTCTTTAGATAATAATGTCTTTTTTTATCTTTATAAAGGGTATAATTTTGTAAACCCGTGTATAACTTAAATAAATAAATAAATAAATAAATAATTTTATGTATATATATCAACGTAAATATATTTTTTAAGGGTATGTGGGAACTTCCCATGTGCCTTAGTACGGGAAAATGTATTTTACATCTTACTCTAAAATGAGAAAAGATTTTTGTCTAAAATTTTGAGGGATAATAGATTTGGGTACAAGGAATCTCGCTGTTCTCAGAAAAATACATAATTTTGCATTAAATTATTAAAAAGTGAAGTTTGAAAAGTGACATTTTTAAACGAAAATGAAAACAAACATGGCGGCGCATCCACAGACGTTGCTTGAGTGTGTCAGTACTCCAGGAGACAGCGCCAATTCGAGTAAGTGGGCACTGAATGAACTATGATAAAATAGATTATTTTACTATTTATTGCTTTCTTTTTTTTTTATTTTTGCGTTATGTTATAGTAAATGAATAGAACAGCGAGATTCCTTGTACCGAACAAAATCATTTTTCCAAAATTTTAAACCGAAATCATTTTTTATTTCAGGGAAAGTTTGAAACCACATAAAAATGTCCTTTGCCCATAATGTATTTGAGTATTATTAGCATAATAATCCCAAAACTCAAATAGCTTAACTCAGTATTAATTTAGAAGAATTCTCATTTAACAGAATTTTAAATGATTTAAATTTATAAATGACAAAATTTTTTATTCATATTTTTCTCCGTGTACGGAATATACATCCTAGAATATTCATGCGCAGTACAAAGAAATTACTTAATGAGATAAGTTTCTAATACCTAGTACATGATCAATTAATAATTTTTGCAACTTAGGAAAAGTGTGCTAAAACTAAAATTTGCATATAACAAATTCTAAACTTTAAAAAACATATATATATACATATAATAAATTTCTTATACGTGAAAATATGAGTTTTTTGGCGAATAAGTTGTGAAATATTTTTAAAAACTTTTGGTAATTTCCATTAGTCCGAACTTGTAAATGACTGAAAAAATTATAACCGACAGAAAAACTTCGGCGTGAATTATAAAATTACAATTTCGGACTAATGGAAATTCAGCGTTTTAAGAAATCTATCAAATAACAATTTGTGCAAATAAAGATTGCGGTTAAACTGCAATGCGCCTACTGGTAGTGAAAATTAGAACGAGAAAGATCATTCGACTTCATAAGTTAAAATACATATATGACAGAAGAAAACAACATATTTTTTTTTATATATATAAAATTTTTAAAAAGTAAATAAGAAATTAAAAAAAAAATTGAATTCCGATGGAGTAAGATTTATTCATGAAATATCGAAAAGCAATAATTTTTGCTCAGTTTTTGGGCACTTTACCACAAAAAATAACATGCCGGATATTAATTAGCTTCTCACTCTCTTTATAGAATTTCGACTTAAATACGTCGAATTTGTAAAAACTAATATTTCAGTCAAAGAAACCTGCATTGTTTGTTTATGTTTACTTTATCTGTCAATGTCATTAAAACAGACCTATCTCTCCGGCTATATTGGTTAGTGACGTCACGGCCACCGTTCCCAATAATAAAAAATGCTATTTCCGGAGTTAATTTTACTATTTCAGAAGTAATTTTTTCTATTTTTGGAGCAAAAGTTACCAAAGATACGAAGAAGTTCCGGATAGTTTAGGTTTTACTTTGTAAGTAGTAAAAGATACTTTATATTTTTTTCCATGTAAATATAAAAAAAAAATTAACAATTTTGGTAATCTTGGCTGCAAAAATTTGATTTGCCCAATCAACAGACTTTAAATAGTTACAAGAACATTAACAAAATGCTTTGTTGTCAAAAACAAATATTTTTATTCTTGTAAAATATTGTTGTTATCACTGTTATTAAAGTTTTTAAAAGATTAGGGGAGGATAAGGCAAGGATAGTTAGTTGCTGTTATGCTTAGACGGCTTGCTCAAAAATCGCGTCATTCATGATATGTATATGGGCAAATCCACGAAACTTTTAACTTTCAAGAAAAAAAATTTCTTTTTTTAATTTGCAGGCACATTAATGTCACTTTGTATACACGTTTAAGTACATTTTATCACTACAAATTCATATGCGTTATTCATTTTTAGCTCACGCCGTCAATGTTTAGCTCTTTAAACTCTTTAATGTTAATAAATTACATATAAAATTGAAAAATTCAACTTTTTTTATTTTTGATATCGGAGTGGTTTCCAAAGTATTTTCGTCTTCTGAACACGATTCTGGCACCCAAATTTGCTTAGCACTGCAGAATTTTGAGAAAAGAGGGGATAAATACTCCAAAAAAGTGTTTTCAGCATATTCTTAACTTAATAAAATTTATTTCACTCAAAATCCTTAAGCGGCGTTTTTGTGTTGAAAAAGGTCTTAAAAGTTTTGTTTTTTCATCACCTTTTAAGAAATGCATTGAACTTTTTTTTTTAAATAAAAACGTTAAGAATAATACAAACTTTTTCAAGAAATTCAAATGAAATTTAAGCATTTTTTCACTTTTTAACTTATAAAACTAATTGTCAAATAAATATTTTGTTCTAATACTGTACATAAATGTTCCTTTGTATATAATTTAACAAAAAAAAATGATACCCAAAGTTTTAATTAAAAATAATTCAGATTTTTAAGTGTTCGAATCGAGAATCACAAAAGTTAAAAGTTTCGTGGATTTGCCCATATGTATTTGCGTCTTAACACCAATAGATGATAGTAAAAATTGGAAGTCAATCTGCCACAAATTACGAAGTCAGGAGTTTATTTTTGTAAAAAGTCTGTTTTGTTAAAATGTCAACGTAGTGTTTATCATACTGTTTTCTATATTAGTGCTTCCGAATACATATTTATTTTCCTAAGTGTTTTCCGGATTGCAATTTCCTGCTGAACACGAATATCGTATTTATTTTCAAATTAATTCACGACGTTCCTTAAAATTTAGAAATTGGTGATCATCTGAAGAAAATTGGTTAAACCTCAGATTCTAGTTCAGACGAATTTTAATGCAATAATTGATATTTAAAAAATGTTCAAAACATGTTGTTAATACTTGATATATGAATATTGAATAGTCTAATTCCAATAAAATAAAGAAACCGAAAATTTACTGATTTTCTATGACAATTTTAGCATTTAGATTCTTTTAACGTTAAAATTTTTTTTTTACTTTTTCATTCGTATCTCGTAGGGATTGCACTCTACAGCAAAATAATGTATAGCAAAATTATAGCCAAATAACCAGGCTTTCCAAAAATACTACTCAGGTTACAAATTCAGGTTTGGTCGCTAGATTCGAAAACGTCTTACCTAACTATTCTTGACCGATCCTCCCCTACTTATACGTATAACCGCAATAATTTATAAACACTTGTTTTTTACGATTAAGTTAATTGAATTATGATACCCTTTTATATTTACTGCTTTTTAGATGAACAAATTTAATTCAAATAAAATAATCCGAATTGAATAAAAAAATTTGATTTTCTTTATTTTCAAATTTTATATATCTACATAATATAATGCATAATTCTGTATAAATAAAAATTTGTTATAAAAATAAATTTAAATTAGAAGAATTTAGTTAATTTTCAATTGGAGTACATATAAAAAAACATTATATGTTGTTAATTGTAAAAATTATAAGGTATTTCCAGTGCGATCAATGGAATTCAAAAGACAATTTTCAAAAATGACATTGGTTCGAAATCGAAACGTTTGTGCTTTCAATATTCATCTCGAGATTCATCTCCACTCTATAACTATATACCTGAAGAGAACACCCTCTCAACATGAAACTCTATTGTGATTAATATCACATTTTAGACTATAGTCAATACACATACAATTCAGTTTCAAAATTGAAAATTGCTCCAAAAACTATAAAATAAAAAAAAATAGGAAAAAAATGGCTACATAACAAATAAACTGCAATCCTTTTATTCTATGAAAATGTTGGAAACAATCTAATGAATAAAGTTGAAGTTTATTTTTAATTATTTTACATGTTGTAAAAAAAATGATGTTCATATTAAATAAATTTGATTGTTGTATTTTAAATTTATGATAGTAAGTATAATTTTTCAAATCTATTTTGGAAATAATAAAAAGTGAAAATTTTTTTAACTTACCCATAAGCTTTCGAACTTCTAATTGATCCAAGAAAAAATTGAAATATCCTGTACATTGTTGAAGAAATATTAGGAACAATACCAATTTAAACAGCATTCTGCTCACCACGTGTTATAACAATATATCCAAAAGTAATATAATCCGAGACTATCTTAGAAAGAATTCACTTTGCTCATTTTTTATTATCATATCAATCAAAAAATCCCACCCTTAATTTAATATTTTCGGCATAAATGCATTGGACATGTTTTGAAATTTCAATTTTATTATTATAACATTTATACACTTGTCTCCAGAGGAGAAAATAGAATGAATTTTTCTTTTCGTCTTAGAATTTGTAAACGAGATGGCATAGGATGAGAGCAGTTGCTTTGACAGCTAGTAATAAATTTTGTCAAACATTTTATAGCCGTAAAAAGCATATAAACAACGAGCACTTATCACTTTAATTGAATTGAAAATCAACCATTTTTAATTAGTACCACTTTCCACTATTGTACGACGGGAATATACTTTATAAGAACATTATAAAAATGTGTGAAAACGATGTCAAACACTTTACACTACCGAGACTGGTTGGTACAGCCGTGGGTACAGCCCATGTACAGTGCAGCCACCATCAGTTATTCAGGATCGACGCAGGCTCTTGTTCCGAAGGTTCACGAACCCGAGTCGAGAATCCACGAAATACACCCACAACAGGTTTCGTTTAACATAACTACTTGCCTTTGAGAGTCTATATATGCTATGTGTTATATATGTATACATACAACTATGTATTCGTGATAACTTCTTTTAAAAAAACTAATTTTTCATTTCAAATTTTTAATCGTTGATACTTATACAGGAAAAATAAATTCTGTGAATTATAAAAAACTTTTCTGGATTATGAGATATACAACTGTTTACGAAACTATAAGTTCTGTAAAATGTGGTGAATACAATAATAGAGATAGACTTAAAATTTTTTTTATATTTGAGTGGGGCATAAATCTCATATACATATATGAAAGTTTTCAAATACATTCAAACTTTTCTACAGTCTATCCGCAAGTAATATATTCAACAAATTTTACAGTACTCTGTTTCGTAAAAAAATATATCCGCATTCCAGAAAAGTTATTTATATTATATCTATTTATATATTATTTATATATTATTATATTTGAGGGGTTCCATGCAAAAACAAACATATGACATATAACATATAACATTTGACCTCTTCGATTGGCTCAAATTTTTTTACCGTTTTGTGCCCTCCAAAAAAAGGCTTCGTGATTTTTTTTCAAATTTTTTCATCAAGCTATTTACGAAATATGATTTTTTCAATATTGGTAAATTTTAATGATTTTTTATTTTTGAATGCTCATGACTTCCTTAAAAATGCATCAATTTTTAAAGTTTTTTTTTCAAAATGTGTGTTTTTAACTGAACTTTTCAAAAATTTCATGCAAAAAATTATAAAATTAAAATTGACTGTAATTTTTGTAATTTGAAGGTTAAAGTTTTGTTTTTAAAACTGTTTGTATCCTTCGATTTTTTTCAAAAAAACTATTTCCTTTTACAAAAATTTTAAGCTTAGTCTGGTCGTGGGAAAACGATTTTTTCAACATTTTCGGAATTTCGAATTTTTTTAAAATACGTACAAGATTTGTTTAAAAGTTTTTTTTTTAATTTTGCATATTCTACCCAATAAACGAAAAAAACCAAAAATTTTTGGATATTGTCACTATGATTTTCGTAATCAGCGCATCAAAATACATAAATGTACATAGTATAAAACAAAACCGGAGATATTTTTAAAAATTTTTTAAATTCCGAAAATATTGAAAAAATTGTTTTCTCAGAATCGGACTAAGCTTAAAATTTTTGTAAAAGGAAAAAGTTTTTTTGAAAAAATCGAAGAATACAAACAGTTTTAAAAACAAGACTTTAACCTTTAAATTACAAAAATTATACAGTAAATTTTAATTTTATAATTTTTTGCATGAAATTTTTGAAAAGTTAAGTTAAAAACACACATTTTGAAAAAAAAAACTTTTAAAAATTGATGCATTTTTAAAGAAGTTATTAGCATTCAAAAATAAAAAATCATTAAAATTTACCAATATTGAAAAAATCATATTTCGTAAACAGCTTGTTGAAAAAGTTTGAAAAAAAATCACGAATCCTTTTTTTGAAGGGCACAAAACGGTAAAAAAATTCGAGCCAATCGAAGAGGTCAATGTCGACGATATGTTGGTTTGGCATGGAACCCCTCAAATATAATTGACTGAATTTATTTGCTTTTTGTTAATCTATGTATAATAATTTTGAATATGGATATTGAGAATAATTTGATCACCGTAATTGAAACCAATGGAAATCTTAAAACTGTTTCAATAATTATGGTGATGGAAAAATTTAATCTCTAATAATTAAATTAATAATTATTTAAGTTTGCATATTTATTAGTAATTGTATCAAAAAAAGATGAAAATAATTTTCTCTAATCATTTTGTAACAGTTATATTAACCCTAGAAGGAGTAACTGGGATGTTTGGATACCCCAGCAAAATTCAAATTTCGACAAATTTGGAAAATTTTTCGTTTTTGCAAGTTTTTTTCAACTTATTTTTATTTTATCAAAAAATCAATAAAACTATCGTTTTCCTTACTAAAAAACCAATAAAAATCACTATATATAATTAGTTTTATGTCACATAGAAACCTTTTTACATAAGTTTCAAGTTGGAGTGTCTAGACACCCCAGTTTCCCCATTAGAGGGTAAGAAAATTCATATACTCCTTCTAGGGTTAAATATAAGAGTAAATAATAGTTATTTTGATGTACTTAATTACCCTATATGCTATAATAAAAAATATTTAAATCTTTTTTTTGTATTTATTTAAAAACATTATGTTAGTTATGTTATAAATTTATAATTAACATTATTAATTGTATAACATTATTGCTATATTTTTAATATTTTTGCATTAAGTTATAGTAAATGAGAAGAACCGTGAGATTTCTTGTACCAAACAAAATCATTTTTCTAAAATTTTAACCCAAAATCATTTTTTATTTCAGAGAAAGTTTGAATCTACAAAAAAACGTCCTTTGTTCATATACCCTTAAGGTCCCCTATCTCGTAGAACGTCGTAGAACGTTTCCAAGGTAAAGTGATCTTCCAGTTAAAGTCCATCTTTAAATTTTCCCCATCTAACTTGAATTACCTAATATGGCCGAATACTGGAGGACAACTTAAGGTGCTTTTACACCTCGGTGGTTGCCTACCTGCAGGAGTTGTCACGGCAACGTACAGGAATAATAGATAGTAAATTCAAATTTGAATTTTCTGTCTTTCGCACTCTTACTCCTGCACGTTGCCATGACAACTCCTGCAAGAAGGCAGCCACCAAGGTGTTAAGGCGGTTCCAGAATAGGTGCAAAAGCCAAGTACAAGTGCAAGTCCCATGAGTGCAAGAGGGATAGATAGACTACCTATTCCCTTCGCACTCATGAGATTGCCACTTGGAGCCACCTATTGTAGAACCTTCATAAAGCACCTTTATGAAGTTAAGATCTAAGCAGAATAGATTCTTAATCGGGAATGTAATTATAAAAATAAACGTTGGTATTTATCGATCATGGCAAAATCAGTATAATCTCTGGCATGACGAACTCAAAGTAAAGATGCCTAATCTACTAGATATTTATTCGCTAATGTTAGTCATGTGACCAATTAAAATATTGCTGCGTTAACTATTGCCCTATCAAAAGGCATCTTATAAAATACAACAAGAAATATAGTTCTGTCATTTTCCATCTCATGCTTCGCGTTGACGATCTTATTGTGCTCAGGCCCAAATAACTTATTAAAAATTCAATTTCTATAGAGGGAAAATTAAAATATAAATTTATCAAATATTTAACAATGAATCTGTTTATATTAAAATTGCTGTTTGCTCCGCAAGAGGCCACTAATAAAGAATAAGAAAAAGGATCTCTTAATAATAATAATTTTTTAAATTATTTAACGAACGAGGAAGTCTAAATTCAGTTTCTACATAGATATTTATTTATTTGCTTTATTGTTATATGTCATATAATAGTTTTATATATCATATCGCAGTTATTATCGTAAATTAAATTTGAAAATAGGCTTTAAATTATAACAATCATCGAGAATAATGAAAGCGCTCCCTGAAACTACAGGTCGAAAGCGCTCTTATAATTTTTTTTTTTTTTTTCTTTTTATATATGAGCTAGGTCGAGGCTCATTTGGAGGACTGTTTCAATGACATTGTCGTTTTAATGCTCATTGAATACTCACCGGAATCCCCCCCCTTTAATAAGAAAGTTTCCCAAATGTTCAATCAAAATGAACATCATTTTCACTCGAATATATATATATATATATATATATCTATCATATATTATATCGAGTGTATATTTCTATCACGCTGAATTCCTTCGGGGGATCAGCGTTTTTATGCAAGTATAGATATATTCTCTATATTATATCATTTTTTTTTCTTCTAAACTTACGTGTTTTTTTTTCTTGTAATAATAACCATAATATAATCATAAAAGATATTACCACCATAGCAATAATAGTATATTATAATATTACTGTCGCTAGGGATGCAGAATAATTATATTATGTATCGACGGCCCACTACCATTTTAACAATGAATAATATTCATTCATCAAACAGCTTTCGATATACATAAAGGTATTGTATGTGTTTAGGGTATCGATGGCCACTTTAAACTTTCATTGGCTCTATGTATCTCTCTATTTTTCTCATAATGTAATTATATTGTATTTCTTGTTGTTATTCATTATCCCCTAGAGAGCCTGGCCGTCCTCACATGCGACCTCGATAGAAAATTCTAGCTAAAAACATGTCTATTCGTTAGTTTGAAGAAAATCGTCTTGAGTTTCCCTCAGTCATCGGATAGATCCTTTAAACTCAATCATTTCTGCAAAAGAGAAGTCAATCTCCAGTTTGAAAGCCATTTACTCCAAGATAAAGTAGTAGTTTCCTCAGGTGGTACTAGAGGATATTTCCTTTTTTTTGGAAGAAGGGATTAAAGAGGTTGCGAAAGTGGAATAAGGTTGTGAATGCGCTAAATTGATAGAGTGCTCAACAATCAGTGCATTCGATCAAATTTAGTCATGATATATAATTCATAAGTGTGTTTGTGTACACTATATATATATACGTAGCATGTCCAAATAGTTCCAAAACAAAAATTAATATTCACTTTTTGATATTAAATATTCTTATGTAAATTCGAAAACTGCTGAAAATTTTTGGAATATTTTGGACATCATTTATCTTTCTGTGTGTGTAAGTGTGACTCAAATAATGGAAGAGTGTGATTTATTTGAGAGGAGAAAAGGGACGGTACTCCGACATTTCAATTTTATAGATTTTTTTTTTTTTTTTTTTTGTCAATGGCATTGAAAAAAAATTGAAATTTCACAGTCAGTTCTTATTTACATGAATCATGGTATATTCAATAATTATAATAATAATTGTAGAGGATAATAATAGATAATATATGTACTTCCAACATAAATAACTCGCAAAAAATTACTGCTCGTGACGAATGTGATTACGTTTTTGGATATAACGTTAATCGATTGAATGTCGTTGCATAAACATTTATAATCAGATATAAGCCAAAAATGCAAATCATACACGCGACACTCGAATTTCTCGCAAAGAGTGTGAGACGCGTCACAAACAAATAATTCAAATTTAACGAAGAAGGTGATTGATTTTTCATTGAAGATGAATCAATCAGCTTCTTTGTTTTTTTTCTTTTTTTTCATTATTAATTGAAGAATGACGGAGGCTATGCAACTACCAACGGTTAAGAATCGCCATAGCAGGAAACGTGCTCGTAATTTCTTTTCTTTTTTTTAAATTTTTTTTTCTTTTTTTTTTTAATTGCAGTAGTGTACGCGCACCATATCCACTTAATATCGGTATCGAGTAAGTATTTATAGATAATAGCAATAAACTGCAGTAAGGATTTACCATCTTATCATCTACCATGACAAGTAATATTGGAGTTGTGGGCATATGTGTTTTACATGTGTGTTTGTGTATGTGTATGTAAGTAGTATTGTAAATTTACGTGGTGTCTAGAATCAACGAATTTTCATGCCAGTTTCGTCTACTACTACTACTTTGTATTCCAAATTCATCGTCGTCTTCTTTTCTTCCTTTCCGGTTCACTTTACTCAAGGAAAGCTCTATCGATAGAAAGATTTCCTTCACCTCAATGGGTCCATTTATTCCATCCCTGAAAACAAAAATTATCATTCTGCAAATTTTTCTTCATTTCTCATTCAAATCTATAACTTAGTACAAGTTATTGACATCAAGAACGAATTAATTAAAAAAAAAAAATCAATATTAATTTTTCAGTTAAACATCTTACGCCATTTCACTTTTCTCAATTTTAAACAATTTTTTTTTCTCAATAAATAGTTAAAATTACTCATTTCTTTTAACACAGCTATAGTTTTCTTCTCATAAATTTAACGATATCAAATTTCAATTTGACCAAAAATGTCATTTAAATATTTAGTAATTAGAATCTTATGTATGATTATTTCAATTAGCATGAATTTCTATATGTATTTAAAAAAAACACTTTATAATAATTTTAACAAAGATGGAACCTACAGTTTCATCGTTTTCTGTCAATTCAATATGGCGACCCAATATGGCTGACATTTTTTTTTTGAGGAAGTTCAATACTAAACATAACCTTAAACTAAAAATGTTTTTATACAAAAGTAATGTAATTTAAAAAAAAATTGCGTTTAATAAAAATTATTGTTATAATAATTATTTCCTTGTTTTTTCTTTAATCTTGGTAAACAATCTTATATTTCACTTGATTTCAATAAAGAGATTATTTTGTTCATTGAAATATTCTTTACAATTCTGTTAAAACTAATAATTTATTTAAAAGGTTTAAAAGTATTAAGTGTAAAACTGAGAAATTTTTATTAAGTTTAATATTTTATTAATGGTTCTTTTAAAAAAATTTATTAAAATTAATTTATATTATTATTTTTTTTCAATATATATATATAAACATTTTTTATTTGAATTTTGATAATCAGTCGATAAAAAACAATTATTAGTTTGAGGTTATGTTCTGGTATTAAACTTCCATAAATTGATGATTTTTGTTTAAGACTTATTTTATTTACAATTAGGAGTTTCTGAAGTTAATGAATCCAAATTTAGTGTCAAATTTAACAAAAATTAATTTCAATTTGATATTAAATTTGGATTTTACGACCTAAAAAAACTTTGAGTAACAAATTTCAAACATAATATAACCATGGTAGGGATAATTTTTATGATTATAAATTCCCGGTCAATTTTCTGTATTTCCCGGTCAAAACTTTGTAAATAATTTAACTCTTTCATCAATTATATAGAATCCATGAATGTAAATAGTTTAATTCTGATGAAAAAAATCAGATTTTTAGATCAGAAAATCAGATCAACATCAAAAACTATTTTTCACATTTAGAAACAATTATAAAATACCACACTGGAAAAAAAATTTATTTCAATCAAATAATAGGTTACTTGACTATTATTATTATTATTACTATTATTACTTAACTATTAATAAATATAACATTAAAGTTTAAATCCAATAATTTTTATTTGAGTCAATTAAATTTTATGTATTTCAAATATAGAAATTAAACAAAAAAAAACTGCAAAATATATAAATAAATTGTATCTATATTATGCAATTGTTTTAATATTTGCTTTTGAGGTCGTTGATTGGTATTTTTATTACAAAATTATCGACAATTTTTAATGTCATTGACTTTTCTAGTTATGTAAAGTAATGTTTAGAGTGATTAAAACAGAACAAAAAACACATTTTTTTTATCGAAATTTAGTAAACATTGTATATCTTTGACAATTTTTCCGTGAGAAATTGTGATATGTTAATGCTTCTTTATTTAATGAATATGAAATCTATTTATTCAATATAAGGAGAAGAAAAAATACTTCTTTTATCTATAAATAATCAAAAACAAAATTTAATAACATAATTATAAACAAAACCACTCTGACCAATATTGAGACTCATTTTTTTTCTTTTAATTTAATAAACATATTGAATTAATTTTATTATTTCAATTTAAGGAAATAAAATGATTGTAAATTATGCACAAAGGGGCATTTTTTAAAATATTTTTAATGATTAAATAAATAATTATCGCATGTAGGAATTTATATTGTAAATGGTCAGCTTACCGGATGTTGCTTATCTTGAACAGAATCAGAAATTCCCCAAGCTGGAGATTCCATTTTAGCAGATTCATTGGGCTGAATTTCCGATATTCCCGAGGATGTATATTGTCCTGGTAACATCGATAAATTTGGCATCAAGGAAACTGCAGCTGTATTTCCATTGGGGAATTGCTGTTGATTATCTAAATGAGTCTGTAAATACAATAATATGAAAAAAAATCAATCCAACCAAAATTAGATAAGCTGTAGAATATTAAATCGAAGCATTGACTGTAAAAAGGGCGTTCGATTACAACCAATTATTTTTACACATTTTATTTAAAAAAATTATAATCAATTTTTCTCTTTCATGAAAAAATCGTCTGTACACAGTATATTTGGTTGAAATTAAAATATTATTTCAAATTTTAACTTTCAATAGTTTTATACGAAATATTTTAGGAAGCTATTAAAAATATTTGATGTTTAAATTTTTCATTTCTATTTTCTGTTCTATATAATTATATTTTCTACCTTTAATACATTTTTTCTATCACTTTTAAAGCGTTAAATGATTATAAGAGAAGATTAAGGAAAATAAAATTGTAATGGTCATTTTTTTTTATTTTAATTAGAGTTCATTGACTTCGCTCTGTGTAGTTAAAGTAAAATCAATGACATTTTAATTTCACTTGACTGTATTACTCTGTGAAAGTATGTCACTTCGAGTAATTTTGGAATTTTAAACTCTTATTTATTATTTTTCAATTTTATTTCACTGGAAAATTCAGAAAATTAACAATAATAATTTTTTTTCTTATATGACATTATAAACAAACAAAAGTTTTTTTAAAAATTTTATTAAAATTATTGAAAATAATTTATTTAGCAAAAAATTATTGTTAAAAATTTGCTTAGTAATTAAATTTTGGAAGAGTTACATTGTGTACTAAAAAAAAGTCGAAAAAGTCGCATTTTTGAAAAAAAAAAAAAAAAATTTGGAAAAAGTCCTACAATTCGAGGCCTGTTATAATTGTTTTGTGTCATGCAACAATAAGATTCCAATTTTAAATAGAAAAATGCTATTCGATTTAAAAAAAATTAAAATTATTAAAAAAGATTTGCACTTTATTCTATAAAAAAAAGTCGAAATAATGGCATTTTAAAAATAAAATCGAAGAATTTGTATTTTCTGAACTCTGTGTTATACTTATTCAGAAAATCACAAAATTAATCACAACGGGACACGATTAAGTTTAACCTTAAAGTCTTTTCGCATAAAGTTTTTTTTGCAGAAATTTAACATAACTATGGACCCAATTTACATACCGTGCCATCATTTAAATCAAATATATAATAACCTCAACCCTAATTTCGATCTTTTTTTTGTAATATTTCTTCTTTCCTTAAAACAGTCGACCAATATATTCTTAGTCTCAGATAAGCACTACATAATACATTTCAATTATATCTTCGTCTTTCTTTTTGTTTTTATTTGTATATTATAACAACATCAACCTACGTATATTATCATCTTTGTATGTAATTTAAAAATGGTTTCCCACAAATGGTCCAATAGGACCGCGGGTTTACCTTTGTACAAATAAATAAATAAATAAATAACCTGAAACTAAAACGTTGTTTTTAACAACAAATAAAACTATAAATAAAATTAATTTTATCAAATTTTGAAAAATTTAGTTGTACGATTTTCAAAATAAATTATTTTGCTCAAAAATTTGTTATTAAATAATAATTATTTCACTTTTTATATTTTTTGTTTAAAGTTTGTGAACAATTGTAAATTTCATCCAATTTTTACAAACAATAGCTCATTTTGCTCTCTGAAAGATTTTCTACAATTCTGTTCGTTGAATTTTATTAACAATATTTTGTTCAAATGTTAATAAACAAATAAAATTTTAATTTTTTTTAAACAAACCATTATTTAACAAAACGACAAAATCAGAATTGTATAGAATCTTTCAAGAAGAAAAATGAGCTATTGTTTATAAAAATTGGATGAAAATTAGAATTAATCACTAACTTCTAATAAATATTACAAAATGTATATTAATTATTATTTAGTAACAAATTTTAATTCAAAATAATTGTTTTTGAAAATTGTAAAACTGAATCTTTCAAATTGTAGTGAAATTAATTTTAAAAATATTTTTAGTTCCGTTAAAAACTACTTTTTAGTTTGATGTTATGTTAATGGGTTGAACCTCCTTAAATGTCTCTCTAATGTCAAGTATTTCAAAGTACGTATTTTTAGCTTCAGAATAAAAACAAAATTATGAAATTTACTCCAACTGTTCAGAAGTTACACCATTTTTAAGCAGTAAAAATGAGGAATCAAAATTGTTTTCAAGAGAATGAAATACCCTTCTCCAACCTAATGCTTCACAATTAAAAAAGGAATTTACAAATATTACCTGAAAATTCGAGTCCATCATCTGATGTAAGTCAGTGTCCATATTGGAGGTGCGATTAAATGAAGTATTTGATCGGAACATCTGATGCCTATCAATACCAGGATTTAAACCCGCCCAAGATCCCACCATTTTCTCATTCAACATCCAATTTATTGAATCAGCATCACCTCCAGGTCCCATGCCAGTCGAATAATTTTTCCAAGCTCTCTCCGTGCCAATTGGTCTCGGTACTTTTCGATCTTCCATTTTCATTTGACTCATATCCTGAGCAATTTGTCCCGGTGACGATGGCGACATTGCTGGCGAGCCACCATTCTCCAAACTCGTGATCAAATCAATATTACTCGGTTGTCCCGCAATATTGGCAAGATGATTCGTAAAGCCAATTTGTCCCATCATTGGATCCTGATGCGGTGGATAACTATTGTGTGGCGGTGGCGGTGCAAAGGGCCAACGCGTTTGACCATTAGTCGAGAGATTTGTATTTGGTGTGCCGCGCGATGGTTGCGCTTGATATTTCCCAAGGGGGAAATTGCCCAGCATTAAATTATTCGATTGCATTCCAGCTGGCGGCGGTGCAGGAACAGTTGTGAACATATTTGGATGAATTCCACTTCCAGCGCTGAACATTGTCACTTGGGGTTTATTGTTGAGATGAAGGGAACTCGAGAAGTCGGGCGCACGGGGATTTAAGCGCGACATACTGACGGTGGTGTTGACAGTGACTGAGGGTGCAATTGTTTGTGTGAAACTTTGCATGTGTGGATGAAAGGATATAATAGTGTGGGCCGGTTGTCCATCGTTGGGGACCATTTTTAAGAGATTAGAATTTGGATGTTCGTAGCCGGTGTTGTTGCCTTTGAATAAACCAACGTCCATTCCTTGTGAGCTTGACGCCATTACGTGATGTGGAGGTGGATTTCGTGAGTTTAATTCTGCTTGATAGACTGGTCGATTGAATTGAGCAATGTTGGCTCCAATGTCAATGTTTTGTTGGGACATTATTGGTCGCGCTACTGCTAGACTTCCTGGTGCTTTGTTTGGTAGTGGGTGTTCACTGTTGTAGGGAATGGAGGATTGAATGTGAGGTGGTTGAATTGGATTTGGAGCACCTGATGGTGAGACACCGCTGACGTTCATTGAACTTCCTGGTGCGTTGCTGGTGCTGTTGGATTTACTCGAGACGGGTGAACACATTGATGTTCCTCTGTAGCCAGGCGCTTTTGATGCATCCACTTGTGGTGGAGCTGTTTCCATAAATTTTGGCGAAGCACCCGACGTATTCACTGAAACACCACCACCGGCAACTGTTGCAAAATTCATTCCTTTTTGAGATTCTTCTCGACCACCACCCCACATTGATTGTTGCGCTACTTTTGTAAATGTATCGTTGAACAAGGAATACTCGAGAGGAGTACTCGATTGTTGTTGTTGCTGCTGTTGTGGTGGTTGTTGTTGCTCCTGAATTGGCGGTGCAACAGGAGTCGAACTACGTATTTGATGCGGTTGCTGCTGCTGCTGATGTGTTTGCTGTTGTTGTTGTTGTTGTTGCTGCTGCTGCTGCTGGTGTTGTTGAATAGATGGTATCTGAGTAACCGGAGCAGCTGGAGGTGAAGGAGTTACACGAATAACAGAAGCACTCATGTCGGCTCCATTCGTCACTGTTGAAAGGGTCGTTCCACTGGAATTGGGAATGTATCCAGTTTTAGCAGAATAGTGAGACGCCATTGTCGGTGGTGCTGACAATGTCGGCAGTGGTCGGCAGTGTTTAGGTGAATTGTTGACTACAGATTGATGCGGAGAGGTTTGCGGTGTTGCAGGCGCTGTCGAGGACATAATTGTCATTGTACAGGACTGAGATGATTTTTGCTTGCTCCCCGTGCTGTGAGCTGATTGCATTACTGTTGCTGTTGAATGTGTCGAGGCAGTGATTTCAGAAAGTTTTGCGGCAAATGTTTGCGATGTACTGTTACTGGTTGTGACAATTTTCGTCGCACGTCCAGCTGTCATTATTGCGCTCGTATAGGACATGGTTGTCTTTGTGTTTGCCGACGCTGATGATAATTGAGCAGCAGCCACTGCTTGCGCTCGTTTCTCCGCTGGAAATTCAAAATTAATAATTATATTTTCTAAAGAATTAATTATTTTTTTACAATGTAATGAAAATTACCCGCGGCCACTAATCTTGGTGCAGTTGCCCTTGGTATAGGTGTGGGAAAAGCGCCAGAAAGTTTAATTGCCGACGATGAGCGAAGAGGAAGTAATGGATTGACTCCAGACGTTGGTACACTTGAATAACCTTTGTTCAGTTGAGAACTCGAAGCACTTGCAACCAGACTAGGAGGTTTGCTCACAACACCACCGACTTTGCTTTTAGTTGCCTGCAACAACAAAAAAGACAATTAACATACACAATTCACTATATTTAAGTCACAATTTAACTTACGGCAACTGGAGGAACGGTTTTGTCCCAAGTGGACGACATGACAACGGTAAGTTTTGATTTTGGAAGCATCTGTTGAATATCCACATCTGGATCCTTAATTAAAGCGGTTATTAAACTATGAGCTTGTTTGGTTGCATCTGCCGAACCTCTGTTAAAAGGAAAAAAAAATCATTTATTAATTTAAATTAATTATTAACCCCCCAAAAAATGTTTGAAAAAATAATATTTACTTGATAGTAATAATTCTCTCTCCTTGAGATTTGCTCTGCTTTTCAACTTCTATATGTGCTCCAGTTGCACCTCGTATAGCATTGATATTACTGCCGCCTCTACCAATAACTCGACTAATTGCATTTGGTGGGACCGTTATCTTTTTCGATCTATGTGGGGAATTCATAAATCTACCAGAGTCATCCGATTGACCCCTGTACACATAAAAAAATACAAAATTTTTTACACTCCTTTACCAAACTGATAATAATTAATCTCACGCATAATTTCATTCTGATTCAGCAATTGATCATAAAAAAAATTGATACAATAGGAGCAGCATATTTTAACATTTTGTTCATTTTCACTTATCAGGAAAAAATAATTAATATATAATAAATTATAACTAAATTACCGCTAGAAGCAAAATTTGTATAAATATTAACAGAATGTGAGCAATGTTTCAAAACTTTTTTAATTTATCAATAAAAATTCTATTAAAATTTAATATTCTTTTAATCAAATTCAAATGAAATTTAAATGAAATTTTATATCGAGTGTGTTCAAAAAGTTTTGAATCATATACTATTTTTTTTTTTTTTTTATCAAAATAAAGAATATCTTTTTAGGAAATCTAGAAATTTTTAAATATTTTACACATTATAGTTAATATAAAATTAATATAATTTTAAAATATAGGTAACCACTTGTTTTAATTAAGTAATTAGGTAACTACTTACATTTTCTTTTCCCTTTAAATGATCTTCCCAAGTAGAAAAAAATCAAAATTTCCATTCTTTCATCAAATGAAAAAAAAGCATTCTTCACTACTTGCACACTGATTTTTTTTTACTATTTTTACAAAAACTTTTAGATTCATGAGAAAGATGAAAAAAGAAGAAATAGAAAATTCTCGATTTTCTAAAAACTAGATACAATTTTACATTATCAATTATTACAGTGTGAAAGAAAGTCCATTTTTCAACATTTTCTATTGCATTAAAAAATTTTAATTCATATTTACATATTTTAGTAAAATATTCTTTACTTCCTTCACAAAATATGCACGATATGAAAAATTATTAAAAAAAATTCATCAATTATTAAATAATTTGTATAATTATTTGTAAATTATTAGTATTTGTAAAGATTAGTATAATGAAGGTTTTTCTAAATCTATTAAAATGTAAAAAATTCTTTAGAATGAAAGAAATTTTGGAAAATAAGGATCAAGTAATTAAAATTTTGTTTTCCGTTTCAATTCAGTAAAAAGATTTTTTTTTTTTTTTTTATTTTCTATTGTCTAAAGAAATGAAACAGAATGTCAAAATTACATTCAATACAATTTTACTATATAGTTAAAAAATAGTAAGTTGAAAAATGTCTAAAGTAACTAAATTAACATCGATATATATTTTTAAATATATACTTATGTTTCAATGCATAGAGGAAACGCCAGTGAAATTTAGAAAATGATAAAAAAAACCAAATAAAGTGAAATATAAAATGTTTTGTTTAAAATAAAAATGTGCTATATTAAAAGAAAAAAAAAGAAATTAACCTTGAACCCAATGAATTCCCAAGTCATTCAAATAATAAAAAGTTCCATACCTTTTAGAGTTGCTTAAAAGAATCTAAACATACAAAAATAAAGGCAAGTTTATTAATTATTAAAAAAAAAAAAATAATAAAATCAAGTACATTACAACCTGTAATAAAGAATGAAAAACGTTCAAAAAAAACATACAAAATTTATAAAAATCCCATGCAAAAACATGTTATGTTGCATATTTTTTCTGCCCTTTCTTAACTTTGTTAAGAAGATGTTTCTCTGTAAATAAAAAAAAAATGGAAAAAAAGGTTCTTCGAAATTGAATTCCAAAATTCACTGATGCCTGTCATTTATAAAAATATAAATTCATTAAAATATGCTGCTCATACATATCGTGGATTAATTCGAAAATTATGATGATCATTATATTCATAATGACGATAATTTGGTAGTGATGACAAACTCGTAAACTGTAGACAAGATAAAATTTTGACAATACATATTTGGTAGATAGCTTTTTATGGATTTTTTTTTCATCTTAATATTGTTTGCTACAATATTTTACATAAAAAAGGAAATTAAAATTTTGCTTTTAAAGCAATAAAAAGAAATTAAAAGAAATCCGGGTTTTTTTTTTTGCGGATTTAGACAAAAATGAAAAATAGAAACTATAACAACGGTTTTAAAATGAAACAAGTCTTACTTTCGTACGACCTCCTTCCATCCTTCTTCACGTTTTCCCCCTTGTTTTGGACTCGTCGATGAATTCGATTTGGTGGAAGTATTTAAAATCTCTCCCTCGAATTGATTGTTAAAAATTTTCTTCCCTTTACCCGGCATGTAGGTCTCATTTCCGGTAGCTTCAAAATCCTCCCTATCCGCGGGATGTCTCGATGCTTCAAAAACCAATTGAATTTTGAGCTTTCGATCATTATTTGAATTGTTTGCATTGAGATTTAACGATGATCTGGCATTGGAAGCGGAAACAGTGGACGACGACGACGATGACGACGAAGGCCCTGTAACTCCACTCGCAACGGTAGACGTATTTCGTCTGTAATAAACAAGTGTTGCCCTTTAGTCCGAATATTGAATATTCTTTAATTGAATTAAAATTTTTAACATTTAAAATAGAATGAAATAAGAACTTACTTTTCAGAAATAGATGTTTGAGATTTACTTGGCGAAATTGTTGATTGTGGTAAAGTTGAACTACTACTGGGTAAAACAGTTTTAGGTGGTCGATGCGGTGAGGTGTCTTTTTCATTGACACTTGGACTACTGCTTTTCTTTTTCTTCTTCTCTTTTTTCTTTTCTCTTGCTTTGACATCGTTACTGCTACAACTTCCCTGACTGTTGGCATCGATTCCACTGTCACCCTCTTCTTTATCAGGATCCTCGGGACTCCTGTTTATTGGTGAAGGTACATTATCCATTCTTTCATTATTATCAGCTTCCTCCTGTTCACTGTCTTCTCCTCGATCTCCATCTTCGTCGCCTGATTTTTTACCATTATCTTCTTTATCCTCAAAAATTGTTTCATTTTTCTTATTTTCCTCATGTAATTTTCGTTTCTCTTCTTTCTTTTCGAGTTTTTTCTTCTTTTTACGCTCACGCCTACGAGCAGCTGCCGCTTTCTTTGACTCCTCTCTCGTTTTTTCCATATCAAGTTCCTCTAAAAGTATTGTCGCATTTTTATTTGCCTTTGCCGCTTGCGTTTCTTTTGCAGCGCGAATTATTTTGACACACTCTTGACATTTCTCCAATAATTCCTTATCATTGACAGTTGCAATGTACCTTGTCATTTCTTGATCGCTGGGAAATTGTGTTACATGACTAACCATCCATTTGACTACTTTTATATGACCCTTCCTGAATGCAGCCATTAGACATGAAACCTACGACAATTTTTTTATTTCAAAAATAGTAATAATAATAATAATATATTGCGTAAATTGTTTTTTTTTATTTTTCCTTATAAAATTCCTGGATTTTTTCAGATTCCCAAGTAGCGTGACAACCCTGATATTTAATTTAAGTTTTACCTTTCGATTATCTTGCGAATCAATGTCTGCGCCTGCATGATAAAGTAAATCCACTACATTGAGATGGCCGCCATTCGCTGCAAGCCACAAGGGACTGTTTCCTTTTTTATTCTTCACTTCGACTTGAGTACCCCTGTTATCAAGTAATTACATTAAATTATTGCAAAATCAATAGGACAAATCTTATATTATCTCGTTCTAGTGTTCACACATGTATGTGAAAAATTGACGATATCAATAAATTATAGTTTCAAACATAAAAAATTACAAAAACATTTTCTACAGGAAAAATGACAATAATTGTAGTATTCTTTCATTCTATCTGAACCTGATGCTTTTTCTCAAGATTTAGTTTAGTATTTTCAAAGATAACAAAAGTATAAATTACTTTGATTCGGTATAGGTACTAAAAAATGTAATTAAATTATTATAAAATTCATATTTTTTTAAAAATAATAATCATATTGAAATTTAAAAAAAAATTGTAACTTTTAGTATTGTATTAATTAATTATTGCATATATAAGAATTTTGTTCGTTTATTTTTTCTAAATAAATTTTTTAAAAAATATATAAATTTTTGTAAAAACTTTAATTTTAACAAACTTTTGTATACTTACAAAATACTTTAATGTCATTAAATGCATACATTTTTTTAAAGAAATTTTAGTAGTATTTAAGTAGTATTCTAATACACTTAAATGTATATAGAGATTAATTAATTAAACAGTTAAATAATATATTATTAAATTAAAATTGTTTGTTTCTCAATAACTTTGAATAAATTTATATTTTGTACTATTTGAAGAAAGTTTGAAATCTTAATTAATTTTTACTACACATTTAATAGTTACTTTTATAAAAATGTAATATGTAATTTAAAAATTGTCAAATAATATTATTTCGATTTTGAAAGTATAAAAAAACTCGCGCACGCGTTACTTTTATTAGTTCGCGTACGTGCAAAAAAGTATTCGATTTCGATATTGTTAACAAAACTATAGAGTATAATAAAATTGAGGAAAATAAGTAAAATTGTACTAAATATCACAATACTTACTTAGATAAAAGTAATTCAACGAATCGACAATGACCCTTATCAGCGGCTATTGTTAAAGCAGTATCACGTGAAGAAGGAACAGGTGTGGCATTGACATCAGCTCCTTTATTCAGCAATACTCTTCCAACTTCAACGTAACCACCACTGGCAGCTTCCATCAGGGGAGTTAATCCAGTCTGAAATTAAATAAATAAAGCTTTTACTTAATTTAATGTTAAATATAATTATTTTTGTCAATACGACATATTTTTTATTTCTTTAGTGCACTAAATGTAAACAGCTAACAAAACATAATTTGTTTTATTTTATTATTAATAAATTGACAAACTGTGGTAAAAAAAAATTGCCTAAAACCTTCATTTATTAATATAATTGAAACCACATAAATAATAATAATTAAATAAAAATATTTTCAGGATTAACAGTTCAAAATTTCACCATTTTTTTTTTAAATTACAGGCTTCATAGTGATCCAAAAAAATAGTTTAGTGGAAAAATAGAGGACTTTTAGAATACTATGAAAATTACATAAAGATAAATTACTTTGTACTAATTTTTTGTAAAAATAGGGCCTTTTAGAGACTATGAAGCCTGAAATTACCTTAAAAAATTCAATATATTTAGAGCCTGATAAATTGAAGTAGTAAGTAAACAAAAGCCCTTTTTTTCGTAATAATAAAAAAGCAATATCAAGTAGTATTAATAAATTTGTACCTTAGCTCGATGCTCAACGTTTGCTTTGCGATCGAGTAAAAGACTAACAACTTCGTGTCTTCCTTGAAAACAAGCAAGAGTCAATGCCGTGTTTCGATTTGTTTCAATTTGAGCATTGATATCACTTCCCATGTCAAGAAGTAACTTAACAGCAGCTGTAAAAAGAAAACAATGAAACAATCTTTAAAAATAGAGAGAAAAAAAAAAAAGTGAAAGAAGAATGACAAACCTGTATGGCCATTCATAGCTGCAAGCATGAGTGGAGAAATGCCCAATTTTGAGCCAGTTCGAGAATTGATCTCGGCGCCGTGACTGAGAAGTAATTTGATGATATTAACATAACCACCGGACGCCGCAAGACTAAGTGGAGTGTAGTCAGAAACATTACGATGCTCTTTATTAGCAGCACGATTTAGCAAAAGTTCGACTACTTCATATCTGCCTCCACTGCAGGCAAGCGACAATGGCGTGTCTTTTGTTCGTTCAGATTGGGCTTCAATTTCCGCCCCATGATTCAAGAGAATCTCAACAACCTTTTGATGACCAGCGGTTGCTGCTAATATCAATGGTGTAAATCCTTTCTTGTCGCGATGCTCTGAAAATTAATGATTTATTAATTTATAATTCTTCAAATTAAATAGATAAAGAGGGAGACGAAAAATAAAAATTACCGATATCAGCTCCTCGACTTAACAACAATTCAACAAGATCCTCATGTCCACCGGCACAAGCCAAAGTCAGGGCAGTGTCGTGATTACTATCCGTTTCAGAATCTACGTCCATACAGGAAAATGGCGCTGGTGGTACTTGATTCGCTGTATAACCGCCAACAGTCGGAACACCAGTAGTATATTGTCCAGCAACTGAAATTCATTTTTTTTTCATCATTTGCAATTTATTATTTAAAATTTGAGGAGTTTTTTTTTAAACTTAACTTTTATATCTTAAAAATTGAAAATTTTATATAAGAGTTAATTTACTAAACTTCTGTTTATTTGAGGGTTGTTGCAGCGATCATTTAAATTTAAAGAGATCAAAATAATAATGTGCTGATTCACCTTAAATCATTATTTTTGAAAATTCAAAGTTTTGTTAGAAAATTGAAGGAATTTTAAGAATTCAAAGACTTTTCAATGATTTCAAACTCTGCTGGAAACTGTAAAGTAGATAAGAAATTTTTGTATGTTTTTTTTTTGTCAACTAACCAGCACTTGGATCCAATTGGAAGGTTTGAACGGGAAAATTAGCGGACTGTTGTTGAGTAGTGGCAGCGTTTTGCTGTTGTGAGATAAGTGGATATCGGGCCTTTTTCCCTTTATTGGCAGCAGGAGCTGTGTAGACTTGTTTCCTGTCGGGTCCAACTGCAGTCGAAGTTGCAGACGAAGCTGGCGTTTGGGTTTGCGTTGCAACTTGAACTTGATTTGTGTTACAGGCTGTTGATTGAACAGCATTATTAGCAAGCTGCGATGAAGTATCGACAATGGCAGTTGTTCCAGAAACAGCAGGTAATGTTTGCGCTGGAAATGCTGCAAATTTCAAATCAACATTATAACAAAAAAAATATATCCTGACTAAAACATTTATGCATTTTTCTGACTTTTGTAAATTTGAAAAAAAGATTTTCACTTTATTCCTAACTTGCGGCCACCATGAAATTTTCTTCCTAGTAAAATATAATTTTAAAAAATGAACTTTTAGAAGAAACTTACTCAGTTGAGATTGTAAGAGCAATGAAGACTGAAAATTCTCCTCGCTTATGCACGTTTGCATTCCTAAATTGAGACCAGCTTCGAAGGCACTGATCACGCTTCTAGGTATGGGTTGCGTGGGTGTTATTTGCAATCCCGTGGACACGTCTGCTTGTATCTGTACTCCTGCTGTTGTTACTTGTAATGATGATAAAGGCATAGATGCCGATGGAACCGTTGGTACAGAAGGTACCGATGGTACTGGAGCTGTAAAATAATCACGAGATGGATGAAGATTGTTAGATTGTTGAACAACCTGACCAAGTTGTTGCTGTTGACTCTTTCCCGAGATTTCCAATTTCTTCATATCAAGCTTCGATGGATCATCATCTGCAACTGCTGCTACTACTTGAAAAACATTTTATTTGTTATTATTTTCTTTTTTTTTTATAAAAAACAACATTTACAAAAACAAATAAAAATTTACCATTGGACGCTTCATCCAAACTAATTGATCTTATGATATCGACGGCATCTTCAATTGGAATCTGGGTACCATCATCTAATTTAAAAATACCGTCTTCGACACCAAGGGACTTTTGTGTTTTTGGAGCAGAAAAAAATGGACACGATCCATCTCTATGTAGTCTTGCAATTTCAGAGTCCATATGTTCGCCAAGATTTTCTTGCGGTGGTTGCTGTAGTAGATAATGCAAATTATACATTTTATTTTTAATTCTCATTTAAATTCATTTTCTTTATTCACCTACAAAATTACAAATTGATGTTTTTATTTTATAAATGACGATCTTTCATCATTGCACAATTATTGCTTTCATAGTTGATCAATAATTTCTAAAACTACATTCTAATTTTTAAGAATTTTTATACACAGAAAACAAAAAAAAAAAATTATCAATTTATTTTCTTCACTCTCTAAATTTTGGAAAACGCAACATGCACACGAATTCAAATGTCACGAAAACAATCATGGTATTTGGATTACTTTCACTTTGAAAAAAATGCAATTAGTCATTAGGCACATTATTTCTTAAAAGAAAACTAATTACAGTTAGTTAAATTGATTAAAAATAAAATTATTACTTCTCTTTGTAAATTATAACTATTTATTATTTTTTATCAATGAAAGTAATTTAATTGTTTAGTTATTTCTGTACATTCTTACTTTGTTTACTTGATTTATCTTTTGAGATAAATTTTCCAATTTAAATATAAAAATTAAAAAAATTTTAATGCGATAACTTTTTTAAGGAAAATAATTTAAATAAAATAGAAAAACGACATAATTTAATGTTATTATATTTTAAAAATAACTGAAAAATTAATCACTCTTGTAATTCTCAAAAAATGATAATAAGTTAACTTTTCAGTTTAACAAACCTAAAAAAATTCTTGGAATTTAAACTAAAAATTAACATCTTTTATTTATTATTTGCTGTAGAATAATTTTAGAAATCTAAACCGAGTTGCGCAACTTTTTTAAAAGTCCCTGAAAATTAATATGCATTGTTTTTTTATTTATGTATTCATGAAATTTTATTTACTGAAATTAAAAAAAAAATAATAATCAATATTTCGAAAAATGTTTAATTCAAGTAAAACTTAATTGTAATCTTGAAAACACGTTTCATACAAGGCAATCTACAGTAGAAAAAAAATAAAGTTCCTTTTTTTCATTTAAAAATTACTCATTCAAGGATATATATTGAAAATAAAATGATAAAATGCGATAAAATGTGATTGAAGCTTCTCAAGTTACTAATTATTGATGTTAGAGCCTAAAATTTTTTATTTTTTTATTTTTTTTTTGCAAGTAAACTTGAGTGATCAACAGAGCAAACAAGCAACAGAGGTGGAAGTAGGCAAGACAGTGGAGTCGTGCGATCAAGTTATATTTCAATCATAAAACATTTCCTGTTCTAAGCTACCACAAGTTTATATCAATATTTTCTCCTAAAGCTACAAGAAATTAAATTATTTACCTATACAAATGATACAGAAATGTAAACAAAAAAAAATAAAAATAAAATGCATAGCTACATAAAATAGTAGCAGCTTTTGGATAATAAAATATTTCTTGTTATAAACTACAGGTTGATAACTTTTGAATTGATAACTAGGAATCTTATATTTCCTGCAAATGTATTCTTTAATTGAAAATCAAGCACTACAGTTTCAAAACAAAATTGTCCTAATCAAAATGAAAGACGAGCACTTGCTTACAAAAATTTATTAATTAAAATTTCCCATTTCTTTCTCAATGACTTAAGAAAGAATCAAACAATCGAAACAAAAGTTAGTCCATATTTTCGAATCTTTAATTTAAAAAAACGAAATTAAACTTTAAATATTTCAATATAAGTGTAATTTTAATCATTTAAACCATTAGAAGTTGTATTTTAATAAAAATTACAATTTTCTGACAGTAGGAAACTATTTAAATAACCAAAAATTTGCCTACAGTTTATTACTGTGGAAAATTTTAATCTTCATTCAAGCATCTTTTAATGATTCAAAGTGTTAAAAATTAAATTGCTCACACTTTTACTGAAGAACTTTTTTAATTAAATTTTTTTTTATTAAAAATACGAAAAGAAGTTGGGCTTTTTTTTGTTTTGACTGTCCATCCGATTCTTTCTTTAAAAAAGTAATTCGAAAAAGAAATTAATGTTAAATATTGAATTAAAGTGAAACTTTAAAAATATGATGTTAGGATATTAAAAAGGTAAAAATAGCCAGTAAAAAATCAAGTCGCTCAAATGCGTGACATGTATAAATATAATGGAATATTATTTGAGGAATTAATGAGGAAACTATCGAGGTAGCTTGGAACAGGGTTGAAATATGAAATATACCTGGCCAAGAAGATAGTGGGTGTGAGAGGGGTGGAGGTGCGCCATCAGCTGACTTGGCATCAAAATGCCGCCTCCACTGCCACCCCCGACACCACTTTGTTGTTGCTGTTGTTGCTGCTGCTGTTGTTGCTGTACCTGCATACAAAATTTCATATTCGTCATACAAATAACGCGAGAGTTTCTCTTAATTTTATTCCCACACAATGTTATACTAACCTTAAGAGATTTTTTTTTTTTAAAGAATGTAACAATAAAATACGCTTACACAAATTTTCTTTAAAAGTTGCATATTTTTTAACGGTTAAAGTTGGTTTTTTATATTCTTTTTTATCCTTAAAATGAGTAGCTTCAATAATAATTCTGGCTTACGTAAAATAAAATAAAAATAACAAAAATTAGAGATATTTTTATAAAAATTGATTAAGCTTATAAAATTACCTCTCTCTTTCAATTCATCTAAAAAATCAGTTTTATCGCTATCAAATGTGAGCAAGTGATTGAATGAAAAAAAATGCAAGTACATATACAGTGAAACCTCGATTATCCGAACTCCTGTTATCCGTACCTTCTGTTATCCGAACCGTAAAACATTTTATCCGAACTTCTGTTATCCGAACTTTTTTTTGTCTTTTCATTTTATTAATGTATTTATATCTTAATTATTATTTAAAAAAAAAATATATATATATTTAATACAAATATTTATTTGTAACAAATAATTATTATTTGAATCAATTAAATGCGGTATTTGTTTCAAATACAGTAATTATTGGTTTAAAAAGTACAAATTTATTTAATTCAAATAAAAATTATTTAGTTGAAGTAAATCATTATTATTATTATTATTATTATTATTATAGTTTAACTGTGACATTGTTTTACTTTAATTATATATAAAAACATTTGAAATTTCTATTATCCGAATTTTCGTTTATCCGAACCCGGTCCTGTCTAAATTAGTTCGGATAATCGAGGTTGCACTGTAGTGAAATATTATTTTTATACAATACCATCGGAAATTATCGGATCACGCTTTTCTTATGTGTATAAAACAACTTAAAATGTGAAAAATACAGAAATTAAAATATGTATTTCCTGAAAATTGATGAAATTCTAAAAAAAATTATCTTAAACATAAGAAGATTTCTTCAATTCTCTACTAAGTATTAAGGAAATATTCAATTTATAATATTTTTTTGAATTATATAATTGAAATTATATCCAAATAATCAATAAAAAAAAATTAAAATTATCTTCAAATATTCAATCAATTAATTAATTTATAATTAAACTTATATTTTATTCAATCAAATAATTTAACTATTAAATCAAATAATTGGAATTATTCTAAAAATTTTCATTTTTTAACATATTTATAAAAAGTTTTCTAATGTTAATTCATGAATTTCAATTTTCAAATATTTAAAAGATCTTTTAAGTTGCTTATTACGATTCCAAAATTGAATTTTCCAAATTAAAAAATTACGGACATTGTTTTAGTTTACCGTTTAAAATACTAAAAGAAACATTGAAATTATATGTATGTAATTTCCTTGATTTTTAAAAATTATTTTTCTGCTCCAAAAGTGATATTTTATTTTTTCAACTAGTTTTTTTTATCTAACTTTCACGACTGGAAACTTTTAAAAGAGAAAATATATTGTACGATTCATTTAGGAATTACAATAACTTTCCGGAAATAAAAATTTTAATTTCGACATTTTAAATTTCATGTTTTTTCTTAATCACAACAATAATATATAATTCACATTCTGGTAAATAATTACTGTGCAATGATGAGTTTCAATTATTAGAAAAAAATATTTTTCTACTTTAAATAAACAAAAAGTTGGTATTGTAGCCAACTAAAATTATTTAGATAATTGTAACTTTTGATAAATTAAAATATTGACATATTTAGTAGGTAAAAATCAAGTGTATAAAAAAAATTGTTATTTCTTCATGTCAAATTAAAAACTGTAAAAATAAATATTTCGATTTATTAAAATTAGAATAAATTATATATATATCAAATAAAAGTTTAATAAATTAGTAGTAGATAATATATTAAATGATAATTTGAATAAATAAATATTATAAACATTAAGTTAAATTTTTTGTTAATTGATAAACTATTTTTTTTATGGAAAAAGTTTTTCGCTGATCAAAAAATCTCAAACATTTTTTTCAAGCCTCGGATCGACTTTAAGGCGCAAAAAAAGTCATTTTAGTCGATTATATTATCAAAAAAAATCGAAAAAGTCGATGTTTTTATTTTAATTAAATTTATTTATTTACTAACGATGCAAAAATTTTTAATTGAAAAATTGTTTAAGATAATTGAATTTGTAAAGAATTTCATTATAATTATTGAAAATAATTAATTTAGAGAAGAATTTTAATTAAAAATTTGTTAAATAATTGCAATAAAGATCTGAATTGTATACTAAAAAAGACCAATTTTGTTTAAAAATTTGGTGAAAAGTGTAAGAAAAAGTCGAAAAAATCGTATAATCCGAGGCCTGTGTTAACTTTAAAATTTTTTCTTATGGAAAAATGTTTTCGCGCAGCCATAAATCTAAAGTAGTTTTTTTTTACAAACTTATGGCTAAACTAAAGTTTTGACTTTTATTAAAAATCGAAAGTAGTAAGAAAATGGATTAAAAACTCACTTGTACTTGATCGAGTTGCAGTTGCAATTGTTGATTCAGTTGTTGAAGTTGATGAACCTGTTGAACTTGATAGGTGTGTTGACGTTGTTTTTGCTGGTATTGTTGTTGTAAACCAGCCATGAGAGTCGCTTGTTGTTGCTGTAGTTTTGCACTCAATGTATTGCCAACCTTTCGAATGTTTTTCCCTTCTTTTTTGGAGACAGGCTTGGCTTTTGGACGATCGCTAATTGCGGTATTTTGACTAACATCACTGCTGGCCGTGATGGGCTGAGAAATTGTCATAACAGCCGGAGGACTTGAGATGTTTAATGATGTTGGAGTTGTTGTTGATGATGCTGCACTGGGTGTCATTAGAGCGGTGGCTGCGCTCACAGGAACGCTGGCAAGCGACATTGGTGGTGAAGTCGCAAAATTATTTGCCGCAGGAAATGTCTCAGCAAGTGATGATGTCAATGACAATGGCTGTTGACCATCTTGCATTCCCTCTTTCATAAGTCTTTTCTTTGCCGATTCTAAACCGCTTATGTAGCCATCGTAGAAACCAATCAGATGTCTATTATTTTCAGGCGTTTGGAATAAACCTGGCACACCACCTAATATTCAAAAGTTTTTATTAGAAAACTTTTGCATAATCTAAGCTGTTGCAATGTTTTCAAATATTTGTATTTGTCAATTAAATTGTATTATTTCTTTTTTGCAAACATCACGCATTTTACAAGGTGTTTAGCGAATTATTATTTTCAAATTCCTAAATTTCCTGGAACTTAAACTAAATTTTTTCCCGATTTGTTTTTTAATTACTGATACTGAAATATTAATTAAAAATAATATAAAGAGCTATTTTTAAATTTTCAAGAAAAAACATTTTATTCCTTTTTAATTAATTATTTAATTTTCCATTATAATGTTTAATTTTTTAAAATACTTCGATTACTAAAAAAAGAAAATACATGAACATTAAAAGTATGAATAATTAAAAAGGGATAAATGATTGAACAATTTAAAAAGTGTGGCGAAGTCTGCAATTTAAATATGCGAAATATAAAGTGTGTCAAGCGTTAAATTTTAATTGAATAAATTTTATAATGATTGTTTGGTCCTAATTTTTTTTTTTAATTCAAGTGAAAAACAAAAATGTTCATCGACATTTCAGATCGATACCAACTAATTTTGGTACAGTGGAACCTCTGTTATCCAAACTGTAAATCATTTTACCCTAACTTCTATAGAAGTTCGGATAATATTTTATTCCAAACTTTTTATTGTTTTTCAAATTAATTTTTTTTCATTATTCATAATGTTATTTTATATTAAACAAGACACTAAATTAAAAAAGAAATCTTTAAAGAGCTTTCGAAAAACAAAAAATTAATAATAATTCACATACCATGAGCAGAAGCATTCGCTTGAGTAGGTAAATCAATGTTGAGCGTACTAGTCAATAGTGCTTTTGAATCAACACTATCCTGCTGCTGCTGTAGTTGTTGTTGTTGTTGCTGCTGCTGCAGAGGTTGCTGCATAGGTTGCGATCCTGCAATTGATTCTGCAGTTGCACCTGAATTATTTAAATTAAACAGGTGGCTTGCTCCCTTTCTCTGAAGTTCTCTTTCTAACCTCTGTAAAAAGAACATAGTCTTCTTATATTCGAAAATTAAAAAGAATAATGTAAACCTAAAATAGAAAAATTGCACACATTACCTGCAATACCTGCATCTCCTCATCTACAATTTGTTGCTTGTGAAGAATTTGTTCTTGACGAGTGCAAGTGGTGGCGGTGTTGTTGGTGGTGATGTTTTTTCGGCAATCGGAAGTGGTAGGTGTTATAGTTGAAGTAGGAGCGGGACTAAGACTAATATTGGGTTCACAGAGACCTGCGAAGCCTCCACTTCCTTTATCTAATATATTGGTATCATCCTTAGTGGGCGCAACTGATTCACCTGCGGGTTGAGTGCGAACCTGTTGCGCTTCAGCTGATGTAAGACTCATGTCAGGCATCATCGTCACTGATCGATTCTTTCTCAACAGAGACTTTTGCGTATTATGTTTAGGTTGAATATTTTGAGTTTGCGTTTGTTCGGTGGCTTGTTGCTGTTGTTGGGTTGAAGGTGGCTGTTGAAGGGGTACTTGCTGTTGATGAGAAACACTTTGCAGTTGCTGCTGCTGCTGTTGTTGTTGTTGTAATTGTTGCTGCTGCTGTTGTTGTTGTTGCATCAACATGTTTGGTCCAGCGTTGCAGTGAGGTGTTGTCATCATAATGCTGTGAGGATAATCCAACAACAATTGAACTACATTCGTGTGGCCTCCTTTAGCCGCTTCTATCAGCATAGTTGAGTTGTCCTAAACAAACATTTAGTATTTTGAAACAAGTTTTTTAATAAATTTTTTTTTTTTTAATATTAAATCTGAAAAATGTTCCAAATTCTTAAAACTCACCTTCAATTTGTGGAATGGATCAGCAGATTGTGCAAGCAATAATTCCACAACGGCTAAATGTCCACCGGCGCAAGCCAACGAAAGGGGAGTGTGATCATTGTTTGTTGTTTGACGATTTACGTCGGCTCGTTTAGATATAAGGAATTGTACGGTACAAAGATGGCCAGCTCGACAAGCTTTCATTAAAGGTGTTCTACCGCCTTCGGATTCATGTTCCTGTTCGCAACATAATTATAACCGAGTCAAATAAAATAGAAATTATCATTTTTCTTTTTTTCAAAACAAAAAAAAATTATACTCACCATATCGGCGCCAAATTGCAAAAGAAGATCAGCTACATCGGTGTGACCATTTTCACAGGCATAAGTCAGTGCCGTGTCTCCAGTTTGCGTTTGGGCATGAACATCAGCTCCCGATTCAAGTAAATAACGAACAAGATCTAAATGTCCTTCCTGTGCGGCTTCCATTAACGGTGTTGACGCACCCAATTCAATATCGGCGCCAGCTTTTATCAAAAAGTCAGCGACCTCCAAAAATCCACCGCAACAAGCCAACGTAAGGGCAGTTTCTTGTGTCTCTTCCGTTTGGGTATTAATCAGCGATCCTAATAATCAATCATATTATAGATATCGCTTTCAAAAAAATTCACCAAAAAAAGCTATATTTTTTTATTCAAATTATTTTCCCAAAAAAAAGTATGATTTGCATAATGTATAAAAAAGTATAAAAATTTATAGCTCTTACTTGCACTATTACCTTGACTAAGAAGCAAGGCTACCATTTCTTCATGTCCTTCCCGCGCAGCTTCCATTAAAGGCGTATAACCCTCATCATTGACTTCCTCAATATTTGCTCCTCTTTCAATTAAAAGCATCGCTAAATCCACATGACCCCCACACGCTGCCAATGTCAGGGGAGATTCAAAACTGTCAGTTGGCATATTCACCTGTGCACCGGAATCTAATAATAATCGCGCTACTTCCACATGACCATCCATCGATGCTTCCATAAGTGCAGTATGCATTTCATCAGTTTTATGTTCCTAAAATAAAAAAAAAGAAATTCAAATAAAATCCTAAAGAAAAAAAATTGATTTTTTTCATACCTGATCAGCTCCTGCATCAAGTAAGAATCGAACCATGTCTAAATGCCCTTTATAACAAGCTAATGTCAATGCAGACTCTTTAAATTCATTCGAATGAGTATTAATGCCTGCTCCATGTTCCAACAAGATCTTGGCAACTGGAACATGACCTGCACTAGCTGCTTCCATCAAAGGTGTATGACCATTTTCATTGTGATCCTCGACATTGGCACCAGCTTCAAGTAGTGCTCTTACTACTTCTTCATGGCCGCCAGCGCAAGCGTACATTAGCGGTGTGTTACCTTAATGAAAAAAAAGAAAATTATATTTAACCTCCTCTCAAACAAAATTAATAAATAATCCATGATTTCTAATATTAAGAAATATTTCAAAATTTAGTACCTGATGTTGATTGAGCATTGACATCCGCTCCATGAGCTATGAGTAATCTCACTATATCCGCATGGCCTGCGCTGGCAGCTTCCATCAAAGGGGTGCAATCCCCCTTGATACCACGATCTTCAACGTTTGCACTCATTGCTAGCAATACCTACATTTCAACAAACACAACGTCACAAAAAACAATAATTTACATCCCATTTTCACTAAACAAATTAAACAAATCATAGATATTTTTCATCCAAAAATTGTCAATTTTTTTAAATCAAAAGATAAATTTTAAAATATTTAATATCAACACTTTTCCTTTCGTTTCTAAAACAGTTATTCTCTTGATTAATTTTACAATCAAATCAACGTTTATGATCAGCGATCAGAAAACATTTTTTAAGACGAAAAATCATCAAATGAAAAATCAAAAAAATCTTTTTGATTCCCAAAAAGGCACATTAAAAATTTAAAAAAAATTATCAATTTTTCAATTAAAAAAATTGACATTCTCAATACAAAAAAAAAAAAAAAAAAATTACTTAAAATTCGTATTCAATACAAGAAACAAAATACACATTTTTTTCCCATTTATGTAGTACTTTATAATAAAGCTTCCTGACATTCATGAGCCTATTTATTGTGTAAGCCACCAATCAACATTTGTCTTATTTATTCATACTTCAAGTAGAGCAAAGTACAAGCAATGACAATACAATGGACACAATACGATACATAGTAACTATAATATAGATAAGGTGGACCCAAAAAAAATTAACCACGCTTTTCCACATTATGTACAAGTATCTAAAAATATACACGTGTTTCTTATACGGAAACAAACAAACAAATTCCAAATTCTTAACGTACATATTCAATAAACAAACATTGTCCTCATAATTTATCATTCCCTCATTGAAGAAATAAATAAACAAAATATTAAAGGTCATGTCAAATTTTTCAAATTTACAAATTTTTCCAATTAAATAATAGTTTTTAATTTCAAAAAATTGAATAAAAAGGGGGAATTTTTTTTTATTTTGAAAAGAAACTGTAAATGGACAAAAAAAGAAAGATTATGAATATTGTTCATTACAGGGAAAAATTGTCAACTAACCTGTGCAAGTTCGTAATATCCAGCGGAACAGGCGAGAGAGAGTAAACTTTCTCCCTCTTCCGTTGTTTCGTGAACACTTCGACCCTCTGTTAAGAGCTTTTTAACAGTGCCAACGTCTCCGTCTGTACAAGCTTCAACAAGAGAGCGTTTCTCGTTTTGACTTCGGGGATTGTCGCTTCTCATACGAGTTAATGCCGCTGCCGCTTCGTCTAATGCACAAGAAACACTAGATGTCAGTCGACGTAAAACCTCGTGATCGGCCAAATGTTTTCCATCACCGGATGATAATTTTCCAATACCGGCTGCCTCAAGAAGTGCTTCTAAACGTGCTTGTGTCTCAGGATCCACCGATCGTTCAGGATCTTCAGGTGCGAGTAAAAATTTTGAACTCTCCGGATGATTATCTTCTTCTAATTCTGCTTGATCTATTGCAAAACACTCCACCTAGAATTTCAAATACAACTTTCAATATCGATAAATTCTAATTACTTCATCAAAATAGTACAAAATAATGTTTTAATAATAATAACAATAATAAACACTATTTATACGATGTTTCAAATTTTACCACATTAAATTTAACTTTTCAATTTTAAGGAAGAATCACTCATTTTTCATATCAAAAGTAAAATTTTAAATAAAAATGTACCTAGGTAATCAATTTTAATCCAAAAAAATTAAATTCCAATTTCTAATACAAATAAATAATAATAATACAAAAATAAACATAAAAATCGAGATAAAAATACAATTTTCAACACTTTCAATAAAACAATTTGTAAATTAAAAATTATTTTTTATTATTATTAAAAAATATGGATTTTTTTGTTTATATTTTCTATATTTCGTAAATAATACAAGGAAGAAAAATTAATTAATTAAATTTAATTAAGTAAACGTATTTGATTCATTAAAAAAAAGATACTAAATTTTTTTAAATACTTTATTAAGTTTATAAAAGTTTTTCTAAAGTTTAAAATTTCTTATAATATGAAAATTATGCTTCTTAGCATATTTTTTACGACTTGAAAATACTTTTATAAAACTTGATATTTATTTACTTTTCGTGTTAAAAATTAAAAATTAATGATTTCTTTTTGGATATTTAAAACAATATTTTGTAATAAAATTTGTACTTAAAGAAGTTGCAAATTTCGTTCATTTGAACGTTTAAAACATTTGGCTCATAATATTTTATAAAAAATTAAAAATTCAATTTGTATATAAAAATTCAAATTCAAGAATATAATTTCAGGTTAAGTTACATAAATAATTTTTCTTTTTGTTATTAGAAGCGTTTAATATTCATCCAATTTTTACTTTGAAGAATTGAAAATCAACTTATTAATAATTAAAATAATAAATTAAAAAATATTCACAATTTGATTTTTTAATGCTGAAAAATACAAAATAGAACTTTATTTACTGTCTTGTAGATTCTTCCTTAAATATTTTTTACAATTTCTAAAATATATTTTAAGTGAAAATTTTCTAATCCCAAAAACTAGAATTATTATTATTATTATTATAATTATTATTATATAAAGTGGATAGAAACTTTTTGGTTAAGTGAAAAATCTGTTGCTGGTAAACTTCGCAATCTTCATTTTCATACTTTTCAATCTCGTTATATAAGTAGTTATAAATGCCACACAATAAGATACTATAGAAATCAAGATAAAAATTTTATTTTCTTATAAAATTTTCTTCCCCTGTCTCAATTTGTTTGTTTTTGTTTTTTTGAAAATTAATTTTCTTCCTCCGTCACCATGTAAATTGTTTATTATCAATTTTATAATTTTTCAATTATTTTAACAATTATTTCTTATAGATTTATGTTCAAAAAAAGAAGTTATTTTCTATATTCACATCACTCATGTCAATAAATCCATTATTTTCTTTTCATACCTAAATTAAATGTAAATAAAGTACAATTTTACGGATTGTTCTTTCATTCATTTTTATTTAAATTTAGCCTCTTCACTTTTTAATTTTGAAATTATTAAAATTAGTTTTTAAAACAAATTATTTTTTAGTTTATTCAATTAAAAAAAAAAATTTTTATTTTCCTATTTTTTTCGTGTAAAAATGATAAATATGTTGGAAATTTTAAAGAATATTAAAATTTTATCAAATTTTATAAAAAAAAACTAAGTGATAGAGAGGAAAAATTTTTCGCAAAATTTCCCAAAATTATCAACTTGACAGATCGAACCCCCCTTCCACCCCCCTACTTTTTCACACACTTTTTCACTGAAAGAAATAAAATAATAATGACATTAATTCGTTATCGAGAAATAGAACATAGTTCTGAATATCGATACGAACACTAAAACGAAACTCATATATGAACGATAGCGGCGGCGGCGGCTGCGGTGAAAATTGCAATATAAAAATTGAGGTTATGCTTGATAGGAAGGATAGCGCAAGAGAGTGAGACGCTTTTAAGTAGACATTACATTCTTCGAGAGTATAGTTGGCGATTGAAGGTGTCAGACATAAATTGTCAAAGACAAAGAAAAAAGAATGAGAACCTCGTTGAGAAATGATAAAGAAAAAAATGGAAAAGAAATTGAATGATTAAAAGTGTCAGCCTCACCCCATTGACTGGAGATATCACTGAGAGTGACTGAGACAGTCTTAGGTGCTCGTAGGGAAAACGTCAGTGTCGCGCGCAGGGCACTGACGTAAGTTTCACGTCGAAATTCGCGCAATACAAGTAATGAGCTATCACCAACACACACTTTAGAGCAGAGGTCGAGATGCATTAAACAGGTGAAAGTAATATGTATATATATATGTCTAATTGTAAGGAAAAGGATTGGCAACTTGTCTGAGAAGGAACATGCAAAGAGAACAATGTGCAGCCATTTCAAGGTGGATGAAACTGACACTTCCTCGCCTCGCCAAATCCCGCATACCTGAGAGTCTTTCTTTTCTTTTTTTTTTGTTTGTTTTCTCTTATCTACTTATTTTATACTATGCACGTCACAGGGGTCGCGCTCGTTTACCACTAAATCTACCGATTAAACTATATTTCTGCGAAATCATGGCATCGCGCGAAGAATCGCCGACCAGGATAATCGCGAAATCGGCGAAGACTCGTCGTTGCAAGTATATAAAATAATATGGTGGCAGTGGCTCTCACAGTATCCACGGATGCCACTGGCCCGCACGAACTCGACACGAATACACGCGACCGCTGACGAATAGACGAATACCTACACATACAAAAATAAAGATGTGTGTGGGGTAACACACAGTCAAGACTTGCTAGTAGTCAGATAGTCGTCATCGTTTATGTTCTCGTCGCACTTTTTTCTACACTATTTGTCGTTGTCGTCTGTTGTTCAAGGTTTGCACTCACAATTCATTTCCTTCATGGTGATACAACACAACTAAACACTATCATAATTCACAAAATATCCTATACTATACACATTAGCGAAAAGCGATTCTGTCATAGCAAAAATGAGGCTCGATTTACAATTTGCGTGATGGCGTGCCGACTTGCCTGGAACTGGAATTCGACACATTGAACTCGAACCAGGCATATTTTGCCAGAGAATATATCCAAACTTTCCCACCAATTATTCTTGTTATTATTATTATTTCCTCGATATATTCACAATTTGCGAATGTATTTCTTTCTTTTTTTCACTTTTTTTTTCTTTTATTCAACCATTTCACTTTGCACTATTTTTTTGCAATTTTAAAATTTCTTCAACTTTTTCACCACATTTTAATAAGGGGAAAAAACTATATATGACTCGAGTATATTTCAACCACATACACGTGCAATTGGTAAATTAAAGCAGATTAACAGAGAGCATACAGCAACATACCGATCCATGTTCCTCAGTAGACATATAGATGTCGTGACACTATGGGAAAATATAAAAAAAAAAAACACTTCACATCAAGAAGAAAAGAAACAAAGAAAATATTTTTTTTATCGAAGTAAAATATGAATTGAAAGACATGTTATCTATATAAATTTGCGACTATCCGGGTATAAGGTTGACGTGGTCTATGTGTGTCTAATGCCGCGCCGGAGCTACAGCTTTCTGGAAACACCCACTATCCATTATATTATTTGCAAATCGGCGAGAGAGGTCTATTTTACCGATCGAGCAGACTGACTATAGTAGCCCAAGGCAGGAAATGGGCGATTCTCATTTCTCTAACAAAGGAATATTGAATATTGTTAGCGATTGTTGATTTACTAGCCAACAGTGTTAGAATTTTATAATTATTATAACACTTCACTTTTTTTAAAATTAATTTTATCATTTTCGTAAAAATTGACAAAAAAAAATTTTATATCAAAATTTTTTTGAACAACTTCCTTGAAATTATTTAATAATATATTAAAAAGTTTTAAATTCACACTTAAACAATTAAAATATTCCATTTTGAAACACGACATACTGACATAACCTCAAACTAATAAAGTGTTTATAAAATAATAAAAAAAATTTATTTTATATGAATGCGTTTTTGACAAACGAATGTTTTTTACTTCCTTAACATAAATTAATTCCTAAATATTTAAATATTTACTTTTTACGAAATATCATATAGCAAGTAATTAATTTTTCAATAAATAATAAGTTTTCTATTTCTATTTTTGATTAAATAAAATAATTAATATTTATAAATCCTTTAATAATTTGAAGTAAAAGTACATATTGTTTCATTAGGAATAAATAATTTAAAATGAAATTTCTATTTTTTATTCATTTTTTAGAAATTAATTTTTAATACAGATTTTCAGTGAATTTAAAAAAATTATTTACTTTACATAATCGGTTACTTTATTATTAAATAAATATTTATTTGTATCAAATAATTATTATTTGAGTCAAATTAAATTATATTTATTTCCAATACACAAATTATTGGTTTAAGTATAGTTTATTTTATTCAAATAAATATTTATTTGAGAATAGAGAATTTGAATAAAATATTTTTTTAATTTTCATTTCTTATTTTTATTATTTGAGTCAAATTAAATGGTATTAGTTTCAAATATAAACACTATTCATTTTAATAGTTTGTTTAATTCAAATAAAAAAATTATTGGTTTATATACAGTTTATTTGATTGAAAAATTTATTCTGTTCAAATAAATATTTATTTGATAATATAGTCAAATAACTGATTACTGAAATAAATTAAATTTTTTTACTATGTATTTAAAATTTATTACATCAAAAATTGGGGGAAATTACTTTTAAATAGGTATATAAAAGTTGTTATTTCTTTCAATAAATTTGACTTTTCTGTCATTTTAAAATATAAAGAAAAAAATAGAAACCCCCATGGAATAATGTAATAAATAGTAGTTTTTTTTAATTAATTATGATTTTCAAAAATATTTAATTCTATTTTGATCAAATTAATCAAACTTAACCTTTTATAATCAAAAGTAATCGATTGTTATCAGACATTTTTGAATTTGACAACGGGGTTTTAAATTTTTTTACTTTATAAAATAATTATATCTCACGTAAACAAAAATGCCAGTAATTAAAATTTATAAAATAACGTTTTTTTTAATACTGTCAGAAGGTAAAATATAAAATTCTAAATGTTAATCGATGGAAAGCCATATAATTTGAAAAATTTATTACTCTAAATTTAAACTGACTATAATAATTATTGCAATGCAAAAACTTTACGTCAATAAATTTTGGGTTGACTGCAGCGTAATTAGTTTTAAAATCAACCAAAGGTGTTTAAGTGTTGGGTAAGTTACTTTTTATTTTTAGTAACTCGTCACAGTTATAAGTTACTTTATAAAAAAAGAGTAAATACCCTTTGTAATCAACAATTCTAAGTAAATGCATACTTATAGAAGTTTAAATGTGTGTAAACATTTCAAAGACACAATTGCAATAAAAATTGGTTCATTCGTTATTATTATTCAAGTTTTCTAATAATTAAAAATAGCAGACAAACTGAAAAAGTAGTATATATATAATGTTGAATATCTAACCTTTCTAAACGTATATAACATATTGTGCAATTATTTACAAGGACAGTAACATTCACTGAATTTTTATCATTTACAGAAGTAGGGAAAAAATTAAAAAAAAAAAAGGAGAGAGAAAAAAAGAAGAAATCATTAATAAAAATATCACCAGCTTCCATTTATATATATGATGGAAACAAATTGTGAATAATATAGGACTAGCTCTCTCATATTGAATTCTGGGATTTTCCGGCACACGAAATTCCAGTACACATTCTAATTTTTCCGGTTGGATGACCACCCTGTAACCTTCCTGTGGTAAAATTTACCGTATAGAATATGTTTATACCGACACTCAAGATACTTTTTTTTTCTCCTAATCAGTTATCACTTTGCAAATATACAATTTTTTTTTTATTTATTTAAAAACTGATAGTTTACTGCGTTTGAACAAATTGATTGCGGAAATTTTAAATTATAACTTGTTTTCAAAATAAATATTTATATTAGAAATAAAAAAGAAATACAAAATTGCAACGTGGAAAATTAAAATTAAAAGCAAAGAAAAAATAATTGAAAAAAAAATGCCTTTACCTTTAGAATATCTTTAATAATTTCGAAGAGAAGAGGTTATCTATGATTCTATATTAATATAGAGATAGTCGCTTTTCTGCATTAATTATAATTATTAGTTCATAATCCATAAGAGGTCAATCTGTAAATAAATTTTTTTTAAAATCAATTTTCTAAAAAAAGAAAAATATAATCTTTTTTTTCTATACAGAGAAATACCCTACATGATTTGATTTTTTAATTATATTATTATTATTATTTTCAGCTAATATTTTGTAAAAAGTGATTGACTTTTTTTGTTCAATAAAATTTGCTTTATTCAAAAAATATTAATGATTTCATTAATTTATTTTTGTATTTATTAATTTATTTAAAACTTAATTGTTCAATGAATAAACAAAACTTTATTGATTAACGTTAAAAAAAGAATTTGCGTTCTTTTCCTGTTTACAGTCATCTGGGAAATTCGTAAGTGTAAACATTATAAAACTTTACTGTTAAACGTTTCTCGGACGTATACAGTAAAAAGCAAGAAAGCAATATTAATTGAGGAAAAAAAATTGGAGCACAATATTTATATACTTTATAAAAATATTCTTTATAATTTGACGAAAATTAAACTTTAAAAAAATATTAATGTAGAAGAATAATTTTCTTTTTGTTTTTCTACTAAACTACAAAAAAAAATTGTTGATAAAATTTTTGTTTACATTATAAATGTTTGTTTAAAAACTTTTCTTTTTTATTTAAAAAAAAAAATTACCTACAGAGGTTGTCGAACCTTTGCACCAACAAAACGTTAAAGTATTGTTGTGTACTTCTTTTTTTTTTATGAATCTTTTATTGTCAAAAAATGTTAAAGGAAAAAAAAATTTATTTACATATTGTAAGTATTAAAGATAGTAGCAAGTAGTTAATAAAAATTGTTTAAAAACTACTATCGATTACAATTATTATCGACTCTTTCAGGGGCGTAGAAAAGAAAATTTTTTCAGGGTTGTAAAATACTGTGGATCATTGAATTCTGTCACCATAAATCTTACACTACTGCGTACATATATTCAAATAACTAAGCTTAATTGAATGATTTAATCAATTACAGTAAATTAGTTTCTTAGTCACTAATTTTGATTTTTTTCAAATGTGAAAAAAATACACCGAAAATTAATTAAATTATATACAATGAATAAAAAAAGGTTAACATAACCTAAAAATGAATTCCTATTATCAAATTATTGCGAGAAAAAATCACTTATTCAATTAATTTTCAACTTTACTTAATTAAATTACTGTGTATTGACTAATTGAAATTTAATTAATTGGACTTTTCTCCCAACTTCTGGACAGTCCGTTATTTATTTTCTTTATGTGACAGGTATATAATTGACATTATTCCGTGTGATGGGACACACACATTGGCGTCGAAATAATATATATTTAATACGCTAATCTCAATGCATTTGTGTCCATTGAAAGAATGACGAACACACACGCACACTTGAAAATAATACACGCATGTATCACGCACATGAGAAATGAGAAGTACTTTGGCTCCAGTTTAACATTACATATATAACGTTCATTGAAATATTTCGACCATGACTCTTGGGAGAGAAGAAACTAGCAGCAAGAGAGAAAAAAAGGAAAAAGATGAGAAAAAACCAGAGAGAGAGAAAGAGAGAGACAAGGGAAGGTACTGTGGAGAGCACGTGAAATGATTTTCTAGGAAAATACTTCAAGGGCGAGATGGAGGGGGAAGTGTGGAATGAGTAAGGCTATACACAAAAAAAAGGAAAAAAGACAAGATGCAATCAAAGAGATGTTTGCGACGCAATGCTCGTCGTTAGACACTTGTAAGAATATTGTCGTCATGATAGTCATACACACATTCTTTCTTTCTCTCTCTCTCTCTCTGACGTCTCGCCAACAAATAGTGCATATATCCCCGATTATGTAACAATTTCTGCGCGAAATCCCTTATACCTTTTTAACCTCCATGAAAGAATGACGAGAACCCGAATCAGCGCAGTCGACAATTCACAAGATTCATATGATCGTATATATATATATATATATACATATATATATATAAATGATTTAAAGGAGAACGACCTTGCAGACCGGTATATAGGGACTAGAAAAAAAAGTCTCGAGGTCTTGGGCATAAGGAGGCAGGAATATCTAAGACAGGCTGGGACAGGACAGGCCAAAGCCCGGCAAACAGACAGGCGCGCCGCACACCGTTTCGTACAGTGCGATTAACCCCGTTTAACGGATCTTTTTCCCGAGACCAACTTTTCGCGACATTCCTATAATGCACTGCTCGATATACCCTCGCATGCCAATGCCGTGTACTCACGACGTAAAACAATGAGCCTCCACCTCTCTTTCTCTCTCTCACTCACTCACTCTCAACCCGCTTAGAGAGGAACGTGGCCATTATCTTTCTATCTTTTTACTCTCCTCTCTCACTCTTACATTCACAGTGAATCGCGAAAAAAATTTATGAAACCTTTCCAATTCTTCCAGGACGATGTCCCGTGTTGAAATTTTTCAAGAGAAAAGATTTTAATTTTTTTTCAGAGGAGACGTTGATTAGTCATGATATAAATGAGCAGAAAATATGTGCAAGAGAAAAAGAGAGAGAGAGAGACAAAGGAGTATGTGTGAGTCGGTCGAGAAACTCAAAAGACACACACATAGGGACTAGAGAACACCTCTCTTTCTCTCTCTCGCACTTTTTCATTGGCTAGATCAGAAGGGGTCGCTCTTTCTCACTCTCTCTCTCTCTCTTTCTCTTTGTGGTTTCACGGGGAAAAAAAAATGAAAAAGCATCCCTTTACCTCCGAAACACTATCCTCCTCACTCTCCGACGAATCTGTCATAAAGCGAGGTTGTAATTCCGAGAAAGTCTCGTTGGACTTTGTTGGACTGGAAATGGAAGATTGGGGAGTCGACGACGTCTTCCCAATGTCGTGGTGAACACTATTCGATGCTTTCTCGTTTTGTGTTTTATGTTTCTGGCTATCCGCAGTTGTTCCTTGTGCTACATTCTGCATTTTTACCTGTCGGATGAATCATAAGCCACCAATTTTTTTTCTTTTTTATTGTATTCACGACGCGAAATCACCCACGAAACACTCTTCACGAAAGACAAAATATCTCACTTTTTCGCCGTCATTCACGTAAGCTTAATACCCGCCATGTCTACTGGTTTCGGCACTCGGCTTTCTGGATTGTCGGCTCGGCAGTTGTCGCAAATTGTCGGGCATTGGATGGTGTCGCTACTAGCTGTCGGTTCAAGAACTTCTCTCTATACTGACACACACGAAAGCCTGCTACGCACACACATTTAGGGAGGGATAAATATAGGTATATTTTAAATGATCGCCGTACTATCACAACTGACGCACACAATTAAATTGGTATAACATCGATGAAGGCCTAAGCAGAATAGATTCTTGAACGGGAACGCAATCGTAAACGGAAACGTAAGAATGTGTAAGAGAAGGATAGCAAATATCTTTATTCTTCTCTCACCCATTCTTACGTTTCCGTTCACGATTGCGTTCCCGTTCAAGAATCTATTCTGCTTAGGCCTTGACCGCTGCTGCTATGGCCGTCGAAACGACGACACGTCCGGTTTCAACTCGAATAAAATACTATTCACCGCAACTATTATTCGCTCCTATTGGTTGTTCATTCATCGAGAACTATTCCCGCGCTTTTTTTAAATACTCAAAGAAATTTTATAAAATTCATTATTTTTTGTCTAATTAATGTTTCTTTTGATTTTATTTAAAAAAAATTCGACCAATATAACCAATATTAATATGAAAAATTTGGAAAAATCACAAAATTTTCTATTGTTTATTTCAAAATATAGAATTATTATTATTAATGCAATTTGCGTAATATTCTAACAGTCAAATATTTTATTATAATACTTTTAAAACTTTTTTAATATAATTCGTATTTTTCTTAAAATAAAATTTCAGTTTTTTAAATGACTATACCAATTTTTGTTGATATTATATCATAATTTTTTTAACATTTCTCGATTACCATAATTTGTAATTAACTATAATAAAATAAATATCAAAATATATGTAAATTTAATTTTATTATTTCAAATATTTTGTAATATTTTTAAAAGAAAATTGTTAAATTAAAATAATAATTCATAATCAGTCATTTTTACAAACATTTTCTCTTAAAAATTTTTTTCCATTACTATTATTATTATAATAATACATATTGCAAACTGAAAATATTTTATTAAAAAAAAAATTGTATAAAGAAATAAATTTTTTACCTCATTTGAAAAATTTATATATCTACAGAAAATAATATTGTATTATAAATTAAATTTAAATAATGAAATAAAATTTATAAACAAATTTGAAAGAAATAAACTATTTATTATTAAATTATAAAAAAGGTTCAATATTTATCTCTAGAACTGAACAAGGTAAATTCAATTCGAATTTTGATATAACGTTTGGATGAAGAACTCCCATTTTACCAATTGTCTTACCATAAGCTATAATTTCTGCACAACGTTGTGGGAAAAAAGTTGGATCTAAAAAGAAATTCAACATTATTAAAAATATTTAGTAATTCTATGAAAATTACATAATATAGAGTTTAACGTGAACATTTTCTGGCATTTATTCAAATATTTTTTAACAGGTTTGTTTTTAAATCTGGGATAAATTTTTCGAAATGTTTTTATTTAAAAAATAGTCCATATTTACCATCGGCTGCTCGCAAATAATAACCACTATTATCTTTATTAATATCCCAGGAAATTTCAAGTTGATTCATCACTCTGTCAAGAAGTCCATGAATAATTTCAAATCCTGCCGATTTATTGCAATAGAGAGCACAAAGATGCCTTTCATTTCGAGCACCAACTTCAGTTTCATTGTCACGGATCACAACATCCGAAACTTCAAATAATTTATGTGGTAAAGGCATTTTTTTATTTGCAGCAGCAGTTTTCAAAATACCCGGCAAAAGTGTTGTTCTTGCAACCTATTATTTGAAAAATTCAATAATATAGTTTAAATTCTAACAAAGAAAATAATAAATGAATAGTATCAAACAATAATGTAATTTTACTTGAAATTCGAGTGTTTTTGGATTTGATATATGAACAGCAGGAATGTTTTTCAAATCGTGACCCAATTTTTCTGATATATCATCACGTGAACACTGTAAAAGATAAATAAGATTTTGAAAAAAAACCATATACAAAAAAAGAAGTAATTTGTAAAAATAATTTACATTTTTAAATTCTTACCAAAGAAAAAGTTAAGGCCTCAGTAAATCCAGCACAAGCCAATTCCTGACGAATTTGATCTGTTAATTTATTCAATGGTAACTGAAAGTTAATTATAGTTTTAATACTTTTTTTCTAATTAGTTGCTTAGATATAAAAAATACATTTTAAAATAAGTAATACCTCTCCTGCAATTGTCATAGTTTTCGGTAAAGTCTTTTTTATCTTATTATAGCCGTAAGCAATTGCAACATCTTCGTAAATATCACAGGAATGAATAACATCATGTCGTGTAGGTGGAATTTCAACTAATAATTCATTGCCCTTTTCAATTTCTGCCTTTAAGTACATCCTTGATAATAATTTTGCAACTTCGTCTGGAGTTTGTCTAGTTTCAAAACAAAAAAATATTTTTTTAAAATTTTGTCTAAAAAACGCCTCTGCTTTTCTCGTTTCATCTCGATCGTTCTTTAGAACGTAAAGTGGGACAAAAACGACAAAGGGAATCAAAATTATATAAATTAAAAAAAATAATAAAAAATTTTTCCAACTTTTTCTTAATTTGAAATAAAACTTTTTTTTCTAAATATTTTAAATTTTCTCTTTTGGATGATAAACTGTAACCTGAAACTATTTTTCAATTTTAAATTTATTATAATTATAATTATAATTTTGTGAAATGATTTTTTTCAACTACTGAGTGATTTAGGGTGAACGAGGATTTTTGAAAATAAATATTTAGTAATTTACATACTCGACGCCAATATATCGTGCTGCTTTTTCACTATTTACTTTTTCTGTTCTGTATTTTAAATCAGGATAGTAAAATGTTTGTCCATCAGGATAAACCACCTCAACTGTTTCTGCAACATACTTTTCGGAACAGTAGTAACTAAAAGCTGTTACAATCGTGTCAACAGCTATTCGTGCCTGTAAATAAAATTATTTTTATTATTTACGTATATTTATTCATACACATATTTGCATAAATATATACATATTTTATTATTTACATATACATATATTTACATGTAATAAAATGGATATTTACTATTTTATTATTATAATAAAAAATAACATATATAATAAAATGTCATAATTATTTTGGAATTTAACAAATCTATTTTTACTAGATAAGATCTAAATGTAAATCACAATATATAAATAGTTTTATAAAAAAATTTTTAGAAAATAAAAGTAAAAATTAACGTTTATAATAAATTTAAAAAAAAGACAAAAATATATGAATGGAAAAAAACTTATTTTAAACATTTTAATTAAATGTAGAAAAATTTTTTCCATTTAAAAAAATTTTCTGTACATTCTTTTTTTGGGAGGTAAATTTTCACAAATTCTCATTTTTAACACTTAAGAAATTTGAAATCCTTTTAAAATAATGGAATGGAAACATTTGATACAAATTGAATTTTATCTGATACAATTTAATTAATATTAAAATATTAATAATTTTTTATTATTTGAAAATTGAAAAATTTAGTTTTTGAAAATATTGTTCTGCAATATTATTTAATTTCCAAGTCGTATAAGTTATAATAATAAAACTTTCATTACAGTAATTGATTATTTTCAGTAACGCTCTTAATTATAAGATCATTGCTTGTTTAATTAGATTAATTTTTTTAATAGATAAATATTTTTAAAAAAATACAATTTTCAATGCTTATCTATAAAAATTGTAAATTTCTCCGAAAATGATAAACATTTTTGTACCGTTTTTAGATCTATTTTAATAGTATTTCTTTAATACGCAATTTGATTATATTTCACAATCATTTACAAATTACAAATCGTAAAAGTTTGAAAAAATTAAGACAATTCTACAGCTTAAAAATAATTTTTAAGAATCAAATCAAACAAATACTCTCGAGTTTACCCGTTTATTTGTAAATAAATAAAAAGTTCAATAAATTATTTATAAAGATTACAATTTTTAAATGTGTTTAAGAAAAATTGTTTTCAAAAGTTTTTAAATATAATTTCTACATAAATTTTTTTTTTTTAAATAGAAGGTACCACAAGTTCATTAAAAATGATCAAAAAACAATTTTTAAAAAATGTGTATTAAAGGCCGTATTTCAAGCTTACAAATGCATTTAAAAAAAAATTATTGGGCCAATAAGAAATACAAAATAGAAATAAAAAAAAATAATTATAATACTTTTTGATATTATGAGAATTTAAAAATATTGTTTTTTAATTTATGATAAATATTATGAAAGTATATAATAATTATATACTTTAAAATAAGGTAGATCTATTCACTGCGTATCTTATTAAAAAAAAATTTATTTATATTTCCTTTTTTAAAAGAGGATTAATATTAGTATTTAAAAAAAAGAAAACTTAAAATAAAACTAAAGATTAAATTTGATAAAATTCGTTTTTACCTTTGTAAGATCAGTAGCAGTGCATTCGATGAAAATATTTTTTGTATTAAGAGTAATTTTACTATGATCTCCATTAATAATCGGTGGTAATGACAATACTACGCCTTTACTGTCATAAATCACAGGATACACAGGACTATCTCTGATAATTGGTAAGAATTGTTTTAATTGCGCGTGATTCTAAAAATTATTAGCATACAATTAAAATTAGAAAATATATAGATTCTATTTTCATCATAAAATACATTTCCAGGATTGCCACAAAAAATGTTATTTTGTTTTTTCCTGATTTCAAGTCAGAATTAAAATTTTTTTTCCCGACCCTAATGAAAATATTACAAGAGGTTTTTAATTATAAAAAAAATTAAGACAATAATTTTTAGCAGCAAAAGTTTGAATTAAAAATTTCAAAAATTATAATTTTAATAACATTTTTATAAATTTGATATTTTTCCAGTACTTTTCATAAAATTCCCTCACCCGTGGCAACACTGATTTCGTATTTATGAAATAACTTACAGAATAGAGTTCCATGATACCATTTCCGGTATACTCTTTATCTCCATTGAGAGGTTTGAATGAAATTTCTTCAGGTGATTTTGCGTCATAAATAAATGGTCCTTGTATTGTATCTAAATCGTGTGTGCCAATCGATACAAGACTACGTTTTCGGCCAATATTTTGATGTAATTTATCTTGTAGATCAATGAAGCTATTGTAAGCATCTTGAGTGAAAGTCACATTTCTCAAAACTGCAGCCACCAAATGTTCCCTCACTTGTAAACACTATTAAGTATTTAATAATACGGTAGAACTCTATTTTTCCGAATTCATATTATACATTGATATTGAAAATGTAAGTTCAATTTAAGAATAAATAAATAATTATATTACTTGAAATATGAGAAATATTAATTCAAAAACTTTTAAACTTTTTTCTTAAAAAAAATGTAACAGGTTTATACTTACTGATTTTTTCATAACGATCTTTTGCATTCCATTTTTCGGCCTAATGCTTTGGTAACGAGGTAAAGGTATTCTGAAATGATACAATAAATTTGGTAATTTGTAAATTAAAGAAAGGAGGCCTCAAATCGCAGATTTAAAACATTCAAATGTCTAGGAATTTTTATTAATTAATAATTATTAAATGATAAATTATTTATTGAAATTTAAAGCAAAAAACTACAAAGAGTATTTACTTATGTACATATATGTATATTGAAACTTTTTCAAACAGGGAAAATAAAAAAACAATTGGAAATTTTTAAAATAAAATTGTTCAATTATATTATTATCCTGTTAAAAATTGGAAGATTGAAAAATTGAAAATTCAATAACTTTTCATAAAAATGAAAATATAAAAATATATACATACTTTTCTTGAAACACCAGAAGTCCCGACACTAAACCTTCCAAGCTCAATAAATCATATCGATTGGCAGGAATATCAATTTTATAAATTATTTCTTCCGATGCACCATCACTTTGTTCTGAGCCTTGTTCTTTTGCTATCATTTGCTTTTCCGATGTCTACAAAAAAAAATATTTCATAACAATTTTCAGAACATAGCGTTCGGTAAGAAATTTAAAAAAAAACGAACTATTTTATAATTTTTTAAAATATATTGTTGATTGTTCCAATCATAAAAGAAGAATACAAAAAAATTGAAAATAAAAAGGGAGGAAAATTTTGTAAAAAGTTTAATTATTTTTCCTACTGGATTAAATAATTAGAGAAATTTTTTATTGTAACTTTTTATAATGTAACGAAATTTTATTTTTTCAATATATCAAAAAATTTCAAAAATAAGTTGGTAAAATCTTAAACGTAAGTTTTTAGATGTTCAATTTCTCTACGGATCGAATAAATAAATTGTAAATACATGTTTGTAATTATTAAAATAATTTTTAAATCAGATATTATATTCTCAAATTTTCAAAACTTGGAAGAAATCTGCGAATATGTCAGAATAGTCGAAAAAAAATTAAAGAGCGGAATATTTGTTTGTAAAAACTCTGTATTGAGTATACAATGAAATAAATTATTATTATAATTTTCAAAACTTATAGGTATAGAAAAAAATAAGGGTAACAACAAAATTGGAAAAAAAAAATTTTGCAGATTTAAAAACTATGTGAAAATTAAAAACTACCTATTATGAAAAATTCATTAACTCCGTTCAAAAGAAAAAAAAAATTTAATTTAAAATTGATCTTGAGAAAAAATTTTTAAAATTCTAAATTTTTGCTTTCATATTGTAGAAATGTTTTTGAAAAAACTCTTAATCAAATTAATAATAATGATAATTTCTTGATTATTTTATAATATTTCTTACCACTTCATCTAATTCCAAACCAAATTGAAAACATAGATTTTGAAATTCATCATCAGCTACAATAGAGAAACAAAACATAAATTACATTAATTTTACACATTAATTTATATTACAAATTTACTGATGCAATAATTGATAACATAAGAAAAATTAAATCATTAATATAATAACCAAATATAATTTTTGTGAAAAGTAATAAAAAAAAGTCAAAAGGTTTTAATGAAATTGACAGTGACGGTTTAATTTCATGTAAAATTTACTGTTTTTTAAATTGATATTTAACAATTAATTTAAAAAATCTGGTAAAGAACTATAGACATATGTAAAAAAAAATTGAAAACAATTGTAAAACTTACTGTAAGTTTTTCCCAGTTCTTTAAATAGAAGATCTCGTTTAACACCAATTGTAGGCATGTTAAATTATATATTTATAATTACAACCGAATAATAAAAAGACAACTTTTTTCCTTATAAATAAACCAAAATTCGAAGAAATGGAATTACAATAAGTTAACTTTCTTAGGTTAAAAAGGTTAAAAACCATGCGATTTGATGATGCACATTACACGCACCTGATTACATGCAATTATCAAGGTCTCGTCACGAGCAGGTAAAAATAAATCATCCAATCAGAGCTCAGTGCTCTAGTAATGGCCATATTGGATACGATTTCAAATTACAAACAGAAACAAGGAAAGCAAAAAAAGTTATGTAGTAATTAATATTTTGAAATATATTCAAATTTGCAATTTAGGATTGAATTTCAATGTCAAATTTTAATTTTTTTTAAAATAATTTTTACTATTAACGGATGTGAAAAGACCTTTATAAGTGTCATATTTCGGACGTTTCACCTTACTTGAAAATATCTATCTCTTTGTCTAACACATGGAAAAAGAAAGATAGGTTCTCGCAATCTACAATGGGAGTTTGCATTCTAGATATATTAAAGTTCAGTGGTTTTTATCATGCTTTAAATGAAAAAATAAATAAACAATGTTAGCAAGAATATTTTTGCACAATTGTGTCAAAAAAAATGTTTACAGCATTTTTATAAAACCTATTTACACTTTACAAAATAATTTCACCAGTGCAGTACATAGTAAACCTCAATATTTATTGAATAAACAAATTCCTAACCTATACACAGTGAAAAGATTAAGACACAAAAAGAACAAGTCTGAACCGGTAATATTTAGTTTTGATTTATTCAAATTACTATTATTTTAAATTCACTTTATTTATGTCATTCGTGACATAAAAAACTATAAATTGATTGTTGTAAATTTGTAATAGAATTTGGAACTTTTTTTAACAGTAACTTCGAACGCATTATTTTTTTATTAATTATTTGTGGTGAAAATAAGTAGTAATTATTACCCTCTGTGTTAGTTAAAAATTTTATTTATTAGTTAAAATTGTTAAAATAAAGTTTAACTTGTTAAAGATCGATACAACATATGAAGATGAGAACAAAAATGATGATGATTTATCCGATCAAATTGAATCTTATGAAAAACTTCACAATAGAACTGTTCCTTCGTTACGCTTAGATACTGTTCTTAAAACATGTTTAGGTGTAGGACGCAGGTAAATATATGTTTTTTATTTTGTGAGTTAAAACAAAATTTTCTGTATATTTATGTATATTATTGGCTATTGTCAATCAATTTTTATATTTCGAATGCGTTATTTTTTTCTTTCAGTAAGATAGATACGGATTTTTACGAAAGTAAAATTCGTATAAATGGAAATAAAGCTTTAAAAAAGAATGTAGAGGTAATGATAAAAAATTATGTAAGAGATCATTTAAAAATTAGTTAAGAATTTAAAACAATGTCAAAATATCTTATGAATAGGCTTCACAGGCTATTCCCTATTTTCCCTAAAAAGTCTCCTTTTTCATTTTTAGTCCCTAAAAGCATTCTATTTGGAAAATTTTTCCTAAATGCCGTATATTTTTTGCAAAAATTTGTTGAAATAGATCAAGAAATTCAAGAATAATAAAATTCATCGTAAAAAATTGAGAAAAGTTATTGAATTTTTTTTACCAAAGTCAGTTGTTTTAAAAAGTTCCAAAAAATTGAAAAAAAATTCTTATCTAATTTTGAATGGTTCCTAAAAATATATTTTCTTGATACTTTTTTTTTCTTAACATACATACAAAAGGTATTCAAAAATTTCCCATTTTTCTGAAGATAAAATATTACATTTCTTTTAATTATTAAAAATCATTATTTAAAAAAATTGGAACTATTTGGATACCTAGCATAAAAATGGAAACTAAAAATATAATTTCCTTTTTTCTTTTTTACTAAAGGTTCACGATGGCGATGAACTTGATGTATTTATTGATGTAAGTCCAGATAATCCAAATTTCATAATTGTTAGCCGAGTGAAAATTGTAGCAACAAGTGTATTGCAAAATGGTTTTAAAGTGTCATTTGTTAGGGATAAAGCATTACTAATTGAAAATTATAGATAACAAATTTTCTTTTAAAAATTAATTGTAATAAACATTCTTTATTATAAAAGTATAAAATTATTTTACAAATTATAGATAAACATAATAGCAATTAATTGATTAATGAAAAAAAATATGAAATAATTTCTTATAAAATGTAATAAAAATAAAATCATATTTAAATTTATTTAAGACGAATTCCTGAAAGATTAAATTCCTAAAAATCAAAATCCTATTAAGATTTCGCTACTTCTCGTAATACGTGTATTGACTGAAAAAAATAAATTTTTTTTACTTTTCTTGAAATTCAAAAATATTAATTAAAATAATTAAAAATAGTAAATTATATTTATCTTACATATGAAACTGCCAAGACTCCTTTTTTGGACAACAATTGTAGATTACTGATTACTTGTTCCACGTCGAATGACGTCTTAATAATCTAAAAAATACAATTTTTCTTTAAATTTTTCTATCGTACAAAAAAAATATTGTTAAATAATTTATAAAGTACCTTTAAAACATTATTCTTTTGATCGTCATTTAAAAATGGTAAAAGTATCACTGCAAATTGTGCTTGTTTTGAATCGAAACAATACTGTATTACATCGTCGAACTTCAATTTATTCACCACAGGACAAGAATGCAGGAGTCTTAAAATTCTTGTGCAATCTTCTATTTGCTTTGAACTTGGATTTATATCTATTTTTCGGAAAGTATCGGATATTATTAATTGCCATCCTGATAGGTATCCTGTACAATTAGTTACATGACTTAATGTTGCGACCATTGGCAAAAATGTTTCTAATTCTTTCACCTGTAAAATATAATTAATATTTAAATAATAATCCACTATTTAAAAACAATTTTTCGAGAATTGTTTCTATGCCTGTGAAATTTGACTACAAATAACAGAGTAGTAAGAAAAGTCAGGGAAAAAATATTTTTCACATGAAAATTTGGAAAATTGAACAAATTTACAGAAAAAATAATTTATTAATTTAAAAAGAATTTTATTTAACATTCCTGAACTTATATTAATTTATAGAAAATACACAATTACAGTTATTCACGCAAGTTGTAATTTATCAAAATTTTTCATCGGTTTAAAAATTATTTAGGACAAATTTCAATAAATGTAAATTTAAATTAGTTAAAGCATTTATTATGATTAAAATTATAAAATAGTAATTAATTTAATTTGACTTAATTTAACTCTTAAATCAAATAAAAATTTGAATAAATAAAAATTCTGTGAAGTGAATTTTCGGTTATATAAAAATTTTTTAATATAGAAAATCATTTTGATGAAAATTCTACAAAATAAAAATTCGGCTCAAAAATAATTATGACAAATGAAATTCCATAAAATGAAAATTTTAACTAATGATTTTTACAACATATTCATGCCTCCCGTTTAATTTCCAAAAAATATGAAACTTTTCTTTTTAATAAGAAAAAGATGTAAAAATAATCTCACCATTAGTAAATTGGCCATTTGATTCAAAGTAGTATTCCACAAGTGATAATCCTCTATATTAAAATCTATGCAAATGTGTAAAATTAGTGAAAGCAGTAATGGTGTATGTAATTGTGCAGTCAACAGCATTTGTACAAGTTCATGTTTTGAACAATTTTCAAAACTGCTAATATTGTATCTCAAACCAACATTTTCCAATTCGTTTAAATAGTACAAAGACATCATATATTTCCTGCAAAATATTTACATTATTATTAATATAAAACAGAATGAAAATAAGAAATTTCCAATAATAATAACCTAATAGATTTTATGTCACGGTGAGTTAATTCTTCTAGAGAATCCGTGTTCATAATAGTATGCAAAACTTGTAAGGCACGATAACGAATTCCTGGTCCAAAATTCTTCTGATTTTCATTAAATGAAATATTCATCAAAAAATGAGCTGAATTCATGACATCATCTCGATTAAGAATGTAAGAGGCTCTGTAATAGATTTTTAATTTTTTTTTAAATCTTTAAAAATAGCTGTAAATTCCAATTATAATTTCAATTTATTTTAAATGTTAAATTTTTTTTTGTACTGATACCTTAGTAAATTATCGTCTGAAATTGATTGTGCATCTCTACTTATTGATTTTGCATTAAATATTTCTGTAGCACTATCGTTCATTCTCGTATCCTTGACATTAGGATGAAGCCACTCTAAAAGTAAATCAGAGCGAAGCATCACCATATTGATATTAAAAAGTTTCCCCAATGAATCTGCCGCAGAATTAATATCAGGCCTATTTGAAGTTGCAGCTTTATATCTTAGAGGAATACTTTCATTCATATAAATTTCTCGAATCAATTTTTCTGGATATAAAATCAAACTCAAATAATGCTCCTGTCCCAGTCCATGTGTATAGAGGATATGTTTTGAAGTGAATTGATGATATTTGTCTTTGATTTTCTGAAATTATATATTACTACTTTAATAATAATTAGTTATATATGTTCTAAATAATAATATTTATTTATTTATTACAATAATGCGCAATTAAACAAGAATTTTATTAAAAATCTTTCTATCATAAATTTAATTTTTTCCTTAAAGTCTCTTTTTTTCTACAAATTTTTATTTTATTTTTACGAGTATGTTAATGAATTTAAATATTTCTGTAATTCTTACCACGAGCAAATCCCTTCCATTCCATGTAGTGGTGGTATCTTCAATTGGAACACTACAATCTTCTTGCCACAATTTTGCCATTCTGTAGCATTCTTGGGCAGCAGCAACTTGATCAGCGCCCGGAGGTGTGTGATTGGCAACATAATATAAAACTGCCGTTGCATATTCAAGTGATTTCTCTCCTTTCATTGAATTAATACATTCTTTCATTTCTTTCAACAGACCACTATGCTTTGGATAGAGAGACCATTCAGAATTATTTTCAGATCTTCCACTATTTCCAATTTGAGCAACAGAACCTCTAATCGCTAATGTACAAATAAGATCACTCTCTAAATTTAGAATAGGCGCAATTTCCAGCCATTTATTGTATGTCTTTAAATTTAGTTCAGGTTCTAAAAAATATCATCAATAATTTTCAAAATGTAAAATTAACATCATCTTAATTTGAAAGAGGAATTATTTCGAAGGTATCAATTTTACGAAATGAAAAGAAATTTAAGAAAATTTTTAATATTTATTGTATAAATATAAAAATTGTATAAAATATAAATTTAATGTATATATGAGATGCTAAAAACCGTTAGTTGTTCGAATAGAAAAGTTAAAAAAAAACATACAAAACAACAAAAGTGTAAGACAATTTTATTTTACAAATTTTTTTTTTATATTTATCAAAAAAAGGAAAAAAAGTGCAAAGAAAATTTAAAAGTTTCGTATTTAAAAGTATTTTATGTTTCGTAAGTTTTTGTTTAATTAAATGATTCTACTTTTTTTTCAATTTATGGATAAAAATCGCTAAAATATTTCCTATTGGCTGAACAACTAATAATTTTCAGCACCTCATACACTTTAAACTCAAATTTTATAGTAAAATATAAAAAATTTCATAAAATTCTTTTCATTTCGTAATCTTGATACCTTCGAAATAATTCCTGGAAAGTATTATAATTTTTTTTAAATTAGTCGACGAAGATTTTCAAATATTTAAAATTTACGTTTTTGGTGTTGAAATTTTCTAAAACTTACTGATTAATTGCCACTGATCGACACTTGGTATGAATGGAAATCTCCATTTAGATATAAGAGGCAAATTACAGTTCTCCGGATTGTTTTGAGCCCAATGGTCTTTTTCAAATTTAGTCGGTTCTCTAAAAAAAAAGTACATTTTTTTATTTACTTATTTTTTATTATTGTTTTATCTCAATTATTAAAACATTTGAACTAATTATAAGTTTAAAATGCATTTCTTACCCGATACGTGTATAATTTTGTAAAAAATAAAAAAGATTCATTCTTTCTGTATTTTTATTATCTAAGAGATCCATAATAATAAGAAATACCTCGTAATAATAACAGTTTATCTAAAAAAAAAAAATGAAATCAATAAAATTATTTAAGTTTTAATAAAAAAAAAAGAATATTTTAATTTGAAATTTTGTTTACTTCAGATTCTATTGGTGAAATATACTGCATCAAACAACTTTTGTCTTCAAGTTTAGAAACAATATTTTTGCATTTTGTTTCGAGTTTTTTAATTTCATTTTCGTCGATTTGTAAACCTTTAAAAGAATAATTTTTTTTTTCTAATAAATTCAGCACATCTAATTGAGAAAATTTTAATAAAATAAAACTAACTTACCAGTTATTTCATTAATTGTTGGACTCCAGTTTTTTAATGAAATTTTTAAATACAATAGCAAGCAATCATTTAAATAAAAATCGAAATCCTGACAAAATTCTTCAATTAATTCCGTGGAAAATTCTTTTTTTGAACACATAACGCGTTTCAAAATATCACGTCTACTCTCAATGGAACTGTTAAACATTTCTGTAAATTTTATAAGTTTTTTTTTATTTTTATTTCAACAATAAAATTAAGAATATAGTCATTTTAAAATATATAAAATGACAAAAAATTTAAAAACAAAAAACCTTTGTATGAAATTCCATAAGGTATTAATTTTTTTGACCAGTAATGTAATATTCTATTTTTGTAGTACTGCCCACGAGCATCACTCTTCAGTAGATAACAATATTCCCAACCAAGATGAGATATTGTTCGATGTTGATTATAATGTGTTTGATAGTTGCAACTAAATAAAAGAAATAATTAATATTTTTCTAAATGTTATGAAAAACTATTGTATTGAAATTTTACTATGCATTAAAGTATGTTATGATTTATTTATGCTTACGATTTAAGTTCATTTGAAAACCATTGGGAACTTTCATTCTCGGTGAGCATAAAATGACAAACCAATCCTAATTGCAAATCAAATGATGGATTGCTGATAACTTTTTGCAGAAGAGAAAGTAAATAATTATTCATAGCATTTTCTACTTCTAAATTTTGTTCTTCCTTGAATGCAAAACAACAGTTGAAAAGCAATGTTTTAATAATTTTTAAAACAGAATAATCCAAATGTTCCATTTGAAGTGTATCTAAATCTTTTTTCCACTTAATTAACAATTGATCTATTTGACTCTAAAACAACATTACAGTTATATACATATATAAATTATAATATAAAAATGATACAAAAATTATTCAAAGAAAATTAATTATTTTTTTATACCTCTTGCATGGAAGGATCAAAGTTTTCCTTGCAGATAATATCTCCCGTTGCGGCTAAATAAATAACAAAAATAAAGAGCATTAATTATATATAAATTTTTCAATGTTAATAAACAAATTTTGTTACTATAATCTTTATACCTCTGCATAGAAAATAAATTTTCATTGAATTTTGAAAAAGTCGTAATACATTTAATTTTGAAAAGACTGGTGTATCTGAATAAATTGTATATAATTTCCATTGTGGTAATATTCTTGAATTGTAAATTGAATCTAATTCATTCATTTTTGAACAACAACTTTCCATGTAAGTTGTGATCCAAGGGTACAAAGCTAAATTGCTTTGCAACTCAGCTGAAATTAAAGATTTTTTTGTTTAATGTTTTCATTTAAATTAAATGCATTGAATATTTTTACCATTTTTTTTTAATTCTTCATTTTTATATTATTTGTTTGTTTATAAAGTAAACAAATTCTCTAAATCTTATATGTTAAAATAATAATAAATTACTTATACTCACTGCTGTGACATAAATTTATCGATGAGACACATAAATCATAAATTCTGTTTGATATTTCATAATTACTTTGATTACTTAGCATAGAAGTTAAGCAAATTCTTTGTACATATGCAGTATTGTAATCATTCAATTTGTTCATTTCTTCAGATGCAAGTCTAATAAAGAAAAGATTGTTTATTCTAAATAAAATGTTTAGGGAGTATTACAAAAATAAAAAAATTATTATCCCTATAAAGTAATAAATAAAGACAGAAAATTAAAAAAATGTTGCATTTAAATAAAATTTTAATATAGAACTTTACCTCACATAAATAATTATTCCCATCTTGTAAAATATTTTCGAATAATTTAAAATAGCTTTTAAAAGTTCAGAATATTAACAGATTTTATATAAATAAATATAATGTTGGTAATATTATAGGTAATTTCTAAAATATACAATAATTTTGTGACACTTACAGAACTTTATGATGCAACATTGACATCTGTTCCATTCTTTCATCCAAAAGACTTTCCACCATTAATGTTGGTGCATTTAGTAAATTTGCGACTTGACGTGCATTTTTACAAACCAATGGAATCCAATTTTTATAATCTTCATTATTAATATCTTCAAACAAATTAACTATTTTTATTAAAAATTCAAAATTAATATTTTGATTTTGAAACTGTAAGTAATTGCAAAAATGAATTATATAATCAAATTTCGACTAATTAATATATTATACTTTACCTTTTGTTTCTTCATGGATATAATTCCCTAAAATTTCTTCTTTTTGTTTATGATATTGAAAAACAGAAACATTGATGTTAAAATTTTTCCTTAAATTATAAAGAGCCTTCACGTGTTGTATATTCAAAAGAGTTTCATCAAAATTTGCTGAACAAGATTTTGTGCATTTTAAAATCTCTTTTAATTTACTTTCAATTACATTTAAAACTTCTATGAAATATTTTAACGAGTCGTTGACAACCTATAAGAAAATAATAAATTAAAATTTTACAAAATCTTGAAAAATTTTTAATATAAAATAAAAACTTATCAACACTACAAATATGAAAAAAAAAAATATATTTACCATTAAAGGATTCATTGCATAATTAATTAGTTGTTTGCAACATTGTAAAGCAACATCGTCTTCTAAACTGTTAATTATATCTATTGCTCTCGAAACATCACTGTAAAATAAGAAAAATTAATTTTTCTGCAAAAAAGAATTTACCATTGCGCTTTATATTACAAGAATTTACCCGTTTTGTAAACATTTATTGATTGCAGAATATAATCCAGAAATTCTTATATAATGATTAGTTTTAGTTAATTCCAAAATATCTTTAATCATATTTGCATCGGCTTTTTTAATAATGCAATTAATCAATTTCTGCAAATAAACAAATCAATTAAATATCAGTAAAAAAAATTACGGAATCAATTTATAATGACAAATTTTTATAGTAAAAGAGTAATTGAAAAACAAATATTAACATTGCTCAAGGTGACGTCTTCGAAACCATATTTCTTGAGAATAAGCTTAACGGGAATAGAATTTTTTTCTATTCTAATTTTCGATACTAAAGCATGATCATAGAGACAATTTTCTTCTGCAAGCAAATCCATTGTAGCGCTCCATGGAACTGGAGCTGCTTTCAATACGTCTAAAACTAATTGCAGCCGATTCTGAAAAAATGTCATTTTCTATTATTATTTATAAAAAATTAATATTTATTTTTAAAAAAATTGCCTTTATTTATTAAATTACTTATTATTTATCTTATTTGTTTTATTTCACAGAAAAAAAATTTGTCTGGAACAGCGAAAGGTTTCACTAAAATAGTAAAAATTTTAAATGGAACAATTAAAACTTTTGTTGTTCCAGGTAAATTTTTTTTTTCCGTGTTAATAAATATTAAAATAGTTTCTAAATATTTATATATATAGAACCTGAATGTTGTGAATAAATTTTATGACTATAGCGACTCGTTTCTCCCAAGGTGCTTCTTCCAAAAAGCGCCAATCTTTCGAATTTCTTAAAGTTTTCTGTAACATATTTATTTACATGTAATTCTCTTCTTTTTTGTTTATTTTTTTATAATTAAAATTTTAGGAAATTCAAATAACTGACCTGGATAAAGAGAGAAAAAACGTGATCATTTTTTAAATCACGATGATTTAACATATATTGATGAACAAAATTTTTGATAAAACCATGCATTTCTTCTACATGTACTTTGTTTAATAGTAAATGAATTAATTCCGTGGGATCATCCATATAAGTATCCAAAGGAACAATTATTCTGTTTAATAAAAAAAATTAATAATTTATTTAATTGTTTATTATTGTTATTAAGGGGTCGTTGACATATCACGTGATACATTTTTTAGGTATTTTGAACCCCCTCCCACCCCTGCGTGATACTTTTTCTATTGTTAAAAAATTAAATTCCCATGGACTTTGATAGTTTGCCTACCCCCCTCTTTCCCCTAAAGATATCACGTGATATATGGATGACCCCTTAATAAACAAATACATACTAGCGAAACAATTGTGTTTAATTATTTCAAAAAAAAAGTTTAATTAGTCATAATTTCGCCAGGAATTCAGAGTTTATTGCAATTTTTAAATAGCAATATATTTTTTAAGAAGAAGAAAAAATTTAAAAAAAAAATAACTAAATTTATGTAATAAAAATATATTATAACCTGTAATTTTCCTTTAGTTGTAAAAGATCAGTTAGCGCTTGAACAATTGTTATTAGCCGCTGTAAAGGAGAATTTTTTTCAGCATACTGTTGATAGAGTAATGAACACTGATGAGTTTTTTCAATATTAAGAACTTGAATGAATTCATTCACAAAATCTAAACCAATTTGAGGCCACAAATTTCGATGTAATTTTTCCAATTGATTTGTTTTTCTACAACTCCATGAAACAATGGCCGATAAAAAATTCGGCTGAACCGATAATAAACTCGGAACAAAATGTTTAAGCCACGGCCAAAGTTCACAAATTGGTGTTTTTTCTGAAATTGATTCCAATAGTAAGGACACTTCTTTCAGGGTTAAATCTTTTACTAAATTCAAACAGTGCTGAACCCATATAAGAGATGCTGCTTCTAAATTATTCTAAATCAAAATTTATAATTTTCTCATATTAATATGTAATAATTTCAAGAAAGTTGTGAAACAAATATAACTTACATGTGCCAGATATCTAATACATTCTTTTATTAAATCGCTTTGTGAAAATCGTAACCATTCATTCACCATTTCCTCTTCGCTTTCATTAGAATTTTCATTTATTTTTCGAATTATTTCGAATGTTTCAAGTTTATGCAGTGTATTACTTACTACAGAAAGTAAATTTGATAGTTCCTTATTATCACTTGATTCCTGTATATTAATTAAATGAAAAAAAAAATTATGTAACTTTGATATAAATCATTATTATTATTATTATTTTAAAATATGTGTAATACCTGAATGCATTGAAGAATTCTTTGACGTGCATATAATAATAATTTTTTCATTTGACTGTAATTTGACATTAAGACATTATTACAACAATTGGAGACAAATTTTACATCACTTATATTGTTTAATGTTTCGATAAATTCATCTAAATCAATTTGTTCGGTATTGCCTCTTGCCCAGGGACTTGATTGATTTACAAAAAATGCTGCCTTTGCACAGTAAATAGATTCTTTATTTAAATTATAATTATCGGCAAAACACTCAGCTTCTTTAAATTTCCCCCTTTTCAATAATCGCCCCAAACGAAGCTCAGGCATACTTTCCACAAGTGCTTTTACTCGTACTGATTTTATATTTTTTGATAAATTTGTTATACTTTCCATATAAATGATATTTTCCGTCAAAGAACCATTACATTCCACTAAATAAGTTGAACTTGGAACTGATATTTGAAATTTTGTTTGAAAATCTGTAAATTGTTTTTATTTATAATGATAATTAATCTAACGAGATGAATCTTTTTTAAAAAAATAGTTTTTTAATAGTGTACTTAGGATTCAAATATGTATATAAAATATTATTCATTACTTCTCAATTATCTTTTTTTTTTCTTGTATTTGTTCTTATTCATTGATTTCAAATTTATTTCAAATCATATTATAAAATCATATTATGAAATCTGTTTAATTTTCTCCTCAAATTATGTAACTATTTACTATACTAGTAAACAAAAAAGAAAAAATAATATAAATTTTTTAAATTATTTTAGACAATAAATTTTGATGAGAAAATCGATAGGATTAACATAAAATAATTTTATGAATACTGTAAATGCATGTATAGTGTTATATTTACCAGGATAAGATACATATTCTAAAGAAGTTGTTTCAGCTCCATTCAAGGGTTCTCTCAAAATTATCAGATGAAGGTGATCATTAATATGATCTTGTTGGATCAAAAAATCAGTTACAGGACCATCATAAACTTTTTTTGCGAGCAGAGTCCATGGACACACTACGCTCAAAGATTTGTCTGATTGAAGACCCAGCAGGACCCTATTAGTGTTTAATTAGTAATTTTCGATTCAAACAATTCTAGGAAGAAAGAATAGTTTATTTGTTCATAAAATTGTATAACAAAACTTTCACCTTTCAGTAATACGTTCTAGATATCTTCTTTAAGACAATTTTAATGAAATAATCATCTAAATCCAGTTATGCGAATAAAAAATGTTATTTTTTAATATAATTAATAATAAAAGTCAAATAAAAAATATTCTTAAATGATCAAAACTATTATTTACAAGCAAAATTGATCAATTTTTTATTTTAAATATAAAAATTAGCTAAAAACTATTTTCATTTTTTATTTAAAAAATTTTACAATAACTTCTTGATTTTTTTTTTTACCAAAGTCGGAATAATTTGCATTAGAGGTAATTTTTTTATATATTAATTATTATTTATTTATCTAAAATGAATCAAGATAAAAGTTTGTCCTTCATTACATGAAATGAAAAAAAGTCAATTTATCTAGAAAAGATGAATCATTTAATTCTAAGAAGTAAATTGTGAAATTATTCGTTAATTCAAGAGCGGAATTAATTTTCAATCGTTTCAAAAGAATGATAAAATTAATTATTCGATACGATTATTTAGTTTATTCATTGAAGTACTCGGCGTTGAAAATCTCTTGATTAGTAAAAATTTAATAGCAATTCAATACAGTATAATAACACTTTTTTAAATCTATTCAGTTTAAATTCTAATTCTCTCTTGTCAACATGTTGGGAACAAATTATTTTCTTATTTTTACATTTTTGTCAACTTTCCTGCTTATGGTAATGACTTTTAATTAATTTAATAATCTCAATTTTATTATTTAATTTCTATTATTTAATAATATGTAATATAATTTCTTTAAAATTTTAAGAATTAATTTGACATAATTTCAAAAGTTGTAAAATTAATTTTTTATCTTTAGATTAATTCTCAATCAGATACAAGTGATGATGGATCTTTATCGTATTTAAACAAATACAATCCACATTCAATTAAACAAAATGATAAACTTTTAAAACTAATTCTTAATTATGCATTATTAACATCTGATAGACTTGACACATTAAGACAAAAATACTTTGAAGATCAACTTAATAATTTAAGAGAAACTCAAACTCTCTATGAATCGAATTATTTGGAACCAAAAATAATGGAGATTTTATTAACAAAAAAAGAAAATCAAAATTCTATTACATCAACAACTTCAACAACTTTACAATAATTATAATAATATTTCGGTATATCTTCTTTTAATATATGTGTCCTGACGCGGTGAAAGGGACCTTATGGTCCAATTGCAAATTGTACTTTAAATGTTCATAATAAAAAATGAATTGAACAAAATAATTTCTAATTTTTGGAAATCAAATTATTTGAGTTGCTCTTTCATTTCCAAAAACTAGAAATTATTTTGTTCAATTCATTTTTTTATTATGAACATTCAAAAGTACAATTTGCTATTATACCATAAGGTCCCTTTCACCGCGTCAGGACACATATGTAATATATTTTTGCACTATTCGACGTTAATTTTGTAATTTACTCTAATCTGTACAGGGTCAAAATTTCCCAAACGGATCACCTAAAACTCAATAATTTATTTTTAAACCGAGAATATGATTTTTTAACTACTTATAGGGTAAAAAAATGTTTCTGAAATTTTCAAGTCAAAAAAAAAATTTTTGTTAAAGTTATTAAGAATTGAAATTTTTAGCACTCTTAAATTAAATAATTTTTTTCTCGAGTTCTAATTAACCAAATTAAAAAAAAAAATGGGTTTTCTTCGTAATGAAATGGAGTATTCAAAAAAATATATTTTTTTTATTTAATTTTTTATAGTTTTTTATATTATTTGTTTATAAAATGTTAATAACAAATAGTCTTCCCAATGTCCTAACAAAAAAAGAAAGATTGTTTTCTATTGTTTAAACGTCTCCGAATATAAAACTGTTTAGAAAAAAATGAAACGTTTAAGCAATAGAAAACAATTTTTTTTTCTTAAAACATTGGGAAGACTATTTGTTATTAACATTTTATAAACAAATAATGTAAAAAAACTATTAAAAATTAAAATTTTTTTTAAAAAAATTATTTTTGAATACTCCATTTTATGACGAAGAAAGCCCATATTTTTTATTTGGTTAATGAGAACTCAAGAAAAAAATTAATTAATTTAAGAGTACTAAAAATTTCAATTCTTAATAACTTTAACAAAAAAATTTTTTTTATTTGAAAATTTCAGAAACATTTTTTTACCCTATAAGGAGTTAAAAAATCATATTCTCGGTTTAAAAATAAATTATTGGGTTTCAGGTGACCCGTTTGGGAAATTCTGACCCTACATTTAACATTTTTTAGAACTAAATAAATTATAATTAATTGCATTTTATCTGCATAGTTTTTATTTTTAAAAAAGACTTGAATTATCAGTTAAGAAATAAATGCGGTTTTTTGGTTATAAGATAAATTTTTTTTTCTTATTGTTCATGACAATAAAAATAATAAAATTTTAATTACTCTGTAAAAAGAATGTTGAGCTATTATTAAAATAATTCTGAGATGATGCACTATTAAATAAAGAAACATTTTTTTAAATCAATTTTTTTTTACGCATAAATTATTATTTGAACCCTTAAATAAAACTCGGAATACGTCCTAAAATAATGCATATTAATTTTCATGGAGTTTTAAAAAAGTCGCGAAACTCAATTTAGATGATTATTTTCTGAAATTGACGTTTACATATTATAAATTTTTAATCTTAAATCTAATGATCAGGGTATCCATAAAAAAAAATTCCCTGACCTTTTATTCCTTTCCTATAAAAAATTTTTAATTTGTAAACTTTATTTATCGACACTTAAAAAAATGACGGGAGAATTTTTTGTATAATGTATGAAAGAGGCTTTGTTTCTATAAGAGTAAAACAGTTGTGTAAAAAAATCCAAGAATCAAGTATTAATAAAACACAACACATACCTTTGATTCTTCAAAAATTTAGCATCAATATATTGAAAAGGTAAATCTTCTAGTAAACTGTAACATTCACTGGGCCACATTAATGTTTTTCTGCCAACCATTAGCACTGAAGTGTCATTGTTGTTTAAGGTGTCAACACTTACTTGAGAAACCTAAAATTTAATTTTAATTTATACATTAACTATCAAAATTAAACGCGAGCAAGCGTTATAAGAAATTAAAATTAATATTATCAATAATAATTTTAATTTATTAAAAAATTATTACTTATTAAATGATAATAATGAAAATTATATGTTTATATAATTAATATTTAAAAGAATTGAAACGAAGCTAAAGTACGCAACGTTTATCAACAAAAACATTTTTTTTTAAATTTAAATATTACGTCTAAATTACATATATGAGACGCCGGATATTATAACGATACATAAAATTTCTACAGCGGTATTCGTTGGCCCCTGGCACCTTAAAAATCAATTTAAAAAAAAAAAATTTTCAAATTACTACTTTGTACGAAATTTCCTGGCTCATCTTTTTTCTTTTTATAAATTTTTTTGTATTTGTAACAGTTTTTGAGAAAAGAGCAAAAAACTAAATTTTTCTTAAAATCACTTTCAATTAAAATTTTCATTGTAATTCGTTATAAAATGTAAAGTTCTAAATACTTTTATATACAGTTTACAAGATTTATAGTTTAAACTATCCTTTGAATGATCCTTAATAATAATTAATTTTTAATTTTTAAAAAATTATTAATTTTTTTGTTGCTCAGTGCTGCAAGGCTTTATATTTTTCAAAAGCTTCATTTATCTAGGGAATTTTCTCTGAGGATAAACTTCCTCTGAATAAAATGTTTATTAATAATAAAAAAATGTTTATTAAAATAAAACTTTACAGAAATCTTTATTGTGTATCAATAAACATTTTATTCAGAGGAAATTTGTCTTCAAGGAAAATTCCCTACATAAACGAAGCGTTTGAAAAATATAAAGCCCTATTCTAACACTAAGCAACAAAAAAATTAATAACTTTTTTTCTAATTAAAAAATGAAGAATTATTATTAAGGATCATTTAAAGTATAGTTTAAACTATATTTCCTGTAAATTGTATATAAAAGTATTCAGAACTTTACATTTTATTATAATAATAATTATTTTTAAAAATTGATCTTTAAGGTACCAGGGGCCAACGAATACGGCTGTAGAAATTTTATGTGTCGTTATAATATCCGGCGGCTCATATTTAACATAGGCGGAATATTTATCTGAAAAATGCTTTAAATATTCCGCCTACAATAAATATATGTAGGTAATTTAGACTCAATATACAACTTTAAAAAAAAATTTCGCTGATAAACGTCGTGTACTTCATACTTTTTTGAAATTGAATTTGGAATTTTAAAGAAACTAATTCCGAAATTTGAAAACATAATTATACAACTTTGGCAAAAATGAGAAAAAGAATTTTCAAAATTTGACACAAATTTGACACGTCATAACATTATAATTCAAAAAACACGTGAAATCAGAAAAGACCAACTTCAAGTTAGGACAGAAGGACAGACCAAGCATTTTATTATATAATAATAATAATTATTAATATTTACATATATCCAAATGCAAATCCAAATGCAAATTGTTGATTTTTCAAAAGTTAATAATTCCTTAATATAATACCGCAAAAAGTTTTGAATAACTAGAACTTTTCATTTTAGAAAATGTAAAAACTTATATAAAACGTTTAAACTAAAATTATTCAAAAAGAAATAAAGTAATAATTTATATCCAAAATTTCCCAATAAATCAATCGATATGTTTTTACAAATTCTATTAGCTGGTTATTATAGTTTTGACATGATATAATGATTTTTAAGCAAATATTTTAAAAAGTAATGTTTTTAAAACTTTTTGATTTTTAAAAGAAAATAACTTTGGATAAAATGTTAGTGGAATATTCACCATATTAAAAGATCCACTCTGAATCTTAGAATATACAAAATTGAATTGCAAAATATATTAAGTATAACTGTTCAAAAAAATATTTTAAATATATAACTTTTTCTTTGAAAGAATGTGTTTTTTATTTTTTATTCTAAGAATAAATTGTCAACGAACCTTGTTTTTCGTGAAACCGCTAAATACATTTTGGCATTTGATACTTTGTATCGCTTCACAAACAGCTTGTTCATTATTTTCAATGAGACATTTGTGAACGATTTCGTCACGAAATCCTGAAATCCTGTATTAATAAATGAGAATTTTAATTATATGATTTAGAGATTCAATTGAAGAGTAGTGCAGAATATTGTACTAAAATAACAAAAAAATAAACCAAAGATTAATTAAAAATAGATCAAATTTAATCGGTAGCAAAAGACTTCTAAATTTTAAACACAAGTCAATTAAAATTTGGACAAATTGAAATTCGAGTAATATGAAATTTTAATCAATTAAAATTTAGATAAATTAAAATTCGGATAATTTGAAACTTAAATTGATTAATCTTTAGATACAATGAATTTTCGTTAATTTTAAGTTTTTCGATTCGTTTAAGTTTGCATTTGATTGAAATTTTAATTAAAAAATTTGCTTTGGTCAATAGAAATTAGAATTGACTGAAAATTGAAATTTAAATTGAATTTAAAATTTGTTCAAGTAATACAATTTAATTATATTGAAATTTTTATTGATTAAAATTTGATAATTCAAATTTAGATAAATTGAATTTTTGATTGATTGAATTGATGGTTGATTATAATTAGAATAAATTTAAATTTAGATCGATTGCAATTTTAATCAATAAATTCTTCAATTAAATTTAGATTTATCGAAATATGGCCTAAATAATTTTTAAATCCAAAAAAGGTACTCTGAAATTAAATGTATTAAATTATTATTTTTTTTTTTTTTGATAAGTAAAAGATTATCTAGATGGAAAGCAAAAATTAATTTAAATATGTAGTTGATCACAACAGAAAACTTGAAGTGTTTACCAAAGATAATTTTAAATAAATTGTTATTTAATTTAAAAACATTTGTTAAAGACTAGGAACGATCGATTTACTTTATTTAAATAATTAAAATTTTAAAAATATCTGAATATAAATTATAAAGTAAAATCATTCTTTACTTGCTTTAGAAACAATAAATACAAGTTTCTTTGCAAAAGAATTTTGACTTTAAATTTTATTTTATTTAAAAAGGAACCCTTTTATCCATTCTGTATATTTAAATTTGAAATAAATTTTTTTAACCTGAATAAATACACATGTAAGTGTTTTTGTATATAATAAACACAATAAAAGAAATTATCAGATTAAAATTATCTCTAGAATTATTTTCAAAATGATAATTTAATTATTTCTATTATTATTGCCCTCGATTTGATGATATTTGCATATCGTTTTTCCCGAATATCTTGTTTTGCGATTGCCACAAGTCGTTTTGTAAAGGTATTCTTTCTTCCTCTAAAGCGTCAGTTTTAAAAATCTTCGTCTTAATGTTTGTGAAGATGGTTGAGATTTTTAATGCTCTTTGGATCGAATGATATATTTTTTTTCTCTCTTTATCGTCATTTGTGTATTTATATTCTTATGTATATTTATATTATTTTTGTCTTACTGCTTCTTGTATTTTTTCTTTTTTTGGTATGATATTATTTTTGTGAATGGACCATTGGGTCTAAATAAATAAAAAAAAAATCTATTCTATTTAATTTATAATATATATTAAAAAAGATTTACCTAAATATACTTCCATTTTCAGAAACAACAATAATATCTAATGTTTCCTTATATTCTGTAAATATCTTCAAGATTTTATTCTCTTGATTTTGTATCTCAAAAATGTTTCTAAAAAAATTAAAAATGATAAGTAAATACATTTTTTTTAGTAAATTAAGATATTTTTTTGTATTTCTTACTTGGAAAATACCAGCTTTCCTTTACTAGGTAAATGTAAACAATGAAGAAATCCACTGGCAAGAGCAATGAATAGAAAATATCCATCTTTAGAAAGAGTGTAACTCGTTATTAATGAATCAAAACTGCTACTGATTGTTATTACTTTACAGCTTTCATCATTAAAAATTGTTATTGACTTATCTAAAGCAACACAAACTTTTGAATGTTGAATAGTTGCAATTACATTTGGATTGTCAATAACCTAAAAATACGTATGTAATATACACATACAATAAAATGAAAATAATTATATTAATTAAAAAGTATAAATAAATTATTATGATAATGTAATTGAAGAAAATGATTTTTGTTTTGTAAATAACCTCTCGATCAGGTTGAATTTCAGCTAGAGTAAAAGACTCATAAATAGATCCATTTGTTTCAGCAAAAGCCCTAGTGCCAAAATTCGCAGTTTCATCATCTGCATCAAATCCTGCATACACTGTTGTCCACAAAGCCATAATAGTAGTAAATAATAAACAATTACTTATACATAATGACAGTTAAAAACAAATAGCAGAAAGCCGTTGACAAACTTCGAATTTTGAATCGCAAGAAAAAAGTAAACTAATATCTTTGGGGCGAAATCACATGAAGAATTATTGGTTTGGGAAATTTCTGAATATTATCCAATCAAAATAAATGTTACAAGGGAAATAATACCAGAAGCTTACTTCTACTCTTCGCAGGGATGGGTAAGTGACCGTACTTTCCAGAAAAAAGTGTGATCATACCTTTATTTAACAGGTGTTCGTAGCGCCTATATACGTGGTTATTTTTTGAAATACTTTTTTTTATCAAAATAGAAATTATTACTTTAACTAGAGTAGAGTTCTGATTCATTATTGTTATAAACATTCCTTGGTATTTAGTAATGCTTGATAAATGAAAGTGAATAAAAGTTGTTAAAACTTTTTATGAATTCTGTAGCAATGAAAAGTAAATAGTAATTTTCTACTATTTCAATTATTACAGTTAAACATTTTATTTATAAAGATTTGGAGTGAGAACTTCTCTGATTCATAAATCTATTCCTTGTATATATTTTTCAATAAAGGTTAGGTTAAGTGTCATTTGACGTATCCTTAACAGTTTTATATCAAGGTGTGTGACAATCAAAAAATTGTTAATTAAAGTCAAAATTCGTTAATTTATAATATCTGATTTGATTTAAAGATGTGAACTTCGAAGTAAATTACATGAATAATTTTAGGCGCGCAGTGCGTAAAGTGTTTGTGAAAACTATAAAAAAAAGTGTCAACAGCTTGACAATATACTGAATATTTTCTTCTCAATAATAATGCACAAGGAATGTAAAAAATAATTATTTGTATCTGATATTTTATTATCAGTTATAATTATAATTACGCTTTAATTACGGTTATTTAAAAATGACTTGAATTTGGCTCAAGATCCAGTTTAGGATCTATTTTTCTAATGGGTAAGTTTTGTAAATTACGATATTTTTTTTTTATAAATTTCTATGTTTAGATTTATAACATCACATTTAAAAGAGATAATAAATTTGTAGTAAATAACAAGTAATAGTATAATTACTAAATTACACCTTTATTTTAAAAATTGAATTACTAGTAATAAAAACAATTATTAAAATTTGTCATACAAATTAATTATTATCGATATCATCATCTCAATTAATTATTATTTTGTTGAGTTAACTATCTCTACTTTCATTATACAGAAAATGAGAAAACTGGTAAAAATTTAGGTTATTATAAACATTTCAGTATGATAATGTAGGTCAGTTAATAGAACATTTGTTTCTACAACAATAAATAAATTGTATATATATATATTTATAATAAAAAGTGTAATTATAGAATTGAACCCTCTGGACAAAGAAGACGGCAACATGGTATATTCAATTTTCGATGAAAATACTTGGTACTACTGGGTTATTTCAGTAGGAACATTGTTGTCGTTCGTAGGACTTATTGTTGCCTGTATTTGCAGTTGTCGTCGTAATGATAACAAGTGAGTACATAGTAACTTTTCTTCATATATTAACAAAATAAATACTACTGATAATCAATTTGTACATCTCTTTTCAATTTTACATTTCTTTTAATTTTTAGAGGGCCATTAATAATTTTTTCGTAAATGTTTTAAAAAAAATTTGTTAACTTTAAATTTCTTTAATTATTTTCAAAGCTGTATATTCCATTATTCAACAAAACATATGTTTTAAACATATTTACAAACGAGGCTATTGAAGGTATTACAAAAATTTTTTTAATTTGTAGTACATTTATAAATTATATACAGGGTAGCCACAAGTCAGGCAGTGCGAGAAAAACCATTTTTGTCAGAGAAATTTGGAAAAATAAAAAAAATTACAGAATAAGAAAATTATTTACTTCCTGTATGCGTAAATTTACAATTTACAAACATTGATTCAAACTGAGGAATGTTGAAAAAAAATTTATTAGTTTAAAAAGATTTTTTTAACATTCCTTAAGTTTATATTAATGTAGAGAAAACAAAATTAAAATTTTTCATCTTTTCTACAAATGATTCAATTGACCCAAATTTTAATTTATCAACATTTTTTATCGATCTAAATTTAAATTTATTATGAAACTGAAGTTACCAACGTTGATTCTAATTCTTATCAATGAAAATAATCAAATTTCATTGATAAGAATTAGAATCCTCAACTTTTATTTTTTTCGTTGAATCAACGTTGGTAACTTCAGTTTCATAATTTATTCTGATTCTAATCAACCATAAATTCAATCAATCAAAAATTCAATTTATCTAAATTTGAATTATCAAATTTTAATTAATACAAATTTCAATATAATTAAATTTTATTATTGAACAAATTTTAAACGATTCATATTTCAATTCAATTTAATTTTCAATTTTAATTTCAAGTCATCCAATTTTAAGTCAATTCTAATTTTATTGACCAAAACAAATTTATTAATTTAAAATTCCGGAAATTTCAATCTATCTAAAGATTAATCGGTTTAAGTTTCAAATTAACCGAATTTTAATTTATCTAAATTTTAATTGATTTAAATTTAAAATTATTCGAATTTCCATTTGTCCAAATTTTAATTGACGAGTTTAAAATTATCAAAATTTTAATTGATCGAACTATGCAATTTTTAATTTATCTAAATTTTGATTGGTTTAATTTTAAAATTATCTGAATTTTAATTAATAAAAATTTTAAGCTATTAATGCTTCAATGATTAATGAAAAATTTGAATATACAGTGGAAAAACACTTTCTTCTAACTTTAAACTATTAGATTTCTATTAAAATTCATTACATTTATACATTTTTTTTGTCAGGGAAAATTTTTTAACGACAGAAAAATATTAGGGAAATTGAAAATTTTATTCTTGTGTTTAATAATTTTCTAAATAAATATTTTAATAATTGTGTTTAAAAACTATAATAATTTATTAAATGAATGGAAACGAAAATAATTCAAGTTACCGAGGGGAAAAATAAAGTAGGTTTTAAAATTGATGACGGTGATTCTATTATAACAGGAGTGAGTTCCTGGGATTACCCGGTATGGTGACAATCACGCATCCTGACAGTGAAGGTTTCAACAGACTACCAACAACAGACGTCTCACAAGTTATTGCCCAGGATACCACGGATTGTGGCAAAAGGTTTCAAGCTCAAACCTGGCATGGCTGCATGCAACTCCCTTTGCTAATAAAAATTAACACACTTCTTTTCTAATCATATCCCTCTCTCAGAATTTATTCTCAAAAATCATTTATTCACACTCATCGAAATCTAACCTTAATTACTTTTTACAGAAAAAAATAGTTTCTTTTTCAATTGAAAATAATTAAATTATTGATTCAAGAAATATAAATCTAATTTTAAAAATAATAACATCGAATATCATTTTGTAAACTTTTAAGTACTTAAAGGTGTTGGTGGTTTTAAATAAAGTTTTTTTTATAAGCAAAACTCTTTATTTTGTCTGTAATATAAAGAGAATTCTATCTTTTTGTGTATAGGACAACTTCTGCAAATAGAAGTCTTCCCGATATCCCGAAAGATAAAAGTTCGAGTAGCGAAAGTAGAAATGAGTCGACTCCTCAAGATGTCATTTATGAAGCAACTGAAACAATTGCTGATAATTTGGAGCTTTATGCTACTGTACAGGATAAAGGTATAAATCATTTTTAAAACTTGAAAAAAGTTATTGATATTGAAATAAATTGTTTATGATAGTAAAACAAGGAAATTTTTCATTTAAACAGAAAGAAAGTCTGAAAGAGAAACTCCAAGTATATCTCAACAGAGTTCTCAAGAAGATCCAATGTACTCTTATGCAAGACTTAAGACCCCTCAAACTAATAACGGTAAAATTGTTTATTATTTAATTTATATAACAATGTAATATTTCTCATTATCTAATATTCTTTTACTACATAAAAATTTACCAAAGCTTTTTTTACACTATAACTATTGAGGTTTTAGAAGATTAAATTTTTGAAATTCAAATTTCACAATCTACCGTAAAATAGGATTTTAAGAGATTTTTTTTTGTTCCTTTAAATATTTATTGTGGTAAAACTGTGAGTGTTAACTGCAATTTATAAAATTGTCAAAATACTGATTCATTAAGTTATTTTTAAATTTGATATTTAAATTAAATTTTTTTTTTTACTATTTTATGATTCTAGAAATTCTTTTTACATCCTCTCTAAAGAATCAGTGAAATTTTACTTAATATTATTAAATGAACGCATAAATATAACAAGTTTTTATTGTAATAAGTTTCTTATGTTTTTTTTCATTTATATTCTTTGTTTATAGATGAACATCCCTATGCACAAGTTCAAAACATTGAAAAGACTGAGGCTAGCCAACTTATGAGGTAATTTTAAATATACATTATAAGTGATTTAAAAATTTTTGTTAATATTTATTATATCTCATCTAAAATTGTTGTCGACTAATTTTCGAAAAATCTTGTATTTCGTAATAAGCATTTTTGATGCTCGTACAACTTATTTTTGACAATTATTATTTAATACAATTTTATACATTTACCTGAGAATTTGAACTTTAAAAATGAAATACACAGGCCTAGGATTGTATATTTGCCAAATTAGCGAAAGAATAGTTCATACAAAAAAGAAAGAGTATAAAATTCTGAGTAATTTAAAAAAAACAACTTGTATTTTAGTTGTTTTAAATAGTTGTTCTTTTTATTGTTTAAATAAGTGTTCTTTTTGGAAGAGTAATAATTATTTGATAGAAATAAATATTTATTTGACAATAGTGAAGTAACCGATTATTTGAATCAAATAAATTTTGCCTTCAATGTATTTTTTAAAGATGTTAATTAAATTTGAGGACAATTTGTTTACAGAAATAATGCTAGCCAAGGCGTAGATAGTACCTTCCCAACGACTTCGGTTAGCCAGTCTAATGGTAACCCAGTGGCTCCTCCGAGAACTCGTAGATCATCGTCTCACAGTTCTCTTTTATCAACAGAAATAGTGCCTGATATTCAAGCTGCTAATGCTATATCTGGTGACGTGCAAGCCAATCAAGACTTACCTTACATGACGCCTCCGCTTTTAATGCCCCTTCCTCATCCACCGCAGGCACAGCACAATAATCTACAACAACATTTTAGTGGAGATTCACAGGATTCGAGTGAGTAATTTTAATTATAAAAATAACTCCTTTTAAAGAGTTTCAGTTACTTAAGGATGAACCCTCGATTTTTGAATTGACAAACAGTTTTTGATGAAACTTGGGACACTGCTAGATATTGGTTTAAAAAAGATGTAGTTAAATTTTTATAGGTCGAGATTGACTATGACAAAAGTTATAAACAATTTTATTTTTTCCCATTTTACATAGTGTCTTATGGGAAAATGCATTTTCATCATCTTTAAAATTTAATTATAAAAAATATGACAAACAGATATTAATATAACTTTTAACAGTTAAATTTAAATAACTGGTGTAAATTCTGTTAAATAGAAATTGTAATTATTATTATTATAAATTATTATTATTATAATTATGCTCATTATAAAATCCACTTTATAAAATTTTGCTAAATAAAAATTTGATAATTTTTAATTCGATATCACAAAAAATTCCGACAGCTCTAATATGGAGAATACTCATGTGCCCCTAAAAATAAGTTTGTAAAAAAAAACAAAATTTTAATAAAAATTAACTTTAAAATTTTTTTTTTAATAATCAATGTAGTAGACGTAAAAATTTATTGTGTTATTTTTCAGAGGGATATACAAGCATAAGTGTTAGAGAGCCTTTGGCTAATATAATCGCTCAAACGAAACAGAGACAGCCTTCGCGGTCGTTGATGGATTCACATTATGCAACAGTTTCCGATGATTCAGGTAAATTACACAAAATTTTTAAAATTCAATTTAATATTTTAAATTTTTTGTCAAATATAATTTTAAACAAATATTTTAATTAATTAGATGAAATGTATGCTGCTATCGATGAACAAGACAAAGTTTATACAAGTGGAAGTGAAACTTACGCACAAATTCAACCAGCTGCCAGTGAAGTAAGCAGAGTTGTACAAAATGAACCTACAATTTTTGCACAACTACCATCTCGATTGGAAGAATTGCACGTGTCCGCTCCACAACCACCAAGTGTTGACAGCTTACGTCACGTGGCCCACGCTCATTCCAGACAAGGTAAAATTTCAAGTTACTCTGATGTTCCATAATTACCCCTGTCGACGGTATTAAAAATACAAAAATTTTAAATTGTTTTATTTGCAGCATCATCCTCCAGTGCTACAAGTTCAATAGTGAATCCAAGTTCTCCAAAACCTGAGAAACGTCAAGCGAATTCACCATTGCCACCTCCACCAGAAGGACTTGTGGATGTTTACGCTCAACCAGAGAAACGAGGTAAAGGTGATGATCGTTTACGAGCCAGCGTCTGTTCTGGTAAGTCTTTAGAAGACATGTATGCTAAGGTAATTAAGAGAAAGCGCGAGACTGAAGAAATGCATTCAGATGTTGTTGTCGCCGTAAATTCAACTGTCGTAAATGCTGATTTATCCGTTCCAAGAAGGAAACTCAGTCTCATTGAAGTAAGTCGTGCTTCTTGGTCTAGTCATGAGTCGGTTGAGATTCAAAAGCGTGAACAGGACAACTATTATCTTCATTTGACAACTGAAACAAATCACAATTTTTCCAATACAAAAGACGAATCTACAAGGATTCCGCGATTAGTCGATGTCAATAGTTCAAATTCAAATTTAGAAGGCGATCATGGCTACGAATCAGTCAGTAATTCAAATCACAAACCAAATCCACTGGGTCATTTGAATTTAAATTCCAACAATAGTGATCCCAATTACGAATTGCTGATACCACAATACAATGAAGTAGCGAAAAATGAAGATTATCCAAGCACCAGTACAAGAAATGAAGAAACTTTGCCAATTTACTCGTTGCCATTTAAACATCGACAAGTGAGTGACGCAAGCAGTGAGGATCCAGGATACGAGAGAGTGAGATTGCCAAAGAGAGTCGTCGACGTGGATCAGGACACGGACTCTGAACCGAATTATGAGAGTATGCCTCATGAACCAAATTATGCATCCGTCTGTCGTCCTGGTGACAGCGACGGTGATCCCAATTATGAATCCGTTCAACACAACGATCCAAATTACGAAAGTGTCAAGTACGTAAGTATGCCACAAAATGTTGATCCCCCCTATGAGCAACTCAATAATTATGCAGTCGATCATTCTACCAGTGATGGCTACGAGAAGGTTAAGAAAAAGAAAAAAATCGATTCCGATTACGAGAAAATCGATCCGAATTACAATTCGGAGCAAACTCATAATGGCGATACTGATGACGATCAGTATGTTCAAGTTTAGAAAGAAAAATATTTATCTTTTTATCGGGATTGTGCAAAACGAACCAAAACTTATTGAAAAAAAAGAAATATTTTATATTAACTTCCATGACTGATAATATATTATTCTATTCTGATACTGCGATTTGATATGTTAACGATAGGAACAGTTATTTTACCAGTTTATACAGTTACAATTATGACAGCTGATTAAAATGAAAAATGGCATTTAAAATGCTATTTTTGCAAAATAAATATGAATCAAAATAATTTGTAATACAAGATTTCAGACATCTGGATTTAAATTAATTTTTTCTTTAATTCAGTTTTTTTGAGTTTAATAAATAAAAATAACCTCCTTTTATTTTCACTGAAAAAAATACATTTTCATTTTTTGTGGATATTCTTTATTTTTTTTATATATTTTTTATAAAGAATTATCAACTTGATGAAAAGGTACGTTTTTTAAGATGTCTTCTTTATTCATATAAAGACAATGTGTGAAATTTTTTTTAACACGAATGCGACTTATTTTTATTTATTGAACTCCTGCAATAAAATAAAGATTCTGTTACATGAAAACTTTAAAAAAATATAATATGGAAACTTTAAGGATGCTTTTATTTTTGATTTTTATTTCTTTATTTAATTTAGCATCTTAATAAATTGTTTTATGTTTTAATTTTCAAAATTAATCAAAGTAGAAAATAATATTTTTGAAGAATTTTTAAATTATAGAGAACAATTTAAATTCCATACTTCTGTCATTATTTTACGAACTTATAGTATAAATCTAATATAAGTTTTGAGAAAGTGCCAAAATCTAAAAATCTTGGCGTTTTTATATTTACGTGTTTATTATATAGTAAAAATTTATAATGTTTTAATACTTTCAATTATAATTATTATATTTATTAGACATTATTGTTTGATGCAATAGTATTTGAAAAAATATTTATGAAGTGTCCCAGGTCAAAAATGTGAAAGGTTATTCAATGTAGCCGCCCTGTTGAAAATGTTGAGGAATTTTTGATAATTATCATTAAGTTTTAGATTATAGGGATTATAATTAATAACAATTTATGTACGAAATATAGAAAGATTTATTCTTTAGCTCTACACGGAATGTTACTCGTCGCGTGGTATGAATAAGAGTAAGTAATCGTAATAGTAAAGGCGCGCAACACAGCAGCGTCCAACTTATGATCGCATCCTGACTCGTCCTCGCGTTTTAAACTAAATTTAGTTAATTTCTGTAAAAAGAAATTATTATCAGAAATTGCAATTTATTATTTTATCAATGAGGTTTTTGTGTAGATCAAATGACACGGGTTTTGTAAAGATGTCTGACAATCTTTGGATTTTTTAGTAAAAAAAAATTTCCGTTCTTCAAAAAAAATTCTTGAAAACGCGTATTTTTTCATGCGGTCAAAGTGGTGTAACCCCTTAACCTCATTCTGCATGAAGTTCTGTATAGATGCCCAATACTTGCTTCTGAAGATTTTTGATGATATCCTTCTAAATTGTTCCAAGCTTCCCGTGTAGTTTTAGCATTAATGATATGAACCAATTGGTTATCATCCACGAGTAACCCTATCGTTAATGATGCTTGGTCGTCCTTTCTTTTCCAAGCTGCATGTGGAGCTTCTTCATTCACCACTGACCATATCTCTAAATTTACAAGCATTTTCTTCACTCTAAACTTCCATACGGCATAATTGTCATTGTTTAATTTGGAAACTGGGACGAAAACTTTAAGCCATTGTGAAATATAATACTTTATGAATCACTGCATTGTAAAATTTCACAAATGTCACCTTTTAAACTTTACTTATAAACTGTCTGAATTGTCTTTAAAACTTTTTCACTGTTCTTTATACACTATTTTTTAATTGTTCACTCAAAAAATTAAATTTACTTGAATTTTACATCGAATTGACTTTAAATTAGACTTTAAAAAATTACGAAGTTTCAAGAAATTTCACCGCACCCCAATTTCCCATATGAGAGATTCTTTTTCAATCGCCCCAGCCCAAAAAGTCAATGTTCTGGGATTGGCTTCATACTTTGGTAAATTGTTCTCCTATATGATAGTAATAAATCCCTAAAATATAAACTCATTAAAAAAATATTTGTAGAAAGTAGAGGGGGTTGAAGTTTTGACGTTAAGGGTAACATTGTCATATTTAAATCCGTATAACTATGACAAAAGTTTATGGATTTTATTTTATCTATAATGAATTTTAATGCATTTTTCACGCACTTTTCAAAAATGTATACAAAATTTAAAAAAAAAAATTTTTGACCCCTTTTTTTTCAAAATCAACCCTTATTTTTCGATTTTCACCCCTTCGGGAATTTTTTTTTTTTTATTTATTTTCATTGGAAATCTGAGGTTTTTTCCGATGAGCTATAAAAATATGAAAGTGGGACAACAATAATTTTGCGAGAAATATAATATTAAATTAGGCTTTGCCTACCTAAATCCTCAAATATGGTCTCCAGGTATACTCCTTATCGACACCGCCTACTTTAATATTCTGTTTCTCACAAAATTATTGTTGTCCCATTTTCATATTTACATAGCTCATGGGAAAAAACCTCAGCTTTCCAATGAAAATAAAAAAAAATATAAAATACCCGAAGGGGTGAAAATCGAAAAATAAGGGTTGATTTTGAAAAAAAAGGGGTAAAATTTTTTTTTTTTAAATTTCGTATACATTTTTGAAAAGTACGTGAAAAATGCATTAAAATTCATTATAGATAAATTAAAATCCATAAACTTTTGTCATAGTTATACGGATTTAAATATGACAATGTTACCCTTAACGTCAAAACTTCAACCCCCTCTACTTTCTACAAATATTTTTTTAATGAGTTTATATTTTAGGGATTTATTACTATCATATAGGACAACAATTTACCAAAGTATGAAGCCAATCCCAGAACATTGACTTTTTGGGCTGGGGCGATTGAAAAAGAATCTCTCATATGCGGTGCAGGATTCTTTTATTGTGATTTCTTGGGGTGGTAATACCAATGCAAATATCGATTTTAAAATTTTACCAATCTCATCATCATTACTGTTGAGGTAATCTTTTAGTTGCACTTTTCAAATTTTTTTTGTACATCTCCTAATAAAATATTTTTTTTAACAGTAATTTGAGTTTGGTTATAGAAACTTAAATAAAAAGAATGATCATAATTTTGTTAATGCTTTATAAAAATAGACTGAATTCAAATTGAATTTAATTTTTATTAATTATCGTCAATTGAGGCTATTATGGTACAAAAATAGCATTTTTTTGTTCCATGTTTATTCAAACTTTTAATTTTTATAAAAAAAAGTTTTAAACTATTTAGTTGGGTTCTGGATATCTTTCTAAAAATTTTCTCTAAATTTTATTACAAAAAAAATTTATTTGAATTATCTATGTAAATTCAAAAATAAAAATTTTTTTCTGTTAATTAAATTGTATGAAAACTTAATCTTTATATGATTTTTCATATTATTCTCTTGATAATGATAATATAATTATAATGATAATGATATACACTTCCTTTGAGAATAACATTTAGAACTTAGATTTTGGAACAAGAAAAATCACAGGATATGCATATAATAGTACAAAAATGGAACCCTAACTGATTCATTTGGTCATTAGAAAATCTGTTACTATATCCTTGCGTAGTATTTTCTTTTTTTGGGGCGCATGATTATTATCAGAAACTGTCAAGAAAATTGTGATTGGTCAATTTTAAAATTAGCGCCAAAATACTTCTGCCGTTTAATTATTTGACTATTTGCTATGTAGGATAAATAAAAATTCTGCGTTTCAAGATTTTTATTAAATGACAGCAAATTTTCCGTAAGATGCTTGTAAATTTCATTTGCGAGCAATTCATCATAAACCGCCATATCTTCCAAACTGACTTCAAATCAGATCTTCTTCTGATATACAATTTTTTTCAGCATTTCACTGTAATAATTCATGGAATGTACTTTCCAAGTCAGCGATATGGACACACTCTAAATCTGAATCAGTGAAAATTTCACTGAATTCAAATCAGTGGCTCAGTTTTCTTTAATTTACCAGTGGTATTTCACTGGGAATCAGTAAAAACGACTGATTCTCAGTTAAATTCCACTGGTGAATTAAAGAAAACTGAGCCACTGATTTGAATTCAGTGAAATTTTTCACTGATTCAGATTTAGAGTGCACATATACAAACTTCAAATACACGGAAAAAACTCAATGGTTTCCACAGCCATACCTTTGGTTGTCTCAACCATATTATATTGAAAAATACGTCCCAACCATACCTCCGGTTGCTCCAGCCATATTAAATAGCTAGCTTTAAATTGTTAGCACAACTAGAATATATGGCTGTGGGAACCATATATTTGGAAAACATACAAATGCTAATATGGATGTGACAACCATTTTTAATTGATGCTTCGACCATTATTTAGTGTACCATATTAATATTGTTGAAGCAACCATTTTATATGGTTACAATTTATGTTTATTTTATTTGTTTAATATTATCAAGAAGGTTATTTTTGATTAATTTAAAACATTGAGTCCCATAAAAACGTATTCATTTTTTTGAAATAATCGCCAAATACAAATTCGTTAACAAAATAAACAATCGTATCGCACCTTTTATTATAGTATTATAATTATAGTGCGTGCCTAAGTGTCGCAAACATTGAAGAATTTCCCCATTTACAAATTATGACTGGGAAAGGTGAATGTAAATGGTATAAAAGGACGCAGTCAACTTCAGAAGTTTCATATTCTATTTTTTTTTAAGGAAATCAATGCACTCAGCTTCCATTTTTTAACTTAAAAAACACATTAACCGGGATCAATATAATTCTTAAATGATTATAGAAAATGTTTAGGACTGCGGACATATACACGTTTCGCGACGCTTGGAATTAATGCGAGTAATATAGACTTCTTCTTCTTCTTCTTCTTCAAAAAAAAAAAAAGAGTAATATAGACGTAATATATTGCATCACCGCGCAGACAAGGTGCGCAGGCGTCTATAGGGGCCTTAGCAATTCAAAAATGGATAGGATAACAAAATTGTTAAAATCCAAACCAATATTGTTACCTCAACTAAAGCTATGGTTGATATATCCATATCATAGGTACAAATATTATATGGTTGCCACAACCATTCTTTTTTGTCAATGTATCCATACTGAAAGCTGCTTCAGCTATATATATGGATGCCTCAACAATATTATGACCAACAATATTTTTATGGTTGGGACAACGATACCTTTTCTTTCCGTGTATGTTTCATTTATCATCTTATAGATTGTTTTTTTTAACAAATATTAATTTCATACAATTTTTCATAAAAAATACATATATTATCGTAATTACGTCACGGGGACGTGACACTGTTTCCTGTTTTTAGCATTGCAAGGATTCTAAATTTTTTATCATATTCAAAGCTTACATAAAGAACGAAACATTTTTGACAGGGCGAAGTTTTACTAAAAATTTTATTAGCATTAAAGGTAATCCGAATACCAAATATTATTGAATTTGGTAATATTTTTTTGAATTACAGTTACAAAATTTTGACTTCCT